TGGCTGAGGCTAATGAGAGCGTGGATTTCGGCAACTGCTGTTCGAAATCGGCATGTTTCCGGTTTCTGGGTTACCCAACCTGTTCGGCCGTTCGGCCCGCCCTGCGCCGCCCTGCGCCCGCCGCCCCGGGCGCACGTATTTTTGGTGTGGCCAATTATTTACGCCGATTATATTGTCTTTCGCTGTCTTCGCCCGTAGTTTTAGCACACTCTGTGTGTGTGTGTGGGGGGGGGCAGGGCAGAGAGAGGGAGAGACGGTGGGTGAGTCATGCTGGACCGACACGGGGCTAGCAGACCAGATGCTGATCCGAAACATCGCTAAGAACTGGTCCCGCTACCGCAGCACCGCGTACCCACTCACTCCAAGGTTTAAGTTTTTGCGGTCCGTCATCAAAACTTTTAGTTTGGTTGTTTAGTGATCATGAGAGCGACGACTTAATTTGAGTTCAAGTGTGGCGATAGCGCCGCACAGTGGGCCAGAAGACCGGTGGAGGCGATCAAAATGCCGGACGCGTTTTGAGCTCCAAAGTCACTAATGGTAGTCGAATCGAACGTGTGACCCCACCAATGGATTGCGCTCCGCACGAGGAATCCATTGGTGGGGTCACACGTTCGGTTCGAGTCCCGCTCAGCGACTCCGGCGCTCAAAACGCGTCTAGCGTTTTGGCCGCCTGCGCCGATTTGGCACTGGTGCGGCGGCGCGGCGGTTCGAAATAGAGGATTATTGACCTTTGGCGGGGAAGGCCAGGGAAGGGCGTGAGGATGGAGTGGTGGGGGTGCCGCTGCAACGAGTGGGAGCGAGAGCGAAGACGAGGCGGTGGAGGGGGTGAACTGCCTGAGTTCAAGGCCCAGTTAATGCATTGCAGTCGTCGAAATCTGAGTGAAAAAAAGACTCAAGAAGGAACTTCGACACAATTGTAACGGTGTAGTGTGGTATCTCGCTCCCACTCATGACATAAGCCACGGGGAAGACGAAGACGACATCTAGTCGGAAGTGCCCCCTTTACAGTGCAGGTCACGAGAAACCAATGGACGCCTCGAAAACAGTCTGGGGAGGGGGGAGTCTTGGCAACAGAGTCCGTGAAGAAGCTGATCTTGGCTGCATTGAAGTCTCACTTTCATATCAATAGGCGTGGCTGGGCCTTGGGACTCGCAGAGTTGAGTCTTTTTCAACTGCCGCGTAAGACCAGTGAGTTGAATCAAATAATCGACATACGGCAAAAAAAAAAAAAAAAAAAAAAACTGTTTTTGCTTTTTCTATAAGTACCGCATTGTAAAGACATAGGTGATTTCCAGGAAGCTCCTGGGAAAACTAACCGTGCACATGGACGTAGTCTGTCATTCCAACGTGCACATTCTTTTCACATATGAATGAATTGGTCGGGCTGCGAACCGCTGCCGGATTTACCGTCTCGAATTAACAAGCGCATCACCGTTTCCTACGAAGCGAACGCCCCGCGCGCGTCATCTGTACAGACAGGACTCTCGCTGGGTCGCGTGCGCATCAAGGAATCATTCGAAAAACTAGGGAAAAAATATTTTGAATTCTTTTTGAACTGAGAAACAGTTCAGTTAGAACGCCGTTTGAATCGGCAGTGACCCTGTCGTAACTTCGGTCGGTCTGAGGCGTGCACGGTGTACCACCCACACGTCGCACACACCGTCGCACGCCTTGGACTTATCTCAGTTTGGCGGTGGTCCGCGCTATCTCCGCGCCACCCCGCCCCTTGCCCCGCCCTGTCGCTCTGTCGCTCTGTCTCTCTCGCACTCGCGGGGCGTGCCGGAGCTGGACCGCTATAGTCTGTCTGACAAAGATTGTCTGTTATCACGTGACCAAACCATTTCATCGGATTTTCTCGAGAACCCCACCCAAGCGATGCGCGATGACTCCTCGTGTTCGCGTTATAGAAATCCAACCCAAAGCGAAAACAAAAGGTCCTTCAAAGGAAAAAAAAAATTCTTTGTACTTGTTAAAACTTTCCACGTACGCAAACGCATTGGAGTCCGTGCCTGTTCATAAGTATGCACCACATACACACACACACACACACACACACACACACACACACACACACACACACACACACACGAGGGGCCGTGCAAGGACAATGTCCATGCACATTTCCATACGACTTCCACTGCCGCTGAAATCCTCCCGGAAATGTCGCGCCGCGCTGCCGGAACCCGAAACGCGACATAAGTCTGCGGAATGTTTCGAGTGCAGGCACACACACAGTCACGCGCACACACAGACGTAAACGCATGCACGCACCAAAGCGTTTAGCCAACTTGAATTCATTTTATTTTCAACAAATGCACTCGGGAGAAACTTATAGTTTGTTCGTACTGCGTAGCCAGGCCTCGGCCTTGGTGGTCTTCATAAAGTGTGGCAAGCTGTTGCACTGGTGTGCATGCGTTTGGGACGCCAGGCGACGCCAGACGACGCCAGCAGCGCCACTGTGGGGGCAGCGAACGTTGCGCGGATCCCGAGACGTTTCCGAGAGTCTAGAGTGGGACTCGGTTCACCCGCACAGAGGACCGGTGGAGGCGGCCAAAACTCTGGACGCGTTTTGAGCTCCAGAGTCGCTGAATGGTACTCGAACCGAACGTGTGACCCCACCAATGGATTCCTCGTTCGGCGAGCAATCCATTGGTGGGGTCACACGTTCGGCTCGAGTCCTGTTTGGCGATTTTTACTCTCTTTCATGTGTTTCTCAGGCTGAAAAAAGTCAACCAGATCAATCGATACACCGTCAAGCCTTATGGCGCTTTCTCTAATGCTCGCCGAGCTACGTGTAGTGAATGCTCTGCCGTTCCGAGCAGCCCCGCTGCACTTCCGACAACACGTGTGTGTGTGTGTGTGTGTGTGTGTGTGTGTGTGTGCGCGCGTCTTAAGTGTCACTGCAGCTGCATGTAGCTGTATGGCTACAATGATGTATGCTGAATTTCCAAATGCACTCCACTCTCACTGAGAAGAAAAATGCCTCTTTTACTTGTATTTTAACTGCTTTCCATTTTTGGCGGTGCATTTACTTGTCCCGGCTGTCCTCATATCTTTCCCCTAATAACTGCCGTGAGCGTCCAATCTCGTGCTTCATTTTCTTCCGATTAGTCGATTAGCCCGATTCTGGGGAAGGTCCTGTCGCCCCAATAATCCTGGGAGAATGATTCGTCATTTCGGAAATGCCATAAAGTGTGGTCAGGCTGTCAGGGCTAGCTGCGGCAACTGGCGGGCCGCCGCCTCGCGGTTACGGCGGTCCACTACAGTGTGGTGCAAGCTCGGCCTGATTGCGGCCCTGGACGGGGCCCTGGACGGGGCCTGGGAGGGTCGTCCGTCAGCCCCATTATCACCTAGGGCGTTTAGCCCCGGCGTTTTCCTCCGGCGCCACCAGTGCACAGTGGGCCAGAAGACCGGCGCAGGCGGCCAAAGACGCGTTTTGAGCTCCAGAGTCGCTAAACGGGACGCGATCCTGACGTGTGACCCCACCAATGGATTCCTCGTTCGGAGAGCAGTCCATTGGTGGGGTCACACGTTCGGTTCGAGTCCCATTTAGCGACTCTGGAGCTCAAAACGCGTCCGGGGTTTCGGCCGCCTCCGCCGGTGCCGGTCCGACTGAGGTGAAAGGGAAAGGGAAGCATGAGTCATCGGCCGGCCCGAGGGATGGCCGTGGATCACAAGCCCCGCCCGGTGATTGAAAGAGAGAACAATCAGCCTCCAATTTGAATAACGAAATTGATAATAAAATGCGTCTCGTGACAACTTTTGGTCGAAAGCCGAGCTGGGGAAACTAATGGGGCCTTGTAAAACGCAGCGTGTAACAGCGCCCGAATCAAACGTTCACGTAGCTCCGCGTAGCTCGGACTCTAGCGCACGTAAGACTTGCCAAGCGAAATATGACGGGAAAAAAAGAGGAAAACGGCTACCTTGATTATGATTCCCCACCAAACGCACCTCTTTTTGTCTGCCTGTCTGTCCGTCCGTCCATTCGGAAGGGACCGTCCTACCGTAGTACGCGCGGGTACCCGAAGGTACCCCTTCCCCGCGCGGTGGATGTTCGAGGTGGCGAGGTGGCGTGTTCCCGCGCTGGACTCTGATTGGCCAGAATGTGGGCCAGGGAGCGTGCCGTGCAGGCCGTGCTTGCCAGCGGGGAGGGGGAGGGGGCACGTGCCACGGGGAAGGGGTTACTGCAACAGGTGTGCATTTCGAACGGCGGGGTTACCTCAACGAGTCATTCACAGTGGGCGCGTTACTTTTCTTCCTTTTTTTTCTGCCGAACTTCTGGACGAGAAAAGGCTCCAGTATTGTTTTTTGTTGTTTTTTTGGTAGAGTTTGTACGGGGACCCCGTCGCTGTTTGCTGCCTCAGCTGGCTTCTGTGTAGGCGTGTGTGTGTGTGTGTGTGTGTGTGTGTGTGTATGCGTGCCGGAGCCTCGAACCCATATCCCATTGCTGTCGCTCCGGGCGCTCAGCCCATTTTCATGGCCGCCGTGCCGTGCCGTGCCGTGCCGTGCCGTGCCGTGCCGTGCCGCGCCGTGCCGTGCCGTGCCGTGCCGTGCCGTGCCGTGCCGTGCCACTGACTGGACTCGCCTGCGTGACCTCCCGTTCCTGTTGCCATAGTTACATGTGGCGGAAACGGACGAAATACGTTGCCGAAACAACAGTATCCACCGGGCGCAGTGTGCCTAGTGCGTAGAGGTCACCCGCGTCACTCACACTCTCACACACCTACACACACACACATACACACACACACACCTATACACACACACAGCCAATCCATTCCGCGTCAATGATAAATATTACCGTGAGATCAAGTTTTGGTTGAAGCGTTTTGGTCACACGTTCAGTTCGAGTGCCATTCAGCGACTCTGGAGCTCAAAACGCGTCTTTGTCCGCCTCCACACTGTGGTTCACTGACCGGACTTCCCTCCGCACAGTGTGCCGCCCCAACCTTCGCCCAGGAGGGACTCGCTCGCGGCGGCTTGAGGCGTTTTCTACTTACCTCGCTGGCGGTGTTCCGGCTGCGGACGAAAAAAAGAGAAAAACGGAATGAATCAGTGTGAGTAACGAGGAAGGCGTTCAGGAAGACCGGAATCTAAACTGCTTTGGGCGAGCACGGAAACGCTTCCAAAAGGCGCGCGAAACAATCAATCTGAACCAGAACTTGACACTTTTGCGACTTTTGCAGTTGACGATTCGCTAATTGCTTCATTTGGGTTACCAAAGATTGCAGCATTTTTTTTTCGTTTCGAGTCGCTGTAGTGGTCCACCTGGAGTCGCAAATTCTTCATCCTTAGTTCCATTGTTTTTTTTTTGTTTTTTTTCTTTTTTAAATTTTTCTGAGGTCTGTGGGGGCATAGGAAGGAAACTGACTGGCCCACTGTGCCTCGTCATCATCATCGCCACTCTGGGAAAGATCTGGAAGCGCGGCCCAGTCCGACGGCCGGACGGCAGAGATCGAATTTCGAAAGATGTGGAGTAGTTTCGGAGCGAGGCTTAGTGTCAGCGCTAGAGGCAGCGGCGGTGGAACCGGCTGGGAAACATGGAAACTGTTCCGTTTTGGTAAGCTGCTTTCAGGAAGCTGCGATTTTTTTCAATTTTGAAGGATTTTTTTACGATCAAGGGCGCAACTGTTATTCCTTTCAGAAATTCTGTATTATTTTCCACGCACGACGGGTAACTGTTGTACGAACCCCAACCGATAGTTTTTGGCTTTTTCTTTGTTTTGGTGTTGGCGCCGCCGCCAATCTACCGCCCGTTGCGGTGGTCGGCCTGCACCTCATGAAGTGACCATCCCGCTGATTGCGCCGCGGGGGTCCACAGTGGGCCAGAAGACCGGAGGAGGCGGCCGAAACTCCAGACGCGTGCAGAGCTCCAGAGTCGCTAAATGGGACTCGAATCGAACGTGTGACCCCACCAATGGATTGCTCTCCGAACGAGGAATCCATTGGTGGGGCCACACGTTCGGTTCGAGTAACATTTAGCGACTCTGGAGCTCAAAACGCGTCTAGAGCTTTGGCCGCCTCCACCGGTCTTCTGGCCCACTGTGACTCGCCAGTCCTCCTCTCCCACTATTGTCCCGAGTCCTTCCCCGTTCCCTCCCGGAGGATGCAAATGCTGCCCGTTTTCCGGAAGTGTCACTGCGGGGGGCGTGGCGCCGCGCCGCCTCGATGTCTCGCTGACCACCATCATCCTGGTCGATTAAACCGCGATATCGATTGATGTATTGCCGGCGAGCGGCGCGCCGGCCAAACGCTCATTTATCGGTGTGACGGAGCGGAGTGCGCAGAGCCCGTCCCTTTCCCTCTCAGTCAGCCTCTCATTTTCCGAGCTTTATAAACTGAATATATACAAAACGAGACTTTTACTGCTTTCGGTTTGAACTATTCATTTTTTCTAATTTTTTTTTTTTAATTTTTGAGCACGCGCCATTTTTCGGCGCGCCTTTTCTGTGCTTTCGAGAACGACGAGACGGTCGAGACGTACGGTCGCGACACTGTCGAGACGGTCGAAACGGACGAGACAGTCCGACACACTGTGAGCGAGACAGTGTGCGCGGCGTGCCAAGGGACAGTGCTCACACGCCAAGAGAAAAAGACTAATCTCTGGGTATCTTCGCGAATTATGGTGTATGTGTGTGTGCGTGTGTGTGTGTGTGTGTGTGTGTGTGTGTGTGTGTGTGTGTGTGTGTGTGTGTGTGTGTGTGTGCCCGAGCGACGCCCAGCTGTCTAGCCCGTCTTGGCCCGCGGCCATTGGGCGAAGCAGCAGAGCACCCAGACGGGTACGTACCACCCCACACCCCTACCCGTCTCCCGCGCCGCGCCCGCCGCACAGTGTGCCAGAAGACCGGCGCAGGCGGCCAAAGACGCGTTTTGAGCTCCAGAGTCGCTAAATGGGACTCGAACCGAACGTGTGACCCCACCAATGGATTGCTCTCCGAACGAGGAGTCCATGGGTGGGGTCACACGTTCGGTTCGAGTCCCATTTAGCGACTCTGGAGCTCAGAACGCGCCCAGAGTTTGGCCGTCTCCACCGGTCTTCTGGTCCAATGTGAAACGTGCCGTCGGGTACGGCGAGGAATCACAGTTCACAGAAACTTACTGAAATTCATTTCTTATTTCCCAACAATTTTCGCGATATTCTCTGAGCTTCCTTTTACATTTGCCCAGGACTAAGTTTTTCGTGGCGACTTCTGCACGGGGTTTCCCGCGTGAATCGCAGCGACGGCCTTTCAGGGAGCGAGTCCGAAATACAGGCCAGGTTGCCGCCCCTCGAGGTGCCCGAGGTGCCCACACTGGCCGCACTGCCGCCGCTCCCATTGGTCGGCGCGGATGGTGCGACCGGCGGGCGGCCTTCATAGTTCTGGGCCACGGGGCCGGGCTCCTCGTTGCGATACTCCGCGCCAATTTTTTGTTTTCTGCCCCAAATGAAGGACGAAAAGGGGGCACAGTGGATTCGCCAGGCGACCGGCGGAGGCGGCCGAAACTCTAGACGCGTTTTGAGCTCCAGAGCCGCTGAATGGGACTCGAACCGAACGTGTGACCCCACCAATGGATTCCTCGTTGGGAGAGAAATCCATTGGTGGGGGTCAGTCATGTTCAGTTAGCGACTGTGGAACTCAAAACGCGTCTAGAATTTTGACCACCTCCACCGGTCTTCTGGCCCACTGCGAGGGCTAAACCACAGTGACATATGCAAATGAGGAGCCAAGTGGTTGTTTCTTGGTTCCAGTCCGGCTGATGGACGTGGGAACGTTTCCACTCGCTTGGCTACACTGGATACAAGCTAAGCGCCCCAGGCGTCTTGTGCAAATGAATCTGCTAGACTTTCACTCGGGAGCTGATGGCATTGGCAGCCAATAGGGAGCCGGCCGCAGCCCCGGCCAGCGAATCAGAGCACGCGTCGGTGATGTCACGACCGACCAGTGCCGGGGCCGATTTCCTGCCGTCAACCAATCGGCGAAAATGCGATGCTCTCATTGGACGGGCAAGCAGCGAAGAACTGCTCGTACCTCGCGATCGGTGGCCGTTACAGACACCGCACAGTGGGCCAGAAGACCGGCGCAGGCGGCCAAATTTTTAGACGCGTTTCGAGCTCCAGAGTTGATAAATGGGACTCAAACCTGAAGTGTGACCCACCCGACGGATTCCTCGTTCGGAGAGCAATCCATTGGTGGGGTCACACGTTCGGTTCGAGTCCCATTTAGCGACTCTGGAGCTCGAAACGCGTCCGGGATTTTGGCCGCCTTCTACGGCCCACTGTGGCCTGGAGTGCTTCGCGTTTTGGCGCGCTTCGCTCCGGTTGGCCCTTGCGCCGACCAATGGGAGCGCAGCGCGGCCCGCCCCGACCAATGGCGGCCGGGGAGGTCTATTTCCGGGGCTGACGTCACTGACGTCACGCCAGGCAGGTGAGGGCGTCATGCCCGCTCCAGGGATGTCGACAAGGACGGCCTGACCCGCTTAATGCACGAACAGGAGAGAGAGAGAAAGAGAGAGAGAGAGAGACCCGCGCGTGTTCGGCACTCAATTAGCGATTTAATCGCCTTTTGATAGATGTGTCGTCCTCGCGGTCCATCCGTCGTAGACGTGAAAATGATTAAGAGGAGCAGAACGCTACATGTTTTGTTTTTTTGTCTCTGTACATTGGAATAAAAAAAGTGCCAAAAGCGGCCTGATGCTTGATAGAAGTCGACAAGTGAACCACTCTGAGTGACGGACAGCGTGGACGTGGTACCCGGTGGTACCCCTGGCACCTCCCGGTCCTCTCGGTCTGAGAGTCGTTTTCGTCGCCCTGTCTCTGTTGCGCCTACTCGGGGCGCCCTTGAGTGCGAGAGAGACAGTCTGGCTGGGCTCGACTCCGCCACTGCCGGGCGCCTGCCATCGCACGGATAGGCAACCCGAGCGCACAGCGGCGCTGCGGGAGTGCATCTTTTGTGAATCAGTTTGGTCAACTAGCGAGGCCGTTTTCTTTTTTTTTTGCGAGGATGTAGCGGTGTTTGAACCCGCGACTGCGCACTGCGAGGCGTCGCGCTACTGCGTCAACGCCGCCGATATTTTTGTGGGTCGAACCAATTGGCCGAAACGACGCGGCCAGGTCTTATGGGGCTACACTGCCAAAACGTCTCGTAAAACCATTTCACGACGTCCAAGACGGCGCCTGCGAGAATGGCGAGAACGGAGAGCGATCAATGAATGAATGAATGAAAGGGTGAAGTACCGACGTGGGAGGAAAGGGCATTGTATCTGTGGAGGGCTCGAAAGGACGCTCTCTCTCTCTCTCTCTCTCTCTCTCTCTCTCTCTCTCTCTCTCTCTCTCTCTCTCTCTCTCTCTCTGTTGTCGAAAAACAAGGAGCAGCAGGACAGCGGCCGCTGCTGCCAACTATTTTTTCCCTAGAACAACACTGACTACTGTCCCAGACAGCGACTCATGGGAATCGAGGCTCGCTGTGCAAAACGTGGGGTCGAAACAAAACTGTTTTCTCGGAAGAATATATCTATATATTTACTTATTTATTTCAAATAATACATGTCCAAAGAGCATGAATCCCTGTTGTGAACTCTGAATAGTTTACAATAGTATGAGACTATTATGAGATAGAAAGAATATTTTTGAGAGATCTGTCCCGAGTGGGTGGAGGCACGCTCTTTGCAGGTGGGTGGGCTAACCTGTTGCACGCGTATGCCGCCCATGCGGCTTGGAATTCGAATCTGAATAAATTTCCTGGAGAATTTGGCCAGAATTGGGTTTCCTAATATCAAAGTTCGGACCGAATTTTTTAACCCCAGTCTTTGCATTTCTTTCTTTTTTTTGTTTTAATTGATCACTGAGAAAACTTTACAAACTATTTTAGGCCTTACAAAGAAAAGCAGTTTGGTATAACAAAGTATTTTGAGCATACATAAGTTTATAAAGAAAATACTTCGCAATTTAAGAACTATTTCTTCGTGTGACAAAGTAAATTAGTTTGTATTATGTGTGCTCAAAATACTTGGTAAGGTTTTAACGTGATGCTTTTAAGCAAGGTATTGTTCTGGAAGTGAGGCATACTCACAGTGGCCGTCTGGCGTGGAGGCTGGCGCGGGGGCTGCTGGGATGTCTGTCCGGGGGCAGCCGGCGGCACTGACTGCCCGGTACCACACGGCCACCCCCGGCCTTCCCTGGCCTCGCCACCCTGGCCACCCTGGCCTCGTGGAAGAGGAGGGGGCGGGGGCACGGACCGGGGCACGGACCGGGGCAGGGGGCGCAGAGGAGGAAGATGACCAAGAGGATCTAGGGAAGGAAGAATCAGGGATCTCTTGAAGGAGCCGGTGGAAAAAGGAAGGAGAGGATCAGTGACCACGCGGGAGGGGATCGTGAACAGGGGAGGGGAGGGGGTGGTCGGGATCGAGGCCAAGGGGATGGGGCTGGTGAACTGCACCCCCTCCAAGACCGCCTCCAAGACACGTGGAAGGACAACCGCGTAGCCCTTGCCTCGCGTAGCCCAGCCAAACGGGCCTTATCGAGTTAGTCAAGTTGTTGGCAGCGGCCTTTGGCTTCGAGAAAACGCGCAGTGCCCACCCTGCAGGCTGCCTGCAGGCTGCCTGGGCCTCGCGCAGAAGACCGGTGGAGGCGGCCGAAACTCTAGACGCGTTTTGAGCTCCAGAGTCGCTAAATGGGACTCGAACCGAACGTGTGACCTCGCCAATGGATTGCTCTCCGAACGAGGCATCCATTGGTGGGGTCACACGTCCGGTCCGAGTCCTCTGGCCCATGGTTCACCGTCTGCGCCCTGCATATTCCCTCGCAGCTCATCGAGTCTTAGGACGGAGGGCCTGGAGGGCCGCAGGGTGGGAGAGGGGCGGCCGGGGCGGCAGTATCCGCTTTACGAGTGCATCTCCACTGTAATGACGCGCGTATTAGAGAGATTCTGGCGCGTCGCAGTCGGACGCGTGTGGAATTCCTGGACGTGCACCGCCTGTTGTGGCGCCTCATGACTGCCCTGCCACTGCCCTATGACTGTCCAGCACCACGTGGACAAGAAATATCTCTCTCTCTCTCTCTCTCTCTCTCTCTCTCTCTCTCTCCTCTCTCTCTCTCTCTCTCTCTCTCTCTCTCTCTCTCTCTCTCTCTGAGGTAGGAAATGACGGTCGTCGCGGAACTGCGACAATAGTTTATTTTCGCCTCCGGGATGCCAAATGGCAAAGGGGTGAGGTTTTCTGTGTGTGTGTGCGTGTGTGTGGGGGGGGGGGCGTGGGCGTGCGGTGCAGTCCGTGACGTCCACGCCGCCCCCGCCTAGCCTTGTTGCGTCTGGCCTGGTCTAGCCAATGACAAGGTGGCTGTGTCCTGTAACTGCGCTAAGGCGCCGGGGCCGGCCGGACCGCCCGGCGGGGGCAGTCTGGCAGTGTGGGCCCCACGCCGCCCCCGCCCACTCGAGGGCCTCGTCCACCGCCGCAGTGGGGACACAGACGTCACTATGCAAACCACTAGGACTGCCCAAAGTCAACTGGGTCACGTTTTTGGCTTTCCTTTTGTACCGACGCGAATGCTAATTTTTCTCTTGTTTTCTTTTCCAGAGATGCCGCGCGGACCGACCGAAGCGCCGTCGTCTGATGCCGTTGGCTTGAAGGACTTGAAGGTAGGCCCCCGCTGGTCTCGCCCGTCTCGCCCGTTCCGTCGCTCTGTCTCTCTCGCACCCCGCCGGGCGCCCCACAGTGGGCCAGAAGACCGGTGGAGGCGGACAAAACTCTAGACGCGTTGTGAGCTCCAGAGTCGCTAAACAGGCCTCGAACCGAACGTGTGACCCCACCAATGGATTCCTCGTTCGGAGAGCAATCTATTAGTGGGGTCACACGTTAGGTTCGAGCCCCATTTAGCGACTCCGGAGCTCTGCACGCGTCTAGAGTTTGTCCGCCTCCACTGATCTTCTGGCCCACTGTGCGCCCCGCGCGCCACGGGGCGCAGGGCGGGGGAGGCGGGCGGCTTGACACACATGGAGGCAGGGCGGGCGGCTTCCAAGGGACACGCGTGTCGCCAATCATGACGTCATGGGGTCGGCTCCACTGGCAGATTCGGCCAGGGCGGAGTGTACTAGTGTACAGCCTGCAGACTGCGGAAGGATGCACAGTGGCCAGAAGAAGAAATCCCGGACGTGTTTTGAGCTCCAGAGTCGCTAAATGGGACTCGAACCGAACGTGTGACCCCACCAATGGATTGCTCTCCGAACGAGGAATCCATGGGTGGGGTCAAACGCTCGGTTCGAGTGCTGTTTAGCGACTCTGGAGCTCGAAACGCGTCTGGGGTTTTGGCCGCCGGCGCCGGTCTTCTGGCCCACTGTGCGACTCTCGACGCCACGCGCCGCCGGAGTACACTCCACCCAGGGAGTGTGCTGGCCCCGCCGCGCCCGCCGGCTCGCCGTGGTGGCCGAGACCCCCGCTACGCGCTCCGCTCCACGTGCTGGCCGTGCTGGCCGTGCTGGCCGCTGGCGCTAACCTTTGGCCTGAAGGAGAAATCAGGGGCCATTCATGTGGAGTGGACGCCCCGTCCCATGACGCCGCGACCCCGTGCCCGTCACACGTGCACTACTCCCGTTTTCGCTCCGTTTTTTGCGGTGTGCTCGCGATGGAGTGCTAACGTCGCCTTAATAAAGCGATGGCGGTTTTCCTGGCCGTAATGGGCTCGCAGTGTGCTAGCAGTGTCTCGTCGAAGCGATACTGCGGGATTAACAACCGCCTGCTGTACGCGTCGCTACTTGCCTTCGCTGCCTCGGGCTGCCTCGCTACGACCGGCGGGGCGCGGCGCCCCACAGTGGGCCAGAACACAGTGGAGGCGGCCGAAACTCTGGACGCGTTTTGAGCTCCAGAGTCGCTAAACGGGACTTGAATCGAACGTGTGACCCCATCAATGGATTGCTCTCCGAACGTGGAGTCCATTGGTGGGGTCACACGTTCGGTTCGAGGCCCATTTAGCGACTCTGGAGCTCTAAACGCGTGTAGAGTTTTGTCCGCCTCCACCGGACTTCTGGCCCACTGTGCGCCCGTTCCTGTTTCGTTGGAGATATTTCCGCAAACGGCGATGGCCGCTACACTCGCCAGTGACATCATCGGTCGGGGCAAAAAATTGGATCGGAGGGGCCGAGTTACGAAGGCGCAGGATCAAGGTAGCATCATCCTTGTTGTTGCTTTTGTTGTTGTTTGCCTTTTCTGCAATTCAGTTTTGCGCGCGTCCTTCTTCTCTTGCTTCGTTTGGAGTGCGTTTCGCGTGTGTGCGTGTTGGGGGGAAGGGGGGAGGGGATGAATCGGACGAGTTTTGCACTCCACGAGGCTAGCCGGGTGGTCCACGCAGGTCCACGCCGCGGCGCTGCAGCGCGCCGCTGTCGCATCCAGCCAGCCCGCTTCCTGGAAGCTTTTCTTGTCCGCCACCGCCGCGCTGTCGCCGCGCTGTCGCCCGATCGAATCAAAATCGCTTCGATGTCGCATGTCACCGCCGCGGCGCCGCACAGTGGGTCTGCCAGAAGACCGGTGGAGGCAGCAGGAGACGCGTTTTGAGCTCCAGAGTCGCTGAATGGGACTCGAACCGAACGTGTGACCCCACCAATGGATTCCTCGTTCGGAGAGCAATCCATTGGTGGGGTCACACGCTCGGTTCGAGTCCCGTCTCTCCTTCGCAGGGTAAAGCCTGCATTTGTTTTCCGCCGCAGTTAGTGCTGTCCTTTCCTTTTATTTCTTCTTATCCCTCCTGCCAGCACTGCCAGCAGCAGCGTCTCATCATCTCGGTTTCTCCCTCTCCTCGCTCTCCTCGGACTCGGAGCAGAATCTCCCAGGTGGTCGCTAAAACCGGCTCCGATGCAGAGGCTGCAAAGCCACCGAACAGACCGGCCGGCCGGCCAGGCGGAGGGTCTCCGTGCCTCCAGCGGACTCCAGCACTCCAGCGCCGGGCAGCTGTGTCCAGACTCATTCCGAGAGCTCGCTCTGTCTCTCTCGCACTCATGGGGCGCTCCCTTTTGGCGCGAGGGAGACAGAGCGACGAAGACGACTCTGCCGATCCTAGCCGCACGGCACGGCGAGGCACGCCACACCACCGCCGTGCGTGTCCAGCGATGGGTCTTTTTTATCGGTCGCGTGGAAGCGGAGCGAGCCTGGTTGGCTAGGCAGGCCGATACCCGCCACTTCTAAAATTCGAATTCAAATTCAACTTCGCGCCCGAACGGAGCCAGCGTCCCCATCGGGCGGGCCTTACTCCGACGTCAGTGCCTTTACTCGCCAGAGCAAAAGTTGCACGAAAAGAAAAGGCAATTTCCATGACCTCACTCAATCTTACCTCCTGGCCGTGGAAAAAGAAAAGTTCATTCGCAATGGAAAAATGTTTGTCTTTGTGTCACGAGGCAAATTCGCCCGAAAAAAAAATGCAGGTCAACTGGACCTAGACACACTCTCAATCAAATGTTCCCCATTTTCGTTTTCCTAATTGTAAATTATTTTAGCTCGCAGTTCGAAGTCCTGTCGAGTTTGGTCCGCATTGTCAATGTTATCTTTAAATTTTGTTCGGGGTTTTAAACGAGGAGGCCTTTAAAATGGAGATGAAAAGTGTTTTTGTTGCCCGGGCGCGGATGTGCCACTGGTTGGGCTGGCGGCCGAGAGGTGGCTCAGACAGCGTGGCGCTCGCCCCCTCCCCTCCCCTCCCCCTCCCCCTCCCCCTCCCCCCTCCCCTCCCCCTCCCCCCTCCCCCCCCTCCCCCCTCTCCCCTCTCTCCCTCTCTTTCTCTCCCTGTCCTTGTTCCTCCTCCTCGCTTCCTTCCCCTTTCTTTTCGATTCCTCTTTGCCTCAGAGTGCTGCCAAATTTTCCGCTCACCTCTTTCAATAATTTTAAAGAGGCATCCGCGAGGCACAACACACATTCACACACGCATTCAGACTCACACTCACACACTGCTCACACACACACACCTACAGACACACACAGTCGGGCAGGGTGCCATGTTATAAAGTCCGAAGAACCTAGGGAGAGGAAACAGTCCGCATAAAACTGAAACGCATTTTATTTTTGTTTATTTATTGGCTGTTTATTGCCGTGAAGGGGGACAAGACACGATTCGGTAACTGTGATGAATTCGGTCCAAGATTCGGTCGTGGCTCGACAGCGACAGAAGACCGGCGCAGGCGTAGGCAGCTAAAACTCTAGACGCGTTTTGAGCTCCAGCGTCGCCGAATAGGACTCGAACTGAACGTGTGATCCCACCAATGGATTCCTCGTTCGGAGAGCAATCCATTGGTGGGGTCACACGTCCCGTTCGAGTCCCATTCAGTGACTCTGGAGCTCAAAACGCGTCCGGGATTTGGACCGCCTCCCCCACTGTGCGCTGCCCTGCCTCTGGCGCCTGCCCTTGCGCGGCGTAGGCACGCGGGGCCACGGAGGTGGCAGTTGGGTTGCCTACCCTACAGGCGGCGCGTCTTGCTGTCTTTGCTCGGTCCCGCCCGTTGGTAGGCAGCCCAGCGGACAGCGATTCTCTCGGCCTGCCTTAGCCTCTAGACGCGTTTTGAGCTCCAGAGTCGCTAAATGGGACTCGAAGCGAGCGTGTGACCCCACCAATGGATTGCCCTCCGAAAGAGGAATCCGTTGGTGGGGTCACACGTTCGGTTCGAGTCCTGTTTAACGACTCTGGGTCTCAAAACGCGTCTAGAGTTTTGGCCGCCTCCGCCGGTCTTCTGGGCCACTGTGCCACCTCCCCGAGCGGCCCTGCTTGACCGCCGCATCCTTCTCCGCTTGCAGGTGATGGAGGCCGCCAGCCGCAGCGCGTTGCTGGTGCGCTGCGGCGGCCGGTCCACGGCGGGGCTGCTGCTGGACGGCGGCCTCGACGGCGGCCTCGACGGCGGCCTCGACGACGGCCTCGGCGGCGGGGCGTGGCGCGGGGCGTTCGTCCTGGCCCCGGGGCTGCTGCTGTTCGGCGTGGACGTGGAGGACGTGACCGACGTGGCCAGGACGGCCGCTCGCGTGCCGCCCCTCAGCGTCGTCGTGCGGCGCGGCCGCGCCAAGGTGAGCGATTCACTTTGCACAGTGGACTTGCCAGAGGACCGGAGCAGCCGGCCAAAAACGCGTTTTGAGCTCCAGAGTCGCTAAATGGGACTCGAACCGAACGTGTGACCCCACCAATGGATTCCTCGTTCGGAGAGCAATCCATTGGTGGGGTCACCCGTTCGGTTCGAGCTCTGCTAATCGACTCTGGAGCTCTTAACGCTTGCAGGATTTTGGTCGGCTCCTCTGAGTGTGCTCTGCCTCCGAGTACAGCTGGGCCTTTTCATTCTGCCCGCAGCCTGCCGCCATCTCCACCATCGCGCCCGGCGCCGGGTGCGCCGTGACGTCGGTGGTGACGTCGGCGGCGGCCAAGGCCTGCGGCCAGCAACGCGGCCAGCCCCCGCACCCCGACGACCTGGCCGAGGTGCCCGCCAAGCTGGTGGCGGCGTGGCGATGGCCCGCCCTGGCCAAGGCCCTGCCCCACGTGTTGGCCGAGCTGCGTGTCGAGGCGGAGGACGACAAGCAGGCCGACAAGCAGGCCGACAAGCTGGCCAGCAGGCAGGTCCGCGACCTGCTGTCCGTGTTCGTGGTGCTGCAGCTACAGCCCGGCGCGGCCGACGGTAGGTTTCACTCTTGTAACGTTTTGAGCTCCAGAGTCGTTAAACAGGACTCGAAGCGAGCGTGTGACCCCGCCAATGAACTCCTCGTTCGTAGAGCAATCCATTGGTGGGGTCACACGTTCGGTTCGAGTCTCATTTAGCGACTCTGGAGCTCAAAACGCTTCTAGAGCTTTGGCCGCCTCCACCGGTCTTCTGGCAAGTCCACAGCCTGCTTGTTGCAGCCGCCAGCCTGGGCGACGCGCTGCGCCGCGCGTACCGCCGCGTGCCCGCCGTGCCCCCGCGCGGCACCGCCGTGCTCACGGCGTCCGCGCCGCTGGGCGCCGCCGCGCTGCTGGGGGCCGTGTGCCGCGGCGTGGTGGCCGGCACCGCCCCGGGGGGCTGCTCACCCTCACCGACGCCAGGGTGGCGCCGGGCGGCGAGGGCGCCGGCGTCTTCGCCCAGGACGCCGCCGACGCCCTCCCCTTCGCCGTCGTCTTCTCGCCGCTGACCTGGTGGCGCGGCGAGGCCGTGGGCTTCACGCTGTGCGTCGGCCTGCGCCGCCTGCTGCAAGACGCACTGCGCCACCTGCCCGGCCACCGCGGCCAGCCGGACGTCCCGCTCGCCGAGGAGGCCGACCAGTGCGGTACGCACTGAGCAACGACTCGAACCGAACGTGTGACCCCACCAATGGATCCCTCATTCGGCGAGCAATCCATTGGCGGGGCCACACGTTCGGTTCGAGTCCCATTTAGCGACTCTGGAGCTCAAAACGCGTCCACTGTGCGGCGCCGTGCTCGCTGTCCCGCCGCTCTAACTCGCTCTGTCTGCTGCAGGACTCGACCGCAGCGTGCTCCTGGTGCGGTGCGCCCACATGTGGGGCTCGGGTGTGGTCGTGGACAAGGAGAAGCGCGTCGTACTCACTTGCGCGCACGTCCTGGCCGAGGTAAATCAATGAATGGAGGAATGATAAATATCAATGAATGAATGGACGAATGAATGGACGAATGAGTGGCCGAACGAATAAATGACTGGGCGCATGAATGGCATGTTCCAGGACGAGCCCGTCTCGGTGTTCTGGGGCGGGCACTCGGTGAAGGCGTCCGTGCTGTGGCGCTCTGCCGACGGCGTGCCCTACGACGTGGCGGTGCTGCAGCTCGCCGACGACGCCTGCGTGGCCGAGCTGGAGGCGCTGGCCCTGGACACGAGGCCGCCCCGCGTCGGTGAGTGTCTGTCCCCCCAGTGGGCCAGAAGACCGGTGGAGGCGGTCAATATTCTAGAAGCGTTTTGAGCTGCAGAGTCGCTAAACAGGACTCGAACCGAACGTGTGACCCCACCAACGGATTCCTCGTTCGGAGAACAATCCATTGGTGGGGTCACACGTTCGGTTCGAGTCGCATTTAGTGACTCTGGAGCTCAAAACGCATCTAAAATTTTGGCCGCCCGCGCCGGTCTTCTGGCGCCTGTGCACTGGTGCAGTTGTCTTTACTATGTTTCCGCGTCTGCAGGTGAGCCGGTGCTGGCGGTGGGCTACCCGCTGTTCTCGGAGCGCTGCGCCGTGCCGGCCGAGGCCCTGTCCGAGCACCGCGTCGTCCGGCCCCTGGTGTCCCGCGGCGAGGTCTCCGGCTGGTGGCGCTCGTCGTCCAGCCAGATCTTGTCCACGTGCTGCGTGCAGTCCGGCGCCAGCGGCGGCCCGCTGCTCCGCCTGGGCCCCACTGGACCCACCGCCATCGGCGTCCTGGTGTGCAACGCGCAGCTGGGCTGCGGCCGCGACGCCGTCGTCTACCCCCACGTCAACTTCGCCCTCTGGGCGGACACCGTCGCCGGCCCCATCAACGAGTTCCTCGCCTCCGGAGGTCAGTGGCAGGCTCGCGCAGTGCGCCAGAAGACCGGTGGAGGCGGTCAAAATCCCGGACGCGTTTTGAGCTCAGAGTCGCTAAATAGTAACGTGTACTTTCCCATTGTCCAACTGCTCCAGACGCTGCCGTCCTAGCGGGCCTGCAGTGCGACAGTCCCTCGGTGCAGCGGCAGTGGAAGTTGCAGCCTCCGAAGATGTGCAAGCTTTGAGTCTTTTCCTCCATTCAAGTCTGTGATATATTTCCTCTTTTGTATTCCATTTATATCTGTATTTTTTGTACATGTCATACCAACCGGGCTTGGAACGCTTCCCGGGCCTTGGATTATAATTTTCGATTACGTTAAGAAATTGTTATTGTTGTTGTTGCTGTTGTTTACGGTATTAAAACTTTTCTTCTTGAGACCCTGGCCGCTTTCCTGAACTACCCCTTCCTGCACAGTGTGCCGTCGCAGCCGCCCCCGCCGCTGTTCTTGCAGAGCCCGGTCTTGCAGCAGTGTGGGGACCCCCTGCAGTCCCAGCGACGGCAGTTGTCCTGATGAGTAAAGTGGCTTTCAGGCTCTCTCTCTCCCTCTCTCTCTCTCTCTCTCTCTCTCTCTCCTCTCTCACTCTCTCACTCACACACGCAGCACGCACACTTACTCTAACACACACACACACACGACAAAAGCAAACCTGGAGGCCGTTGCGCTTTTTGCAGGAACACCCACTGTACAGGTGACTGGCTATCAGCTCCCTGGAGCGCACCTTGAGAGGCTCCGGCAGCGGCTGCGGTGCGGAGCAAAAAAAAGATTCGTCGAAAAAATGTTAATTGTTTTTTTCAGTTTTTGGCAAAAAATTAAAATGGTTCTAATTTGAGTGCTGGAGCACTCCCTGATAACTCCTCACGCTATTTTCGGCTCTAAACAGTGTTTTTGCCGCGAAAAGTTGAAATTATTGGAGCCTGGCAGGTCGTCGTCCCACTCACGATGACGTAGTTCCAGTCGTCCAGGCCGCGCTTGCGGTAGTCGGGCTCCGAGATGAGGGGCGGCACGGTCTTGCCCGTGGGGAGGCGGCACGCGTAGGCCCTGGGGGCCTTGGGGGGCTGGGGGGCGGCCGGGGGGCAGGGCGCGGCGCAGAGAGAGCGGCAAGCCCTGTCGGGGAGGAACCCTTCGCTCGGCGATACCCCTCGCCAGCAGTGGCGCCGCGTCGCGCGGGGTAGCGCCGCCGCGTCGTCCGCACGGCGCTGGGCGTCGCACAGTGGGCCAGAAGACCGGTGGAGCGGCCAAAACCCTAGACGCGTTTTGAGCTCCAGAGTCGGTAAATGGGCCTCGAACCGAGCGTGTGACCCCACCAATGGATTCCTCGTTCAAAGGGCAATCCATTGGTGGGGTCACACGTTCGGTTCGAGTCCTGCTGAGCGACTCTGGAGCTCAAAACGCGTCGAGAGTTTTGGCCGCCTCCACCGGTCTTCTGGCCCACTGTGCGTCGCGACGCCTCCCCTTCCTCCGCTCCGCCATCGATCCACTCGGGGACCATTCATAAACCCGCAGGCGTTTCCAGTGGAGGGTGGCGGGGCGGGGCGGCTCCATCGGGCTCATCTTAAATACATGAGGCGTGGCACACTGGCATGGCGCGGCGCTGACGGCCCCGTCCCTTACTTGTCCTCGTCGAGCTCCCGCACGATCCCCTTCAGGACCTCGACCAGCTCCTTCTTGACGCTCACCGGGCTGCAGGCCTCCAAGGTGGCCATCGCGACGACACTGGCGAATTTGGAAAATGAAACGAAATGGCGGGGACTTTAGAGTGTAGGGCCGAGAAGTGGTGCTGGGGCTGTGTTGGGAACATTGTTGGGGGATTGTCGGGGTGGCCAGTGCTGCCAACTCACACACGGACGCGGCACCTGTAGGAAAACACACACAGCAGGAAATAGGACTGCCCCTACCTCCGAAAATAATAAGTTTGATGTTTCTGTTGTTGTTGTTGTTTTTTTCAATAAGGTTTACAGTATTTACTTCTTTATTTTTCTTACTCACATCACATAGAAACATACATTTAGCAGAGAACAACATTTTCCGAATGTTTATACAATAATAATCATATAATTCATTCTACAGTTATTTTTTCGAAACATGAACTTTTAATTTTATATCTTAAATGTAAACATTATTGTTATTCTCTTCGATTATTTTTTTTTTCACAACAAAGCAACAATTCAGAAGAAGTGAAACCATATGTGCAAGTTAATGAAATGGTAATACCCCAAAGAGGACATAATGAAATCTTTATTACAGACTGTTTACAGGTTTGTCGAACGACATTTTATTATCTTTTTGGTCTGGCGGGTGCGGGCATTTTGGCATTGGCTATGGACTTCGCATTAGTGGTGCTTTTCTACCCACATTTATCCAAATAACTAACAAAAACGATAAATAAAAAACAGTTTGTTAATACAAAGATACAAAACAAGCCTTGGCTGTCTTCAATAACTATGGAACACTGTCTTTGACACGCCCAGCCAATGCCGCCTAGAAGCCTAGACCCGCGCAGACGAAAACGGCACCCTTAGGACACTCTCAACATGTCTATACTCACTAGATATAAATACAGGACTGTACAAAGGAGCACTTTAAATAAAATAACCTACCGAAATTTGAACAGACTGTCTATTGTTTGGAAGATTAAAAGGAGGGAGATTAAAAGTGGGGACAGGGGAGTAAAAGTAGGACACTGTGTTTAACACGAACCTTAGTTTTGTTTTGCAGTAGAAACAAAATTCCACACCCAGCTAGAGGCCCTCCACAAAACAAGACAGCAAATAATATATAAAAATATCAACCAAAGCTATAATGGATTGTGCAATGTTATATGGAATGATGTTCAAAAATATATATTATGTAATCAGACATGTATTTTCAAAATATATTTCAAGCTGAAACACTCAATAAACACTGTACAGAATAGGGTTTCTGTCAGCCAATAAGGGGAGGCCCTGCCCGGCCGCGAGAAAGCCTCGTCACGCTAAATGCAAAAAGTTGTGCCACAAAAACGCCGAGCTGCATCCGAGAGCAGGGTCTGAGGCCCTTACCCGGACGCGGCCTTCGGTCCTTCGTCACTGGGTGCCACTGGCTGCCCCTGGCCTAGCTGGAGGCCCCGCTTCCACCACACCGCAAGGGCCGAGCACCAACAAACTCCTCAGTTAAATGAACGAAGACAACAACGATATTTCAGATCAGCCGTACCATCGTTCGCATTACGGTGAAAAACGAGAAAAGAAATCTGTGCACAGTCTTACATATCGAACAAAAAACAAAACATTATGACTATAAGGCTTTTTAAACTTGTAAAGTGGCTCAGCGAAAATTGAAAATTGGGTTTCAGCATGAAATACACAAAATAGGCAGTTTAGCGCATCACTACCGCCATCCTTTTGTATTGCTACGGAACGGGTGAACTCGTCTCGTTCGTGCCGTCCGGAGTGTCACAGACTGGTCACAGACCTGGTCACAGACTGGTCACAAACCTGGTCACAGACTGGTCGCAGACTGGTCACAGACCTGGTCACAGACTGATAACAAACTGGTCTCAGAATGGTCACAGACTGGTCGCAGACAGGTCACAGACTGGTCGCAGACCTGGTCACAGACTGATCACAGACTGGTCACAGACTGGTCACAGATTTAACCTGTCGGCGGGTCGCCTTCCGACAAGGAATGAGTTCGGAACGCTTTTTGATAACAACTTCGTTCTATGCGCGACTTCCTGCTTCAAAATCCCGGCCGTCTGAACGCAAAGAGGAACCAAACAAAAACATAAATACAACATCAACAATAACACGAAGCCAGTAAAATTTGCACTTTTGTACGCTTCCAGAAAGTAAAACATTTTTCCGAGGGGAAATATAGTTACCAAGAAAACAATTTGCGCACACTTGGTGCGCGTTTTAGACAACACGTGAAGTGTTGCAGGGAAAACAAGGATAGAGAGAGTGGGCGGTCTTGCAGGACACACCCATTTGACTAGATCCACAATAATATGACTTAGGTACTAACTCTAGGATAACATAAGAAGGATATCCTCTCATCACGAAGCCGCAAAAGAAACATGAAAAATGATGACTTTTTAAAATATTTTCTATGCGTTACAATAGCAACAAAATATAACTTACTACTATGTACAATGATTGGACAAAACCTTTGACAATTGTACGTATTAATGTCTGCACGTAACTTTCCCGGTTCCCGGCCTGCAGTCGACATCGGCGACCCGGCTCGAATCAGATCCGAGCACGCCGCGATCCAGCACTTACAGTGACACAAATCTTGGCGTGAAATTATGGCAAATCATGGCAATGGTGTGGAGAAGATGCTAGTTACAAAAGGAGGGGGGCGAGGAAGTGATAACTCAGTGACTGTGAGGACGAGCTACCAACATAGTGACTTAATAAATTAAAAAAAATAATTTAAAAAAACGCCGTGGCGACAAAGAGGCTAAGCCAGGGAGAGACGATGGGGGCGTAGAAGCACCCACGTCTCTGGACCGTCTCTGAACGCGCTGACGGCTCTAACTGAACACGCATTGGCACTTCACTCCTTGTGGTACTACCAACCGAACAAAACTGTACAACACTAGTGTTCCTCTATGCTCGTCTTGAATTGGACTAGAAAAGAGAGAGAGAGAGGCCATTTTCGGGGCCCGAGTCGCGGAACACTAGATTTGACACGGAAAGAACAGTGGCAGTTTTCGAATCTTTCACAATTATTAATTAATTGTAGTACTTTATAGTTAGAATAATGGCTTTTGCTTTCTATGAAATTTACAATTTGTTTCTTTTAATAAATACATATCAAGAGATATAGCCGCCTGATAGGCGCCACGCCAACTTTTCTTTAAGAGAGAAACTAGAATTATCAAATGTTTGCAAACGACTGGCAGGGCCAACGGAGTACCTGGCCGCGGCCAGCCGGCCGGCCGATTGGTCCGTAACGTTTTATTGCATAGTCAAACGAAAGAAAAGGTGTCCAAAGCAGGGAGGTCGACACTAAAAAAGACACGTATGTACACCACCCAGACCGCCAAGTGTCTGGCTTCAGAGGAAACAAAAAGGAGTGATCTAGTAGGAGAAGCCAGGAGAAACTGCGCGAGACCGCGCGGCGACCCGACGGACGGGCACACTGCGCACGCTGCGCTCGCACGGCTTGCACTGCCCAGATGGTCCGAGAGTCTTTGCTTACAAAATACAGTGAGCGCCCCACCCCTCAGTAGAGGCCACAGCCCCGCAAGTTGTTGGCTATGATGACGTCTGTCACCGCGTCGAACACGAACTGGATGTTGTTGGTGTCCGTCGCGCAGGTCATGTGGCAGTAGATCTCCTTCGTCGTCGACTTGTTCTTGGCCTCGAACTGCGCCTGGATGTAGGCCGCCGCCTCGCCGTACTCCTGGGCACCTGCGGGACGACCAAGTGGTGAGGACAAGAAAACCACCAAAACAAACCGGAAATTCGCTGAAAGTGCGTTTTGAAGCTCTGCTGGAATTCCCTAAGGCTTCGCCATTCAAACAGGTTTTCTGAACTATACCTGTTGGAAACTCACTCAAAATAGCCCCATTAGGTTTTAGAATTTTCTTAAAGATCAGAGGCATTTTTTTTTCAAACAAGTTCTTTGGGGATTTTCAAGATCTTTTTAAAACTCACCTCCGTACTCCTGGAAGCATATGGTCAGGGGTGACTTCTTAATCTTGTCCTCGAACAAATCTTTCTTGTTGAGGAAGAGAATGATGGAAGTGTCGGTGAACCATTTGTTGTTGCAGATACTATCGAAGAGTTTCAAACTCTCCTGCATTCGATTCTGTAACAGGCAGGAAGAAAACACAGTGAGTCATCAGGAGCAAGCAACAAAGAAAAGACCGTGGAAGCAAATCTCCTGGTTAATTTTTTTTTTTTTTTTTTTTGCTTTGTTGAGCACTTTATTCGTACATTGACAACATGTTCTTGAAACCAACAGAACCCTTCGAGGTGAAACGGTGAATGGCAGTGACTCTCCGTTCAACATGTTATTGTTTTCGTGTTTTCTGGAGGGGGCAAGATGGCACGGGGTCCAGGGCCACGGCCTTGGTGGGCTGGGCCCCGCCCCGCCCCGCCCCGCCCCGCCCGGCGCGCCATTTTCAGACGGAATGCTCCTATTTCCAGGGGCGGGCGCTGGGCCCGCTGGGCCCGCTGGGCCCGCTGGGCCCGCTGGGCTGGCCCGCGTTGGAGAGTCTCCCAGCCACGGTGACGACGCCTGGCGAGCGGGCGGGGAGGCCCTTCCCCGCCACCTCCAGCACCCCCTCCCCTCCGCCGCCCGAAAAAAACTCGGGCGTGGTGATCAACACCAGCCCCTTGATGGAGGCAGAGAGACACGCGTCCCCAGCCCCGCCAGCCCCGCCAGCCCCGACAGGTGAAGCAGTAAGAGGCCTGACTCTCTTCTTCTCTCCCTTTCTCCTTTCCATGTTTCTGGCGAACAGATTGTGGTAACCATGGCGACGGCCACGGTGGGGGTGGCGGGCAGGTTGGGCTGGGCCCCGTCACGGCCCCGGGGAAGGGGCGGGACGGGGCGGGGCGGGGTGGCCGGTCGATATTACAAACGAGGGCCGAGGCGGGGTGGGTGGGGCGGGGCGGGGTGGGTGCGGTGGGGTGGGGCGGGCTCCAGGCCTGGCCGTGTCGTGCCCGCCACGCCAAACCCGCCGAGCGCGCGGGACGCGGGGCGCACAGCCTGGCCTACCTGTGGTTCCGTCCCAAAGAAGGAACCGGCCGCGCGGAGCAGAGCGAAGCGAAGCAGGGGACGTTCGTTCCCTTCCGTCCCGTTCCGTTCCGCGGGGGAAAATGCGCGTGGAAGGAAGACGGACAGACGGTGCATCGCATGGCGGTGTGGCGGCATCGCCGCTGCCGTAGCGCTCCGTAGCGCTGGCGTATCGCCGGAGGCTGATGTAGGTCATTCCTCGCCTTGCTACGCCTCGCCGCGCCTCGCCGCGCCTTGCCCACCCCCTCAGGACCCTCAGGACCATCGCGAGCGTCACCCTGCCCAGCCCGCCTCCCCGGCCCCGCTACAGTGGGCCAGAAGACCGGTGCAGGCGGTCAAAATCCCGGACGCGTTTTGAGCTCCATAACCGCCAAACAGGACTCAAACCACACGTCTGACCCCACCAATGGTTTGCTCTCCGAACGAGGAATCCACAGGGTCACACGTTCGGTTCGAGTCCGGTTTAGCAATTCTGGAGCTGATCGCCGCAAACCGCAAAAAATAAAACTTTGCTTTAAAAGAGGGCAAAATTGTCTCATTCCCAGATGGCGGGGTCCACGAGCGCGGCGTCCGGGGGATTCAATTCCCGACTGGCCGGCGAGGCCCCTCGAGGCTCGGGGCTTCCTTCTGCCATCCGACGCGTCGTCTGCACCGGAAATGGAGAGGCCACGGCAGACGGGGAGGCAGCGCCTGACAGGTCACGGACCGTCACGGACTGCCCAAGGATTCACGTGGCAGGGCATAGCTCCCTGCTTCTACAACTGACGTGGTGATCCCAACGAATAAACACCTTCATTGATTCATTAATGAAAAATTTTGTTTTGAATTCAGTGTGGAAGCCACACTGCAAAGCCGGGGCGCGCGCAGTCCCTTAATGGTAATGGGTGCGACAGGGGCAGGGTAGGCCGGCCCGCCATGCGCGGCAGTCGCCGGGTTGCCTAGGCCGACTTCGCAGGCGCTACCCCGCGAGTCGCACTGCCTCACAGTGGGCCAGGAGACAAGTGGAGGCGGCCAAAACTCAAGACGCGCTTTGAGCTCCAGAGTCGCTAAACGGGACTCGATCCGAGCGTGTGACCCCACCAATGGATTCCTCGTTCGGAGAGCAATCCATTGGTGGGGTCACACGTTCGGTTCGAGTCCCATTTAGCGACTCTGGAGCTCGAAACGCGTCTATAGTTTTAGCCGCCTCCACCGGTCTTCTGGCCCACTGCTGGGCGACGTGTCGTGCGTCCCTTTGGCGGCCCGGCAAGGCGCTCGCGTGAGCTGCGCAACGGCGCAGGTGGCAGCCCTCACGCCACCGAGAAAACAACTGACTCGGGTTCGATCCCCGACATTTTCAGTTTTTTTTTTTTTTTTTTTTGTGCGGAAAAACTTTTTTTAAAAAAAAAACACAGAGAAATTGTGGTTTGCCTGGCTTACTGACCGTGGTCTCGTCTTCGTGTAGGACTTGGTCGTACTCTGACATCGCCACGCAGAAGATGATGGCCGTGACGTCCTCGAAGCAGTGGATCCATTTCTTCCGCTCGGACCGCTGCCCTCCGACGTCGAACAATCTGCGAGGCAAGCACAGCATGAGAACCCGTCGCCCTGCACCCCACACAGTCTAGCTACTGAGAAAAAAAAATAGAAAAAAAAGCAGGCACGCTAGATGATACTCGGCAAGACTTTGACGTGCTTTGCGGTTTTTAGAGACTAGAGCAGCTACAAGTCGTGCTGCTGCATCAGGCGGCGTTTCGACCCCTCAAAGTCAAAACACACGCCCATTATGTTACAACTCTGAGAAGGGTGAAGATCGTTATCAAGCCCGCCAGCCAATTTAAATTTGACCCCGGCAATAATGAAGGGAGACACAAGTCCAGGTGTTGAGAAGCTCGTCAAGACTTTGGAGAGGATTTTGGAAGAAAGGAAGACTCGACAACTTTTTGACAGTCCACGCGCTGAAAGCTGGGAGAGTCTATTGTAGTTCAGGGATTGCGCAACAAGAAGAGAGGGCAGAAAACAAAGACGGGGAGAAGCGGGTGGCAGAACAAAAAAAAAAAGAAAAAAAAGGGAACAGCCAGAAGGCAGGCATTCATCGCGCGGACAAACAGACGCCAGGAAGATTTGTGTGAGGCGAGATAAGTTGGTACCCCTGGAGCGTTTGGAGCAATCTGGCGTCTCTCGCCCCCACTGGCAAACACTCGGGGCGAAAACTACAATAATGGAGTCAGCAGAAACACAACACACGCAGGTAGGCTGCCTCGCCGGGTCAATGTTTCTGTGCTGCGTTTCGGCAAGCGACGTTGACTTACTTGAAATTTAAGTTTTTAAAGGAGAAGTGAACTTCTACTATGCCGGTGGTCTTGACTCTCGTACGGAGAATGTCTTGTTCTGTAGGCTGATAGTCTTTGGCTCCCAGCCGATCCAAGTCATCCAGGAAACTGAAAGCACACCAGGACGTGATTAGAACCGACGGTACACTCTGGAATGGAACAAAACAAAGACTTTGCCGCATCGCCCGGGCAAAACTAGGAAAACAAAAGTAGTACTAAATGATGAAACCAGAAGAAAACGAAACAAAACTGGACAACTCAAAAGAACTCGAATAGAATGAAACGGGAATGAACGCACCTCTGATGTCCTTAACTAAGAAATGATTAAAAAGAAACGCAACAACCTAAAGGCGTTTTGTTACTGATAAACATGAGAAATGTAAATAAATTCGTGCCTAGAGCTGGTAGCTCTCGTCGTTTAGAAGAAGGCCCCTGGCAAAATCTGCAATTCCCACTGTGGGAAAAAATCACAGTAAATCCTGTAGTGATTAGTACAGCTGTCACTGTAGTTCAGAGTACAGGATTTACTGTACTTTTTTAACAGGATCTACGTACTTTGTACGGGATTTACGTACCACAGGGGTGGAGTACGGAATTCCTGTACAGGTACAGTAGATACTGTAGCAGGCACGGTAAATCCTGTGTTCTGAACTACAGTAAATCCCGGCAAAAAAATTAACGGGATTCACTGTGGTTTTTTCGCACAGTGCCGTTAACTTTCCGCCGAACAACCGTTATCAAAGTGGCAGCACGGCCAGTCTTAAAACTTGGAAGGCTTTCTCATCAAGTTCCGGGCGAGAGCCCCTCCCCTCCATTCAACGCGAAAAATGATTTCATGCATTAATGATCTCCATTGCGGAAGAGCTGCAGGGAGGCCTAGGGGTGGGGGCTGCACAAGTGGGTCAGCACTGGAAGTCAGGGAGGCCGTCTAGTCCAGTGGGCCAGAGGACCGGTGGAGGCGGCCGAAACTCGAGACGCGCTCTGAGCTCCAGAGTCGCTAAATGGGACTCGAACCAACCGTGTGCCCCCACCAATGGATTGCTCTCTGAACGGGGAATCGATCGGCGAGGTCACACGTTTAGTTCGAGTCCTGTTAGTTGACTCTGCAACCAACAGGACTCAATGAACGCACCCGGTTCAATTTTCGCAAGTCCTGCTTCTTTCTTTGGACTTGACATTTCATGTTTATCCGCCCTTGAGGCAGCACGCGTTTTGATTCTTTTATTTGAATGGCCTCTATTTCGGGATTGGCTGTAGGAAGGCGAGGGGGGAGACCAGGGTGAAACTTGAAGCTGGAGATGTTTCGCATGAGACCCAGCACGGTGTCAACACGTCTTCTTTATCTTCCTTTCCAGCCTCCCTGAAGAGTTGGTCCTCCGAGAGTAGTTCCGTGCCACCTTGTAGAGAGCTCTCAAGATTTGCACATGTTTTGCACAGATGGAAAAGAATGAATCTCTAGTATTACTGGCTCTGATAATGTAATGTTTCAACACAGATTTCAATCTGTCTCAAAATTTGGAAACTTTCTTTGAATTCCTTCATAGTGAAATGCCGAAAAATGCTAAATCTACATCTCAGCAGAAAAATTTTAATGCACTGATTTACGGGTGGCGGATTCTAAAAACATTGTGGCGTCCTCTAGGAAATTTAATCTTGGGCTTCGTCTGGTGGCTCCTCGTTGTGGCTGCAGGAAAAAGCGTTAAACGAACACAACAGTCACAACAACACATAGCACAGTTTGGGCCACAGCAGGTGTCTCCATGTTGGTCGAGCGTCAAAGTCATGTTTCACATCAAGTCATCAGCCTACGACATTTTCACACTCACACACACACACACACGCGCGCGCGGAGAAAGACAGTTAGATGTATAGCTGTGCATTCCATTTACCCCCCCAATCGAGCGTGGTGTCGATGCCCTGTGACGTCAGCACACGTCAGCAGGTATGAGGACGTCGCAGCGCGCGATGCACAGTGGGCCAGAAGACCGGCGGAGGTGGCCAAAATTCGACACGCGTTTTGGACACCAGAGTCGCTGAGCCGGACTCGAACCGGACGTGTGACCCCACCCATGGATTCCCCGTTCGGAGAGCAACCCATTGGTGGGGTCACACGTCCGGTTCGAGACCCATTTAGCGACTGTGGAGCGCAAAACGCGTCCGGGATTTTGGCCGCCTCCGCCGGTCTTCTGGCCCACTGTGCGATGGTGCCTGTCACGGAATGGCAGCACGAAAATAACGACCCGCCCTCCCCTGCCAGAGTGTCATAAGCAACAGATACAAAAAAAAAGAAAAGGATTACGACAGATGACGCAAACAAGAAAACTTTTTCCCTCTCACAATTTCAAACTTTTTTCTTTCGGATTGAAGTCTACATTGGGAACAACTACTGTTGGCTAGCCGCAGACCCTCCCTGGGCGAGGGGGCTTGTGTCTACTGGAGAGAATCGCACAACGCTTCAAACTGACTTTTTGGCAGTTCGGCGCCAAACAGGCGATCAATATGCATGGCTGGGACGTGACGAGGCCCGTCACGGCCCGTCACGGCACGTCACGGCCTCGTCGTCACGGGACGGGCCAACGTCCCTTCGGCACTAAGGCCCTAAGGTCGAAGACTGCCCTTGCCAGGGCGATGCACGATTAAGCGGGGGATCAATGCTCCAGAAAATGACCCGGTGATCCACCGCCAGACACGTGTTGTGCCACGCGTTTGTGGCTGAGGTAAAAACGAATGGGGAGGAAAGGTAGTTGTACGAAAGGTCAAAGGTAGGGCCGGGCGAGCCCCCCAGCCCACTGCACCCCGGGGCCACCACCCGGGGCCACCACCAGGGGCCAACCGACCGCCCACGGGCGAACACTCTACCTTCAACAGGTTCCCAGGGCCCACTCCGCCGGCCCGGCCGACAGGCAAGAGAGATAGGACGAACACGCAAAGGGAGACGGAGGGAAAAATGGCCCGTGGCAGGATTCGAACCCGAGATCTAAAATCACCACCACGTGAAGAGTGCCAGAGGTGAAACGCTACGACACACTCGTGCTCCGCTACGGGGCACTTTCTCGCGGTGCTGATTTGGAGAGTCCCAATAAAATGCACTTTTACGAACAACAAACTAGAAAGACAGCACGGGGCGCCTAGTTCAAATTTTGAAAAACTACACCGAAATTTTTTTAATACCCCGCGTGCTGGAAGGTGCCTGCCTACGAGTGAAATCACAAACGAGTGCTACAAACGTGCTTGGGGTGAACAGGTATTGACAGTTATAAATGCACGTCTTAGAAAATCTTGGCTCCTTCATCTAATCCACTATGTATACTTGAAAAAACACAAAGACAGACAGAGCCCCGGAGAAGTATTGGCTCGGGGCGTTGGAGCATGCAGACGACACACTAACACACAGGACGGCACACACACACAGACAACGCGTGGAGAGTTCGCAGAGCGCGGTTATACGCTTGCGCTTGGTTCGCTTGCGCAGTGTTTTCGCTTGCGCTTGGTTCGCTTGCGCGATGGTTTCGCTTGCGCAGTGTTTTCGCTTGCGCTTGGTTCGCTTGCGCGATGGTTTCGCTTGCGCAGTGTTTTCGCTTGCGCTTGGTTCGCTTGCGCGATGGTTTCGCTTGCGCAGTGTTTTCGCTTGCGCGATGGTTTCGCTTGCGCAGTGTTTTCGCTTGCGCGATAGTTTCGCTTGCGCAGTGTTTTCGCTTGCGCGATGGTTGCGCTTGCGCAGTGTTTTCGCTTGCGCTTGGTTCGCTTGCGCGATGGTTTCGCTTGCGCAGTGCACTCTGAAAACTTTTCATCACTTTATGACAAATGAAATTAATAACATTTTCATCAAAGCTGTACTTGTTGCATGGACGAGACAACAATGACATCAATTGTTTTGATGATGTGAAAAAAAATTTGCCTTGCAATTGTCATCAAGTGACGACTCAAATTTTCACAATGTGTTTTTGCTTGCGCGATGGTTTCGCTTGCGCTTGGTTCGCTTGCGCGATGGTTTCGCTTGCGCTTGGTTCGCTTGCGCAATAGTTTCGCTTGCGCTTGGTTCGCTTGCGCTTGGTTCGCTTGCGCTTGGTTCGCTTGCGCTTGGTTCGCTTGCGCTTGGTTCGCTTGCGCTTGGTTCGCTTGCGCTTGGTTCGCTTGCGCAGTTTTAGGCTTGCGCTTGGTTCGCTTGCGCTGGGTTTCGCTTGCGCTGGGTTTCGCTTGCGCTTGGTTTCGCTTGCGCTTGGTTCGCAGCGCGTCGCCAGCGCACACAAAGAGAAACAGAACACACACGGACTAACTACAACAGAGCTCTAGGAAAGGACAGACTACAGAAGAGACTAGTGCATTTTCTACCGGGTTTTCCCGCTTTTTCTTTTGTTTTCTCACTGTGGACGCAACTCCACTCGAGGCTCCGCTCCCATTTGCTATGAAGCCTTCAACGCTCGCGTGCGGCACTGCCGGCGGCACTCGGCTAATTGCTGACTCGCCCCTTCGGGCCTTCGCTTCGGGTGCGTTCGGGTGGCGTTCGGGTACCTTCGGGCTGCGCTCGGAGGGCGCTCCACAGTGGGCCAGAAGACAAGGTGGAGGCGACCAAAACTCGACACGCGTTTTTTTTAGCCATAGAGTCGCTAAAGAGGACCCGAGCCACCGTTCTTCTGGCCCACTGTGGGCCGGCAATCCCAGTGTAGTCTAATGAGGGTGTGGCACCCAGCCCTCGCCTCTGCGCGGACGCCGGAAAGGCACCAACCGGAAAGCGACCTTCGCGACCTCCGCCAAGAATAGCCCCAGGGCGGGGCACGGCAGGCACGGCCAGACCTTTGCAATCAATTTTTGTCCGCACAGTGGGCCACAAGACCGGTGGAGGCGGTCAAAATCCCGGACGCGTTTTGAGCTCCAGAGTCGCTAAGTGGGACTCGAACCGAACGTGTGACCCCACCAATGGATTGCTCTCCGAACGAGGAGTCCATTGGTGGGGTCACACGTTCGGTTCGCTGTCGCTCCTTGCCCGCGGCTGCCACGGGAACGGCATGTCAAGCGTGTTTCGTTTGCAAGCAACGAAAATGTTTTCTTCGCCACGCGGACGACCCTTCGTGTCAGCTGGCGGGGGGCTGGAGGGGCAGGAGGGTCGCAGGGGTTGGAGAATCGATACCTTCGTGACTCAAAACGGTCATGAAACGGGCGCTGCGGCACCGCGGCGCAGGCAGAGACACGTCGCAGCCATTTCCCGCCTTTTCGTCGCGCTAGTTAAAAAGTAAAGGCGCGGCCGAGTCAACTGCTGTCAAGGAGCAGGGGGCACACTGGAACTATGGATTTCCTCGTTCGGAGAGCAGTCCATTGGTGGGGTCACACGTTCGGTTCGAGTTCTGTTAAGTGATTCTGGAGCTTAAAACGCGTCTGGAATTTTGGCCACCTCCACCGGTCTTCTGGCCCACTGTGGTCCGAGTGCACGCCGAGGGGGTGGGGTAGTGAGGAATACAGTGGGGTAGTGAAATTAGGCGGGGGTGAGGTTTGTCTTTGACTAATTGCAGCACGGGCTATTCCGAGCCCGTTGCGTCAATCAAACCGAAGGGAGGCCTTAGCAGAGAAACGCCGCGTCATCTAGAACCCTCTGCAGTGGTGGCGCAGATGGCTGAGCTGGGGCCACCCCATGGCGCCCATGGCCCGCAACGTTCTCAAGCCCTCCCCCCCCTCCCCTTCTCTCTCTCTCACACACACACAGACACACGGCCGTGTTCAGGAAGGGAAGTCGAGTCTCGTGCAATAGGTCGTTCATGTTCATTCGTTTGGTATACAGTCTCAGAATACTGCTGTGACCCACTGGCCTTTCAAATTAATACTTGGGCCGGCTTATCGCGGCGACCCGCTTCCAGCCTTCTTCCTGGAAGGCGGTGAAAAGAACCGCGCCGTTCTGAATAAGAGGGCGGCGGTGCCGGGCGTTGTTGCACGCCAGCGGAAACGTCCCGCCATAACCCCAAAAGCGTTTCTTTGTGCTCCCTTGCCCTCCCTCATTCGTAACCAGATAGTATGCAGCTAATCAAAAAGGTTTCTTTTCCGTTTTTTTAAAATGATTTTCGCAAGCTGACGCGAGGCACGCACTTAATATTTATGTAGAATTCTGTACGGTGTAACTTGCACGATTCCGTGCATGCGTGGAATTTGCTCGAAATTATGCGTCTAAGTGCATAAATTTATGCGAATTTCGGGCACAATTTCGGGCAAAACGTCACACAGGATTTAAAATCGTGCAATACCCGTACAATATTGCACATAAACATTGCAGCCGGTCGAGGCGGGGGGACCAAGGGGGACACTTACTACTTGGCCGAGTCGTTGAGCTGGTATTCGTTCGACCGCTGGAAGCACTGCTGCATCCCACTATCACTCCACAGACGCTTCATTGCTGCTAGGAGTTCCTCACTAAAGGCCTCTGTGTCCTCCATTCGCTGGATGACGTCGAACACCATCTTGGCGTCCGTCTGCAACAAACGTTCAGTGTCAAATTTCTTCGCGTTTTCAGGGCGAAAAATGTAAATTTCTCACGCAGGATAACCTTGGATTCGCCACATCATCGATGCGCACGTGCACACACACACACACACACACACACACACACACACACACACACACACACACACACACACACACACACACACACACACACACACACACACACACACACACAGAGCTGGGCTAGGAGTCAAGGCTTCAGCTTACGGCCGATTTAGCGAACGTTTTACTGCGTGTTTTACGATGACCTGCTGCTTGCCGCTTTCAAGCAAGGCAGGAAGGAACAGGGGCCTCTCTGTCTCTCTGTCGCACCCCCTGCGGTCCTGCGGTCCTGCGGGGCGCCCCGTGAGGGCGAGAGAGAGACGGAGCGCGGCCTCAGCCCGCGGGGTAGGCCGCCCGGCGACAGCCGTGCGCGGCGTGCTGGCCCGGCAGCAAGGCGTTCCGGCCCGCCAGGCCGGCCGGGCTTACAGTGCACGCGGCAGCGCGGCAGCATGCGGGTCCGGAGCTACTCCCCGCGCGAGAGACTCTCCACGCGAACCGTGTGGGCGGGCAGAGCGGCGCCTGGGGTATCTCCCGGCCACTTTCTTTCTGAACCGACAGTGACCCGCACCCAAAACAGGCGCTTCTTGAACCGAGATAATGTACTTGTCATAAGGGAATTTTCTTGGATGTGTCAAGAAAATTCACTTATGGCAAGTACATTATCTTGGTTCAAGAAAACGCCTTTTTTGGGTGCGGGGAGAACAAGGGCAGGCAAAACGATGCCGACAAGACCTAGTTCAACTCATGATGACGCCATTTTGACGTATCAAACTGATTTGGACTGACCTCGTTGAAAAAACACGGGTGAGAAACAGCGATGCAAAATTTAGAGTTACCGCTTCGTAACAAATTAAAGGCTAATTTTTCTTACGAGAATGCCATTACGCTTTGCACATGATCCTTGATGACAGTCATCAAACATGTCAAACGGCCAACCATAATTTTGTTGGAAGAAAGTGACAAGTTTTTAAGTCAGCTTGCTCGGAAGGCCCAGTCTTTGGTGACAGTTTTCACTTGTGTTTTGATGAGCGATCTATTTTACCCAACCTTTTTGCTTTCTCTAGTTTCCATGTAAAAAATGTGTTTTGAACCGAAAAATCCGGAGTAAAATTTGAATTAGCAAGGGATGCTTTTGGCCCACGTTTTGTAGGCGACGCGCAATTCATCGTTCCAGCCCCAACACTAGAGCGCTGGGTCGTGACCGATCGCGGCACACGCACTCAGGCGGCGCCACGGTGCCACAGGCGCCACAGATGGCGTGGGCGCTGTGGTCCCATTCCCGCCAGGACGGAGGGACTGAAGGACTGAAAGACGACCTTGTCGCGACCGCCAGAGGCCACAAAATGGGCGGACAAAGGAAAACACAAGGAAAGAGAGTGGAATTTTGGAGCGGCGGCCGTTCGGGCGATTTGGATCTGTGCGTGCTAGGCCCCCGAGCCCGGCTCGCATCGACCGTCCTAGCTGCACTTGACAAAAGCCCACCGAAAAAAAAATTACAAAAAAAGGTAAAAATTTGATTGGCTGGAAATGACAGAAGAGCTTTCCGTTCGTTTTCGAAGGGGTTTGAGAGGAGCAGCATGGACTGGTCAATTGAACGGAGTTGAGGTGAGATTGCGTTTGGACGAAGTAGAGTGAAATTTTAATTTTGAATTAAATTTAATTTTGAACTTTTAACCGATTTTAAATTGAGGCTTGTCGCGTGCGTTTTCAAACACACGCGTGTCCTCTTGAATTGAGAAACCACTGCGCGAAGGGGTTCGCCCCACTGTCATTGCCAACCCACCGAAAGTGAAACGCCTTTCTAGCGGACGTGTGGCAGCCTGGCGCAGGCTGGCAGGGGGCACGGCGCGTCACGGGCGACACCGGTCACCAGCCCGCTGGGTTGGTACCCCTTCTCTACGCCCCTATCCCGGAGTCCTCTCCGAAAAGCCAGTGTGCTGGCTGTACAGCGGCAGGCAGGCAGGCAGGCGGCCAGGCAGGCAGGCAGCCAGCCGCGCCCCGCCAGATCAATACCAGGCTGGCTGGGCGCGGCCGGCTCGGCTCAGCGCTGTGTAGCCCGGCCAGCCAGCCCAAAGCGAAAGACAGAGACGGGCGGAGAGGGCCGAGAGAGAGAGAGAGAGAGAGAGAGAGAGAGAGAGAGAGAGAGAGAGAGAGAGAGAGAGCGGCCGCGGAGGCAGTGCCGCCAGACCTCAGCATGTTGCTCGGCTGCACCACAACACTCTGCAGTTCAATTGGCGGCGGCAATTGGATTTATCTCGTGGTTTTATGATTATTTTTTGCCTTTTTGCATTTCTCTCGGTGCTTTGTATCCCTCAAACAAGCGACTTTGACAACAATAAATTGAGATTTTCATTGACGTTTTTGGTCAATTTCGTGTCGTACACCGAGGTTGCTGAGATTCAGCTAGCACCTCGCATCAAACCTAAAACTTTTCTTAATTTTTTTCGAAACAAAATTGGGGGAAAATTGCGTGTTGTGTCTCTTTGACAGAGGACTGGCGCTGGAACCGGCAATGCAGTAATGACTCAATTAATTAAGGAGACGGATTAAGGGACAGACAGACAAGCAGATAGACAGACAGACAGACAGACAGACAGACAAACAGACAGAGATGCAGGGGCAAGCTTTTTTCAAGTCGATCGACCACACACACACGCACACAGACACGCACACAGACACACACACACACTACGAGGCAAAATGTAAACGCAACGATATCTCACCTCTCTTTCGTTGTTAGCGAAAGCGATACCTAGGTTGGGCATGGCCCTTAGAATGGCGACCAAGGACTGTATTGTGTTGCTGTACACCACTGGCCGATACTGCTTGAAGTCCTCTGATGTAAACCCACTTTCGTGGATAATCCTGGAAGACAAGACGAGAACGATTAGAGTGGAAGACCACAAGACTCGCACTTTCCGGTTTGCTCGCGTGAAACGAGAAGTGTTGCTTCTATTTTTGCCCTCTACGTCCTTCCCCCACCCCTCCCCCGCGCGGCCCTATGGCGGCCCGCCCTGGAGGACGACGCAGCGAGGTGCGGTGACACATTTTGGTTATCGGCACGTTCGTCCTCGACCCCCCCCCCCCTGCCTTCCGCCTACAGTGGGGGGCCGCGCTGCCTCGCACTGTGAATAGTGCGTTATTCACAACCAACGGCAGTGCCGGAACACACTTGAAATACAGTGTACAGGGCAAAATTTTCACTGGTAAAAAAGAGAGCATTTTTTTGCGCAAAAAAAAATTAATTATAACATTTTTAATTTTTAAAACCATCTGCATTAATCGAGTTTCATTTTTATTTATTTATCTTTTGTGGTTGACGCCACACTGGAGGAAGTTGGTGCGGCTTGCCAATGCAGAGCCGTGTTGACAAAAAGAGGATCGGGTTGGCCAACACTGCAATTGCAGGGGGAGCTCAAGCACTGTTTACAAGGTGCTTACGCCCTAGAGGGGCTTCCCAGCCGGCAGGGCGCGGCCAGGTCTTCTGAAGGGAGAGAGAGAGGGGCTCGATGTCGCATGAGTGGCTCCACTTGCCTTGTCTCGCCAACAGGTGAGTGAGAAGCACTACGTGAGTCACTGCGCTACCCGGTGCTACGCGGGCAGAGACCGGCGACAGCGCGAGTCGATTTAGTGGCTCAGATTAGTGGCCACACGGTAAAAACGGTTCCTGGTTTTCCCAGGAACCCCCCCTGGAAATCGCCTGTGTCTTTACCATAGGCTTCCTGGGAAAACCAGGAACCGCTTTCAACGTGCACCAATAACCCGCCAAAGAAGACCCAGTTCGAGACAAAAGAAAAAAGGCACGGCAAACGGATACTTACTTCATTTGTTTCACTATAGTACTTTTCCCCGATTCTCCGGCACCTGTAACACACGAGAAAAAGGTGCGTCAGTACACTGGTAGAGCTGCAGGCTGCCCAGGTCGGGCCTTATTTTTGGACCAGGTGAGCAGGGGCCAGCCACCACTGCCTTTCAAAATGCTGATGGCGGTTTCTGACAGTGCAGGCGCGGTGTGACGTGCTGCGGATGTACACTGGAAGGCGGCCGCCACCCAGTGAGTCACTCGGAGGATTCGAACGAAAGCCTCATTTTCTCGGCCACTGGTTTGTTCCAGCGACGCACAGTGGGCCAGAAGACCAGTGGAGGCGGCGGAAGCCCTAGACGCGTTTTGAGCTTCAGAGTCGCTAAATGGCACTCGAACCAAACGAGTGACCCCACCAATGGATTCCTCGTTCGAAGAGCAATCCATTGGTGGGGTCGCACGTTCGGTTCGAGTCCCATTTAGCGACTCTGGAGCTCAAAACGCGTCTAGGGTTTCGGCCGCCTCCACTGGTCTTCTGGCCCACTGCTGGTTGGCAGTGCAGCGCTGACACGCCGAGCCTCGTCGTGCCCCGTGAGTCCGTGGGCGTTCGCCGCGTTCGCGTGAGAATGCCTTTGTGTGCCATTCAACGGCAAAATGACAAAACAGAACGAAAATCCTGGCGCGCCACTAGGAAAGGGCGTGCATCAAAACAGACGCAACGTTAGAGTGAAGCAGGGCTCGTCGGATTCACTGCATCGTTGTCGCCGCTGTGGCGCGAAGCGGCTGCAAGTGCAACCCGAGCGTAGTGCATGACTCCGTACGTGCCGACCGGCCTGGCCGCGCCGGCGGTGGGCGGCGCACCCTGCACTGCAAAGAGGATTGGAACGTGTGACCCCACCAATGGATTCCTCGTTCGGAGAGCAATCCATTGGTGGGGTCACACGTTCGGTTCGAGTCCCATTTAGCGACTCTGGAGCTCAAAGCGCGTTTACAGGTTTTGGCCGGCGGCGTCTGTGCGTCTTTGGATTCCAGGAGGAGCCTAGCCACGGCGTTCTGGAAGCGCTCGCTCCAGCCGCACTCCTCCAGCCAATCACAGGGCGCGTCCAGGGGCTCCAGGATTGCTGGAGTCGGCTCTGGAACGGCGTGCGTCCTCCCCCGGGGCCCAGCGGGCCAAGGGGGCCCCAGCCGCAGCCCAGTTAGCCCCGCACTGCCCCGCACTGCCCCGCACCCCAGCCGAGGGCGTGGCCTGGCGCACTGCAAGCCCTGCGGGGTCCTGGAGGGCCCCTCCTGGAGTCCTGGAGTCCAGGGGCGTCCCCGGGGGCCCTCTGCGGCGAGCCATCAGCGCATCAGCACCTTTTGGCTGTTACGCGGACGCCGAGTCACAGAAAAGGAGCCCAAATGTAAGTGCACTGCAAGCGGTATCCGCGCACCGAGACTAACCGAGACCTGCCCAACGTTTTCGCTCCCCGCTTTTTGTTCCCCTTTTCCTCCGGGTTCGCGTGACCGAAAAATATCAGGGCGATGTGGAAAACGCGGCAATGCATACCACACTGCAGTGGGCGGGCAGGCGGCAGTGGCCCGGCCCGGTGCGTGCTGCCGGGCTAGCTCAACCAGCCTCGCATGGCGATGACAAGCCTCTCTCTCTCTCTCTCTCTCTCTCTCTCTCTCTCTCTCTCTCTCTCTCTCTCTCTCTCTCTCTCTCTCTCTCGCAAGAGCGCCATGGGATCGCCGCGTCGCGTGGTCGAAATAGATGTACCATCAGGGAAAGGAAAAAGAAAACGAAGCGCAAATTCTTCACTTTGGATAAAAAGAAACCTTTAAAAACAAGAAACGGTTATTCTTTTTCTTGATCCAAGAGGTCATTCTTCATATTTATTTTTTTTTTTGGGTGTGGTGATGTCTGAGACGGGCTATCGACCACCCCTGCGCCCTTCCGCGGCTGTGCACCTTTTTCCCGGACGCATCCCGCCACGCCGTGCCACGCCTGCCCTTCCCGCGAGTGAGTGAGTTCATGCGGGGTTAGGTAATTCGCCATGCACCTTTGCCACGGTTGGCTTGCAGTGTCCTTGCAGTGACCACGGCGGCGGTGCAGTGGGGCGTGGCGGCGGGCGGAGCTCTCGTCGGGAACAATAATTATGTAAGTTATTTGTCGTTGCTGTTTTTTTTGTTTGTATTATTTTTTATTTGGACAAAACCGAACGTGTGACCCCACCAATGGATTGCTCTCCGAACGAGGAATCCATTGGTGGGGTCACACGTTCGGTTCGAGTCCCATTTAGCGACTCTGGGGCCCAAAACGCATCCGGGATTTTGACCGCCGCCGCCGGTCTTCTGGCAAATCCACTGTAATCTCGCCGTCCTTGTCCCACATTGGCGGCCAAGGTCGCGCCGTTAAACACCTATCTCGCTGGCCGGAGAATATTGGCGATTTGGCAGTGTCTGCTGCGCCGCGCCAGCCAACCAGCTGCGGCCTGGCTGCGGTCCAGTCCCTTCCAGCTTCCAGTGTGCTTCCAGTGTGCGCCCAGCCCTCCAGCCCCCACCCTGCCTTTCTCCTTCTCTTTCCCTGACGACGCCACGGCGTGCCTCGCAGTGCCACGCCACCCACAGCCTCTACAGCCGCGCGAACTTCGCCCACGCGTCACCCGCGTCCTTCCCCGCGCTGTTTACCGGCAGTTACAGTGGAGCGGCTCGATACCGCAGGTCGATGGGGTCTCCTTTCCGTGCACCTTCCATCCACAGTGGGCCAGAAGACCGGTGGGGCGGTCAAAATCCCGGACGCATTTTGAGCTGCACAGTCGCTGAATGGGACTCGAACCGAACGTGTGACCCCACCAATGGATTGCTCTCGGAACGAGCAATCCATTGGTGGGGTCACACGTTCGGTTAGAGTCCCATTCAGCGACTCGGGAGCTCAAAACGCGTCTAGAGTTTCGGCCGCCTCCACCGGTCTTCTGGCCCACTGTGCCGCGCTCCTTCTGGTTTGGAGTGCAGCAGGAAGCACGGCGAAGTGCAACACGGGCTCCTTTGTGTTGCGAGGCGCCTGCCTGCGGGCTCGGTCCGAAAGGCCGCTTTTGTCGCTCTGTCTCTCTCGCTCTCGCGGACTTTGTCAAACGCGGCGCGTGTCGCTTCGGCCTGCCTGTTTTGCATGAGTCCCCTTTTGAGTCACTTTTGCCGTCACATCCCTAAAGGTCGCCCTACTCCCACAAAAAAAGAGCTCGAATTTATTTTTCTCATTTTTAAAATTCATAAATTGGAGGCGGACAAAGCTCTGGACGCGTTTCGAGCTCCAGAGTCGTTAAAAGGGACTCGAACCGAACGTGTGACCCCATCAATGGATTGCTCTCTGAACGAGCAATCCATTGGTGGGGTCACACGTTCGGTTCGAGTCCTGTTTAGCGGCTCTGGAGCTCAAAACGCGCCTAGAGTTTTGGCCGCAACGAATCGACCAATGGATGCGCGGCGTTTGGTTCCAGAACTCGATTCCCAGACGGTGTGCCGGTCCGAGGCGAGCGCATAGCCAAGCGTGGCCAAGCCACGTGGTCTTCCCTCTCTCTCCCTCATTTTCTGTTTATCACCCCCACAAATAGCACAAGGGCGTGTACCCTGGGCGGCAAGGCGAGGCGCCGCTGAACGGAAGTCGGCGGGCAAGTGCTCTGACCGTTCGAACCAGCCTCGTACACAAACAGTTTGTTTCCAACTGGCCCAGACGACAAGGCAGAAGTCGATTCTGTCGCGCAGTTTGGGCGAAAATTCTTGTGTCGACACAAAATGGAAGTAACAGTTTGAGTCGTTTTGCATCACCAGTTTTCACAGTGTGCGGAGGCCCAGGGGGCTCCCCCCAACAGTGCATGCGATAACGATAATACCGCAATTTGGCTTTGGGTCTCCAACAGGTGGCGAGTCCCTGCCAGTGTAGGGGACCGCCGGTGTAGGAAGAAGCCCTCCACACAACGCACTACCGACCAGTCCAAGCCTCGGAAGTTGAGACTGTGACTCGGAGCCCCAACTTGAACTTAACACGGAGGCAAGACAACCGCCGCAAGACACCGCATTTCCAGTGGACCCTTGAAAAATGAATGACTACATGGATTTAGAAAAAGTATTTTGAGGTTTGGAAAAATATTGAAATTCATTTTTTTTTCTACTAAAATATTCCTCCATTGGGGTTTGTTTTTTTTTTTTTCAAACAAATCAGAGAAAATAAACAAAAAACAAGAAATCTTTTCCGAGGTGTGATCAGCTTGTCGAAAAACTTTTCCCGCGGTGTACAGTGTACGCCACGCATGGAAGGCAGGCCGCGGCTCGGTCGGGCTGCCTCCAACAAAGTCAGTCTGGCCAGCAAAAATAGGCTCACTCTCAGTGAGAGGGAGTCTGGGGGATAGAGGAAGCGACCCCCTCCCCTTTCCCCTCTCTCTCCCAGCGGGGGGGGAGGGGGGGGGGCGTGGAGTGGATGTTCACTCCGTGCACACATGTGGGTGCGGGGGGCCGACCGGGCCGACGACTTAAACGGCCCGACAAAGCGGCGTAACTGCGCGGCCAGGGGCAGCGACATACGGCGCGCGCACCCGCACTGCAAGCCAGCACTGTACGCAGCGGCGGTGCTGGCGGATGGATGGGAGCCACTGTGTCAGGCAGCCAGCCAGAAGCCAGCCAGCAGGCTGGAGGAATCGAGGAATCCACTTCGGCAGGACAGCCGGCCCTGCTAGCCACCGAGGCACAGTGGGACAGGAGACCGGTGGAGGCGGCCAAAATTCTAGACGCGTTTTGAGTTCCAGAGTCGCTAAACAGGACTCGAACCGAACGAGTGACCCCACCAATGGATTCCTCGTTCGGAGAGCAATCCATTGGTGGGGTCACACGTTCGGTTCGAATCCCATTCAGTGACTCTGGAGCTCAAAAATCGTCCGGGATTTTGAATGATCAATGTGGCGAATTTGAGAAGAAGCCCACGCGCTGGTCCACTGCAAAGCTTCGATAGCACCAGATTCCTTCTTATCGGCTGCCCCGTGCGACGAGTGAGTGCTCGTGCGTGAGTGTGTGCGAGAGTGTAGTGGTCAGCGACTGTACAGAGACCAGTTAAACTTTCGCCATCGCTGGTCGGATAATTGGCCATCCAGCCCCATCCAAAGACAGCGTGCCACTCTAGACTCTAGACACTCTAGACTCTAGGCAGACCAGTGCAATTGGCGACTGTACCAGACAGAGCCTAGACCGCCAGGCCATCTGGGCCCCATCTGGGTGCTTTCTGTGTACAGGCCCGCGGGGGCAAGGCACATTTAACTCCATTTTCACGTCGTTTGCGACCAGGATTGCCGTCAAATCAAAATAAGTCCGCGGAAAAGAAAATAATCAGCTAATGACGCGCTTCTGGCGCAGAGGGCCCCGAGGTCAACGGGAACGAGGGGCGTGGTGGGGCTGCGGGCAGACGCACGCCCAGCACGCCCCGCACGCCCCGCGGGTCACTCAGAATTTTCCCATTCCTGCCATCGTCCGAGTGTTCACACCTGTCCCAGGACGCACCTCGTGGGCGGTCCCTTCCCTTCCCCCGGCGCACAGTGGGTCTGAGGGTCGCCAGGGGGCCAGGGGGCCAGGGGGCCAGGGGGCTCCGTCTAGACGTCACGGCAGACTGACGAGCTCGGAAGGGGGAAGGGCACAGTGGATTTGCCAGAAGACCGGTGGAGGCGGCCAGAACTCTAGACGCGTTTTGAGCTCCAGAGTCGCTAAACGGGACTGCTGCACCCTCAGCGCTCCCTACCCCTTCTCCGTCACCGGCAGCAATTCCGAGAGTCGCTTGCGTCTCTCCCGCACCTGTAGGGGACGCCCCATGAGTGCGAGAGACACAGAGAGACGAAAATGACCCTCGGAATCGACACACACACACACGCACACACACACACACGCACACACACACACGAGCAGCACACCTGTGTAATCAAGGCCCTTATCGTAGGGGTGGCTTCGCTGGCTTCCCGCGACAGGGAGAGAGAGAGAGAGAGAGAGAGAGAGAGAGAGAGAGAGAGAGAGAGAGAGAGAGAGAGAGAGAGAGAGAGAGAGAGTGTTTTTGGATTTCACGTCGGGTTTGTCACAAGGCGGAAAAGGGGGTGCCGTTTCGGCAATGGGCACTGCAGGCCCGGGCCTGGCCGGGGCCGGTCGGCCTGAGAGTGGCGGAGGGGGTTGGTTAAGGGAAAGCACACACATGGCCTTATCTGCAGCTACTGCCCTCTCACGCACACACACACTACAGCGGCACGCGGACACCCAACGACACACACACGCATTCGCGCAAACACACCGCTGGTCGATCCGGTGGAGGAGTATACAGTGCGCGCGATATGGAAGCACAACTCGTTTTGTTTGTGGCGAATCCAATATCACCTACCAAGCAAGCGTCCCCCCCTCCCCCCCCCCCCACACACACACGCGCGCGCGCGCACACACACAGATACACACACACACTCGCAAGTGCGCAGTGCGGAGGCAGCCCTGGGGCGTTTGCGCCTAACACACGTAGGGGTGGTAATGCAGTCCCCCCCCCCCCCCCCCCCCTTTCCCCCAGGCTGCTGCAGACTGCAGGGTCCAAAACGCGGCGGAAGAAGGCGGTCGAAACCTCGGACGCGTTTGGAGCTCCAGAGTCGCTAAATGGGACTCGAACCGAACGTGTGACCCCACCAATGGACTGCTCTCCGAACGAGGAATCCATTGGTGGGGTCACACGTTCTGTTCGAGTCCTGTTCAGCGACTCTGGAGCTCAAAACGCGTCTAGAGTTTCGGCCGCCTCCACCGGTCTTCTGGCAAACCTACGGCGTCAACGACCGCGCCCGCCATAATAACAGCCGAAAGCGGCAGAGGTCGGATTCGAAAACGATTAGGCCGGAAAGGGTGGCACACTGGCACCGCGGCGCGATAAAAGTGACGCGGACAACGTGAACGACGCCATGTGTTGACACATTCATTGACCTGGCTTAACCGCGGCAGGGCGAAGCAGGGCGTCCCACAGTGGGCCAGAAGACCGGCGGAGGCGGCCAAAACTCTAGACGCGTTTTGAGCTCCAGAGTTGCTAAGCAGGACTCGAACCGAACGTGTGACCCCACCAATGGATAGCCCTCCGAACGAGGAATCCATTGGTGGGGTCACACGTTCGGTTGGGGTCCCACTTAGCGACTCTGGAGCTCAAAACGCGTTTAGAGTTTTGACCGCCTTCACCGGTCTTCTGGCCCACTGTGCGTCCCCCGCCCCACTGCCGAGGGCGGCCGGGGAAGCGAGAGGGAGCGCGAGAGACCCCCGCCAGTTGCAATAAATTATGAGATGCAAGACGAGCGGTCCCTAGACGTAGCTCGCTGGCGAGCGCGCGAGCTAGCGCCACAAATTAGGAGCCATTAGACAAGCGTGCAGTGGAGGAGCGATAAATTATTTCACGGATTGTTCATGGCTCACTTTGGCGATGCCTGGCGAGGCGCGACGAGGCTGACCAGTGCAAGCGACCACCCAGCCCAGTTCACCAGTGCTTGCCTCTTGCCTCGTACAGTGGATGGGCCAGAAGACCGGTGGAGGCGGTCAAAACTCTGGACTGGACGCGTTTTGAGCTCTAGTGTCGCTGAGTGAGACTCGAACCGAACGTGTGACCCCACCCCACGAACGGATTGCTCTCCGAACGACAGCTCCAATTTTCATCGTTTATTTAGCAATTTTGACAGTGGCCCGACTCTAGTTCCGTGTAGTGATGCGGGCGCCGCCATGCGGACAGGTCCACGCAACGCTACGCAATGCAGCGCCACTGCAATTGATTGACTCTGATTTAACGAGAGGACGGATCGGCTCACACGTCGACCGGCCGAACGAACGAACGGACGAACGAAGACTCATGAGAAAGAAAGAGCTAATGAGCAACGCGAAAGTAGCATGAAACATTGGAATGAATGAATGAATGAATGAATGAATGAATGAATGAATGAATGAATGAATGAATGGATGGATGAATGAATGAATGAATGAATGAATGAATGAATGGATGAATGCCAAGAAGACCGGTGTCCTTTGCCACGTGGACGACGCGACTAGTGTTGTTATGGCGGCCAAAAGTCATTCACCTGTCCTGCGCGCCGCGTCAAAATGGGCCCCAACCACCACACTGCCACTACTCGTGTGCCGCGCTGCCGCAATGTGTGCCAGAATACCGGTGGAGGCGGTCAAAAGTAGCGTTTCGAGCTCCAGAGTCGCTAAACGGGACTAGAACCGAACGTGTGACCCCACCAATGGACTGCTCGTTCAAAGAGCAATCCATTGGTGGGGTCACACGTTCGGTCCGAGTCCCATTTAGCGACTCTGGAGCTCAAAACGCGTCGAGAGTTTTGGCCGCCTCCACCAGTCTTCTGGCCCACTGTGCCTGCCCAGCCCAGCCGCAGCCTCAACAGCCCCGGTGATGAACGCAACGGCCGAGCCCGTCCCGCGCCTAGCCCGCCGTGGCCGCCGTGGCCGCCGTGGCCGCCGCCCCACGACCCAGCGGCACCCCGCCCGGGCGTGCGGGCTCGGTGCGGGCGCGGGGCGGGGTGGGCGCGGGGCGGGCGGGGCGGGCCCCGCCCTCACGCGTATCGAGCCTCGTCCCTCCCACCCCCAAGACCAGCGCGGGGGCGGCGGGGGCGGCGGCGCGGGCGGCCGGTTGGAGGCCGAGGGGTGGCGGCGGTGGGTGGCGGGGACGGACGAGCCTGGAGACGGACACACTAGACACACTACACTGTGCGCCAATAATTCTGCCAGCACGTTAGCACGTGTGGACCCTGGCGCACCACGGTGCCACCGCGACCGCCACCATGCACGCCGCCACGGTGAACTCGGCCGACTCGGCGGACGCGCGCGTCAGAGGGAACGGAGGGAACGCCCCCTCTCCGCGGGAAGGCGGTGGAGGGGGAGGGGTTGCTTTTAGGTTGGCACAAACCGGATTCACCGCGCCCCCGGTACGCCCTGCTACGGTACGCCCTCCGGTACGCCCTCCGGTACGCCCTCCGGTACGCCCTCCGGTACGCCCTCCGGTACGCCCTCCGGTACGCCCTCCACTACGCCCTCCGGTACGCCCTCCGGTACCCCCTCCGGTACGCCCTCCGGTACGTCCAAGGCCCGCGACCTCTAACCTGTCCACTCTAAGCCTCCCCGGGCTGGCGCGGCCGGCCAGCGGGTGCCAGCTGTCAAACCAGCACCCGGCAGGCCATGCAGGCCATGGGCTGGCCACGGGCAGGCCTAGCCCGCCAAGGCGGGTCGCGCGTGGAGGGCGCGGAGGGCGTGGAGGGCGAGAGCCGCAACCGCGGCGCGGCATGGCAGGCTGGCCAGGCAGGCCGAAAAGGCTGCTGCGCGCTGCGCCTCGAGAGTGGTCGTCGGCGATGTGTGGGACCCACTGTGGGTGCGCGCGCCCTCGCCGCCGTGCAGGCCTGCAGGATGCTGTGCCAGCTGGACGGCGGGGCGCGGCGGGGCGGCGGCATGGCGCCGCGATACTCACCTAGAAGTAATAGTTTGATATCCTTGGCCGCCTGTATCCCATCCTCCTTGAGGTTCTTCTCGATCTGCTTGCTGCGCGCCAGCGCGGCGCGCTCCTCCGCCGACATAGCACACCCCATCTTCTTGATTCCTTGCTTCACGAACGTGACGGAAGCTGGTGGGGGACCCCGTCCCGGGTCTCAACCGGACATAAGGGAAAAACTAGGGCCAGGCGAGGGCCTCTGAGCCGTGTCCCCTGCGGGGGCTGCGGGGGCTCGGGGCCTTCCGCGGGGAGCCTTGCGCCCTGCTTCAGCCCGACGAGAGTAGGGGCCCCGCCCCACGAGCCGACCGCATGCACCCCAACGGGTAGTCCTGGTCGGTCCAGCGGGGCTCACTCGGGCAGGCCCACCACACCCCACAGCACCCCACAGTCCCACACCGACACGGCGTGCTCGGCGACGCGGGTACTGCCTCCGGTATTCCTCGGCCTCGGCCTAACTGTCTGCGGGCACACCACTCGGCGACGCCACGCCACGCCACGCCACGCCACGCCACGCCACGCCTCGCGAACGACACCTCACGTGCCCTGCGACGGCTAGCTCCGGTGAGGCCTCGACTCTGGGCGGCGAGCGACTGTCGAGCGCGGCCCGCGGCGGCGCGCACTCGGCTCGGCGCTGGGCGGGGCGTGGCGCGGCGGGGCGGGGCGCGGCGGGGCGGGGCGGGGCGGGCGAGGCAGCGGCGTAGTCAGGCGTACCGCTGTGGGGAGGCGGCTGGCAAGCAGCGGGGTGCTCGCTGCCGCCGCTGCCGCGAACCGTACCGACGCAGGGGAGGGGAGGGGAGGGGTTCGAGGCAGAGGCGGCGGGCGAAAGGCGAGCGGGGCCTTCCCTCCCCCTCCCACCAGCCCAGCAGCCTAGGCGAGGGGGAGCGGAGGGGAGGGGAGGGGGCTTACCGCGAGCACACAGCACACTGTGCGGCGCACGCAGCGAGGCTAGGCGACCGTGGCGACCTCTGGATCCCCGGATCGCAACCCCTCTCTCCAGAGCCGCAGCCGCAGCGTCTGGTCCGTGCGCACCCCGCCCCGCCCCGCCCCACCCCGCTTGCCCTCCGTCAACCCCTCAACCCTCGCGGACGACGTTCGCTTTCGGCCTCTCGGTCGTATGGCCATGGAGGCCTTGTTGGCGACGCCACCGGCCCGCCATTCCCCGTCATGTGCTGTCACTGTCTGGCTCGCCCCTGGGTCCCCTGGGCTGGGGCGCAGCGGGCACCGGGTGCAGCATGGCGGCGGTGGCGCAGGTTTGGGGGAAGTCCCACCGACGCGGCCGACCGGTTCACGCGGGCGGGTCGCGGGTGCGGTGAGGTGCAGAGGGTATTCAAATATGGCCCTCCCTCCAGAGTGGAATTCTAGTGCGGTGTAGTGTAGGCCAGAAATGAGAACGAGTTTAGCTGGCGGAACCCACCAGCGGGGATTAAATGAAATGACACGCGTTAGATTCATACTTTTATTATTTAAAAAAATCATAATCGTACTTTACAATAAAATCAGAGAGAGACCTAGCTGTCTAATTTCATTCTTGTATCAAACATGTAGCTTAATGCTTAATTAATCTTTCACATAGAACAACTCTAAGCCATTGTTAAACAAATGCTAGTACAGAACACATTTTGATAAAATCAAATTCAAACCCGTCAGGCTCACACAACTGTTCATCAGACAGGTTTTGATTTGGACGCTTAGTTATTACAAACATGACATCAAATGACTACCTATCATTTCATTCATGCAGAATCACTCAGATTCGTCTTGTGACAATGTTAAAAATAAAATACAACCTACTTTCACTCTATATATACTTCCCTCATTAAATGGATGAATAGTCAATCCCAACATGAACTTGTACGGCTAGACCAAAACGTCCTTGCGCATTTCAGTTCTTATGATATACATAGTGCATAAATTACAATCCGGCATGGCCATTATAAAATTGAGAGGAAAAAACAAAGCATTATTTTCTCATCCATTCACATTCTTCCTTTCCAAATACAATATTTACAATGTCTTGCTCACGCATGAGAAAGAATACACATTATTCTTTTCAACAGAAGCATCAAAAACCAGTGCTCATAATGAAAAGCTTGCAATTCATAAGCTACTTCGCACATAGCTTTTACCAACTTATCACAAAAAGTAATGCCCTTTTGTATATTATTCCTCCAGCAAGCTTCTTTTCTTTACAACAATAACCAAAAGCCACTTGTCATATTCACTCTCTGTTGGAGACTAGAGTTATCAAGGTGAACTACATTAGAGGACACTAATGGAGGTTACACCTTCTCCTATCTATCCATGCTGACATCTTAACAAAAAGGTTTTGATATTCCATGATGGCTTGGTTCAAGAAGGAATCAATTCTACATGCTTACTTATAAGAAAATTCAACTCATTTTGGCCATACCTGCCTACCCTGGCTACCAGTTTCACTTTAGACCATGGCAATAATGAAATGAAAAATGTCAATATAAGCCTATGATACAGCTGTGTATTGGGATTATTTACTGAAATGGACCAAAATTGAGATGTTTTTCAATTCCATCACTCCAACATCTCTGCACTCTGCACCTCAACCAGAAAACAAGTCAGGCAGAAAAGCAAAAACCACTGCTTAACTCTCAATGGCGCACAGCAAGCTACTTTCCATTGCCGCCCATCCGTCAAGAGCATATCACGGTAAAAGAGACACTTTTTCCTTGAAGGAAAACTCCTTGAAACCAAAGTATCACATCAAAAGAGAGATTGACTGAACAAAGAAGTCAATTATCTGAGCCAAAGATCCAATACAATTGAAGGAGGACTGAAGATGGTTCTTCTCGTTAGCCACATGCTTCTATGGTATAATGGTGATGCAATGAAATTGATAGAAATAGACACCTTACATTGCGGAGCCAAGTAAAGAGGCATGAAAAGGTCTTGGGCTACTTTTATCACAGATAGTGCAAGAATTTCATGAATTGAATTCAATCATTAGAAATGAATCATTTTGAGACAGATGATAAACTCACATTTCTGACCAAAAGTTCTTTGTTCCCCCATTCATGATTTTCTACATCAAATATTATTGGAGTGATGCCCAACACATGTTCCCACCTCAGTTGGAAAGTAATATTTAGATATATCCATTGTATTAATTAAGACAATGAGCAACTGAAAAAATATGTACCAAGACATTAAGCCTCAACTTGGGTAGAGTTACAGCACAAAAAAATTGGATTGGTCCAACAAATATTTTTTTTTTTAAATAAGACGTTGCTAGTATGATTAAGAGACCAATAAATAAAACTTGTGCAATGCACAAAGTTCTACCATTTAGAGAGCCATGAGGTACATTGATGGCAGTGTGATTGTTCATTGTTTTTAGTAGATAATCACTCATTCAAAGCTATGGAAAATTTTAAAAATTTCAGCTAAGTTTTAGTTAAAACCACTAATAATGTTTATCAGCAAATGCACAAAATCTATTTTTCATAAAGCCTAAGCAAATCACATATTTGACGATCAGCCAGAATATATCACAAGATCATCAAGACTAAGAATCAAAATGTTTCACTTAAGAAGTACAGTACAACCGCTTGAGTCTTGAATTAAGAGACAATTTTCGGCAGTATTAACAGTTCTTGCAACACTTTGCATGAATAATTTATTCCAAAAGTCTAAAGACAATTAGAGGAACAACCCTAGATTCATTTTTAGCTGCATGACTTGTTATAAGAAAAGTCATTTCATTAAATACATAGGCACATGTAACATTTAAATTGAAACTGCCATTTGCCCATAATTTTGAAAGTGTTAATTTCAGAATAGAGAAGAGCATCACATAATTTCTTGCAGAGTGAGAGCTTTGGTTGAGAAAAAATGATTATCTTACACAAAATGTGAATTTGAAAAAAGTTTAGGAGTACATTATAAAAAGAAGTGTCATGCAGAGAAATGTTACTCTACTTGTTTGTCATAATCCTTGAGCACAAAGTACATAATAAGAAAGGCAATTTTTTATTAAAAGGAAACATTTTGTGAACTCAAAAGAATGGATGGTTAGGATCAGGAAGACATTGATGTGTTTAGATGTCATATTCAGATGGAGTCCCACTAAAAGAAAAAGAGCATCCTAAAAAAAAGAAAAAGAAATAATGCTGAAGTATGAAACAAGGGGAATGATTGAGAAACAGCAATGAACTAAGAGTTTACCTGAAATAGGGGTGAAACAAACTTGGAAAACATTTTGAGTATATTCACCGAACTTTTATATTTTTTACCATGCTATGGAGTTTTTGTAGCAGTTACACTGTTTCTTATAAATTATGTTCATAAAAGAGATTATTGAATGTGTACAACAACCTTTGATGAATACAAGATCGGTCTCCTAGCAAAGTTGTCAAATAGATATGGGAGATGCATCCCAGGACATGGCTTAACTGCTGCCGGCCAGAAACAAAACCAACATAAATAAAAATAGAACTTCTCAACATCACTGAAAATTATGCAAACTATACATCCATTACAAACAATCAACATGGTCACATAAAATCATATTCATTTAAGAAATAAAAGAAATCCAATTATTGAAAAGAAATTTATCTATGTACATACACCATAGCACAAGAATTGATTAATTAGCCCTCTATCATCCTTATGAACCACAATCTATTCCGAAGTTAATTAAAGGCAGGGATGTACCAAAACTCCAGAAGTAAACCAAGCAAGATTGTACTCCAGAGAACATACAGGAAAGTTTGCTTCATCAAATGGTTTCTTGGGGAAACGTTAAATCAGATGAGAAAAAGAGAAGAAAGCTCAAGCTCTGTGGTACATTATAATGGTTAAAATTGATCTCTTGGTTCACAATTGGTGTATTACCAGCATAACCCTGTTGTTATATTACTACCTATAGCGTGAGATCTTTGGGCGTGATGGTGTCGTTAGAGGGAAGGGTTGTGACAAATCACAGCCACAGCTCCACAAATGCAACTGCTAAATTGACATCTAAGACTGGCTTACATTTCAAGTAATAAAGACGGAAGAAAAAGAATTACCATGGGCATATCCTGTACAACTTTCAAGTTTCAAAAACAAAGTCAACTTTGGTCACAAAAGAAATCAGGGTAGGGAAGATAACTATGCATCAAACTGAAGGTAACAAACTTTCCTTACTGACAAAATTAAATTACTGAAAAGCAAAACTCAAATATTGGTTGAGACACAATAACATTTGGATTTATTTAAAAACTGTGAAACAATTACTAACAACCCACTTTTTGCCAATCCATAAAAGTCTATTAAACAGTTACATATCATACACAGAGTGGCCGGCAGTACTTGCAGCTAGTGTTGGAGCAGGTCATCGACACTAGCAAAAGCGCAGGATCCAAGTCCTGAGCGAGACATAAGGCGCACCACTTCACGGGCGTGTGCCACAGCAATTTCTAACGGCGGCCTTCTTGGAAGATTGCTCGCTTCTAAAAATCCAAGAGAGGAGAAAATATCTTAATTTACTTGTACTAAAATAGAAAATTTTGTTAGTGGATTGAAACAAACATACCTAAAATTGCCGAATTTAGGGCAGCACAAACAGTTTCCCTCTGCATTGGGTCCAGCTGCCAACCTACAGGACTGCTCCAGGGATTCGAATAAGCCAACAAACTGAATGCATCCTAAAAGGAAAAGAAAACAGTTTAAGGAACAAGAAGTGAAAGCTTTAACACTGGGATGAAATTGAAGGGTAGTCCTGGGAAACATAACATTCAGTGCTCGCTTGACTTACTTGCAGCATTTTCTTATTGGCTTCATTATTGCCTTGTTCCTGTCGCAAATGAAGACTCATGTTGTACAACTCCCGACCAAATTCCAGCATTCTTTCTATTGCAGGTTTGCTTCCTCCACAAAGTTGTCGCTTGCCAACAGGAGGATCAACTTCTACAAACAAAGACAAGGAAAATTGGGAATGAGGCTTAAATTTTATTTTGTCGTGCAAGAATGACGCCTTTAAGAGACTCTTACCCATGTCTTCCATGTTGTCTGAATTTTCAACCTCATGCTCCGATGGATGTGAACCCCCATTCTGGTAACCATTTGATGTGGCAGGTGAAGTTGGCTTAATGACTCCATTGGAGGTGTGGCCGTTCCTCTCTTCAGGCACTTCCATTTCCACATCATCATTGTCATCGCGTAGGCCTGGTTGTTAAGATAAGATTAAATTGTGAAAAAGTTTAAATGACCAGAACCAAATGGGGAGTGAAGTCCTTACCATGCAAGTCTGGCTTGATGAGTGGTGTGGCTTCCCCCCCTCCATTCATTGCAACTCCACTGTTTGCCATGTTCATATCCTCAACGGAATGAGTTGGGTGTGGGGTACGACGCTGCGCCTGACCTTTGGCATGGTTCTTACTTGAAGTCTGAGCTGGGCTACTTGGAGGAGGACTCGAAGGACGAGGCGGTGTTGCAGCGTGGTTGATACGTGGACAACGGGGAGGATTTACCTGCATTCAAGAAACCGAAAACACGAAGAAGGGCGTGAAATAACAATTGTGGTGGTGCATTTAACCAATCACAAATCATGCTACACACCTCTGAGTCACAGCCATTCACCATTTCAACAAACTGTCTACACTTTAAAAGAAAGAGCAGGTTCTGATTGTGTTCTAATAGACATGGATACAGCCTGCTTGTCATTTCAATTGCTTCTCCCATTCTACCAGCCAAGACAAGCTTCAAGATTCCTAAAATAGGAAGCAGAATTAACAATCAGAACTATTGATATATTTTTGCAGCAATACTCATTTGTCAGGATTCATACTATCCCCTAAACCTAATGATGAAATGAGCAACTCACTTTGTCTGTTTTTTATCGATGTTATTTCCTCTTCAAACATTTGCCCTGTGCTCTGGGCAAACGCCTCTGCTGTGGCACAGTATCCATGGTGGACTAGGTATGTAGACACCATTCTGCAACACAACATAAAACGAGTTATGCAAAGAGTCAACACAGAAAGAAACATGAAGGACAATGAAGGAAGAACAAAGTCAGTACTTGTGGAGAACTGCTTGCCAATCCCCTGGATTTTCAGGCACCGCATAGTTGAGTATTGATAGGCGAGTTCTAGCTCTCAGTTCCTTCATCATGTCTTCAATGTCAAATACAAAAGGTGCTTGACCAAAATTTGCGTCAACAACTTCCCCAGGGGTCTGAAGACCAACAGTGGGGTACAAATTGGGCTGAAGAAAATAAAATAATAGGAAATTAGTGAATATGTGTGAACATAAATATAAAATCAATCAAAATAGTGGAATCAATTAAATGTTATAAAAGGTAAGAGGGGATACATACCGGTAGGTCAGTAAAAGCTATGCCCAAATTGTGTCCGTTTTTAGTATAAAAGCATGTATTATCAATCAGATTTACTCCACAGCCAATGACGTCTCCAGTTGTAAAAGTAGGTCCATATGGTTGTCCAGATCCAGAGGAACAAAATGAATGACCATCATCACCATGATATCCATATGAGTGTTTGTCCCAGCCTGCAGTTGAGAAATAAGTTAAACACACATCCAAACTAGTTTCAAAAGAACTGAAAAAGAACACATATCCTCAGAAAATACTGACCTGGCAATCTGTTCATGTTGACACCTTGGCCAGAGAGGCCAATGCCCATGTACCCATCTCTTCCTTTGCTAACAATTTTAACTTCGAAGTAGTACAAGCCACAGGCTGGAGGTATAGAATGGGTGGCTCTTACACTTGCAGCATCTTTGTGGGTTTTTCCATGACCTACAAACAAAACCATACAAAAACCAGTCTTAAATTTTTTGTTACAAGCCACTTACATAGAAGATTTTTAATTGAAGACACTTAAAATAGATACTGATGAAGAAAGGGTATAAATTAACTTTACTGGATAGAAAGCAAAACTAATACTGAAATTTGTGTTTAAAATGAGGTAAACAGAGCAAATTAGCATGTCATTATATTTGACCTAGTGAACATAACCTTTTGAAAATTAAAATGAAATACAATGGAGGTCTTTACCAGAGTAAATGTTAAAGGGGAAACTTAAAAAAAGAAGTAAAGCACAGTAAACTGGATGTAATAAGAAATTTAAACTGTTTAAAATAACAGACCTAGAATCTAGTTCAAAGGTCATAAACAAAGCTGGAAAACAATTTTTTTTCAGGCAGGACAGCAGAAAATAGAGCAGCAAGAAAATAGGGGCAAGATATCTGCTCAATCTGAATCAATTCTTCAAAAGAAGAAACAACCAACCAACCATACAAATAAACAAACGTGCGTGCGAACTATTTTTAGAGTGCCAAGTCTTGAGCCTCGGCCACTGCAAGGCCTAAATATTTCAAGCGCGAGATTAAACCACAAAAAGGACAGCGAAGAAAATTAAAGCGAAAATCGAGATTCTGCGCAAAACATCTGTTGAACCGAGGGAAGGACCTGGATAGTCATACAGATGTTTTGAAAATTACGTCATGACAAGGGCTGATCAGCTGATTTCTTTGTTTGGATTCAGCTCGAAAATATGCATCCTTGTCAGTCCACGACAGCAGTGTTGCCAAGGAATGAAATTTACTTCAGAGACACAGGTAATAATGCTCCTTTCTAGATGCGCACTAGATTCTTTTAGCCACCACTCCAAAGTGGCCAGAAATCAAATCCTCGACTCGACGTTGAGGGGATCAGATCCATAACCAATCCTCCCAGCGAAATGTCCTACCTTTGTAATGAACTCGCAGATTATTTTGGGAGAGTCCAATGTAGTTGTACTTGTCCTTGGAGCTCCAGGAGCGAGGCAGTGGGGTCTCCTCTTCATTTACCATAGGGTACAGCAATTTGAACCTATCTGTAATATTGTTTTGAGGTAAAATAGGAGGCTCCTGAGAAGCTCGTCCATTGCTGGTGGCCGCCATCTTTGAAACTGCTTGTGTGCTTGCTACGTCACTGGAGTGTACGAGTATGTGTTTGCGCGAGCAGGAGGTAGGGGGCAGCCCGTTCGCCACTGGTTTCCATGGAAACCGGAGACGCTACAGCAGTGCATTTCCATTTCATCATTGCCCACTTGTTCATCTCTTCAGCGCACAAATTTTTCGCCATTTCGTTTCCCATTGTAGCTGAATGTCATTAAGAGGGCTTAGAAAGCTGATGCTTCTCCGTGAAACAAAAGCAAAGAGAATGTGTGTACTGTGGTGGTACAATGCTAAGTACAGTAGGATTCAAAAGTGATCCTTGGGTCCTTGAGGTCATTCCCCCCATCCTGGGTGCGCATGTGAGGGGATCAGTGGTTCCGTCCGGGTGGTTGCTTTGGGTCAGTCATATATGAACAACCAAAAAATCAGAAACCACAATAAGTAAAAAATAACATTTATTTGTGAGTTCAGGCATCAATGAAGAATCAGATGAATTACAAATTGATCATTGTTTTACAGAATATTTCAAACTTTTTTTTCTGTCTCAATTGGTTGGAATGAACTATGTACATACACAAAGATGTCTTGGCTTGTCAGAGGGGGCCAGATTACATTTATAACCATCGGATTTTAATGTAGAGACAGAATGCTTTGATTTGTATACCAAGGGACCAACGCACAACTCCCTTTGTCATGAAATTGAAAATACTATGTTTTAGGTTTCTTTGGAAGAGAACCAAATGCTGATATGACGGTTCCTTTAGTGCCTGTGGCAGAGGTAGTGAGAGAAGGTTGTTGCATTAATCCAACAGGTCTCAGTAATGGCGCAGACACTCCACCACCGGCCCCACCAACTTGGTCCCATTTTGATTTCCTCCGCTTGGCTTCCTCTTCAGCAGAAAGGCTAACTCCAGCAGTCCGTTTTGCTGTGCCTGACACAAACTCAACCTGAAAGAAAATTTATAAAAGATTACCAGTCAATAGACATGAAGCATGAGCTAGAGGGAAAACTAAAGCAGCTTACTTTGGTTTTTTCTTTCCTTTCCTTTTCTCGTCTATCAGTGTCGTCCTTCTGAGCTTTAGCTAGTGCTTCATAGTATGATTCTTTACCCCACATGAGAGGGTCATATATTTCAGGAGGGTAATTTGTACCTAGTTCATTAATGTCACAAAACTGTACTAACTTCTCATAAATACTGGGGTTGCGAAAATCTTTCCTATCTTGTATAGCCTGCAACATAAAAACCATTTAAGACGGAGTGAAGGAGCCCACAGATAAAGCCAAGGATTTTGAATTGATAATTACCTTGTTCATATTGAAGTTGGTATTGCTCTTGATTCTTTCATGCAGCCTTTTAATTTTTTCCTGTAATGCCATTGAACAATGACCTGGGGGTTCAGGGGGAAGTTTTACACCATCAGGAGCCTGTTCTGCTAACTCTTCTATGGCGATTTCTTCTTCAATCTTTTCCTCTTCCTTCTCCTCTAAATCCATAACTTCGTCCGAATCTGCACCTCCATCTCCTTCCTCATCTGAGACAACAGTGTCATCGTGATACGAAACAAGCTGCGCTAGTCTCTTGGCATTCTGTGGAAAAAAAGGAGGAAAATATTAGTTGAAATGACAAATTGCATACACTTTCACAAACAAATTAAGAAAACTTACTTGTAGACGAACTGAAGGCGACACAACAACAGCAACAGAGGCGACTGGTTTAGGTTTCTCAGGAGAGGGACTAGAAATATCCCCTGCTTCATCTTCTCCTTCTGAATCGGTGTATGTTGCTGTAAGTGATGCTAGACCCGAAGAATTCTGAACTGACATATTGCCAACTGAAACCAATCTGAAAGGCCCCAAAGAGAAAAAAATACAGTAACTGTATGGGAATAAAATTTCATGTGAAAATACAAGAAGCAGAGACGAATTCTTGACGTATATAAAGTGAAATTAACTATTTGTAAGTCAAGTTTCTAGGTTAGAGGCTTCAAAAACAAACCAAGGGTTATGTTTTGTCCGGAGTGAAAGAACATCAAGTAACTTATTCCTAAACTAGACCAAACGTACCTAAACGACCTAGAATTCAAAGATACTGTATGACTTCAGCCACAAAATACATAAAATTAGTTGAAAATATTAATGAATGTAGCCTTGATTGATGTTGTTGTTGTTTCGTTTCTCTGGGAGAAGTGCCACCTTTTGGAAACAAAAATAGGTCCCGATCCGATGAAAATTATGTTGTAGCTTACCCTCGTAAACTTTAAAATTGTCTGTCTCAAAAAGGTAAAGATTTAAATTTGAAAATAAATGCAAGTCGTAAAGGACCGATTTTGAAACCAATATTAACGTCAACATTTTGAATTTGAGAGGGTTATGTTGGTACCTTGGTGGCGGTAAGCTCAACCTCTGTGGAGGTACGTGGACGTAGCGTCCTCTCGTAAAACGAATTTATTCATTTTAATCGGCGGAGATACGGAATGACCAGCCGATTTTGGCCTCGTAGTGGCCGTTGTGCGGTCTGGAAGGCCCGAAACGCCGCTTTCTATCCCAACGCCGTGATACAGGGGCGGGCAGCGGGGGCCTTCCCTCCCCAAGAAAAGGACCGGGGGGGAAGAGAACAGGGTCAATAATGAGGTTTAATAAAGTAGGGTTTTAAGTAAAAGCGTCTTTTATTTCACATTTGAGCACATTTCCAAAACACATGGAACAATGGATGGCACCCCTGAAGAAAAAAAATCATTTTTGACAAAATATTTGATGCTCAGACTTTCTGGCATGAAAAAGGAAGCAAAGACATTTTGTTGCAGTCGAGGAGATCTTAAGAAGGGAGCTCTAGCTTCTGAAGGTCTTCTTAAGTGCAAAATCTTCACAGCGATGACATATCTTGTGTTCAACAGATTTTTCCTTTGAAAAGTGGATGCTGCAATTTATGTCAAATGTAAGTGTATTGAGTGTGCCACATGCTGATATAAATATATAAATACAACTTAACGCCATAAATGTCATTTTCAGCCGAGCTAAAACTACAGCACATGCTACATTACTTAACCTATCATCGTCACCTCATAATCATAAGTCACCATTCAAACAATTGTTCTAACAATTGGAATAAATATCATGTAAAATATATTAATTATAAATATAAAAGGTACCATAAATTATTACAAAAGAAAATATCTCTAGAATGAAAACAAAAAGCTAATCTTGTTAGTTCCAAACTTTAACTAATATGAGATAAGATTGCATCATACTATATGCTGCATTTATGGTTACATTATCAGTAATACTCAATAACATAATTAAAATAAGAACATTAAGGAGATCACAAACATTCTCAGGAAATACATAACACTCACATACATAATTCTTCTCACACATAAAGACCGTGCACTGCACGTGTCCTTACTCTCTCTCACACACACACACACATGTACGCACACACACAGATAGCAAGGGAATGCGCATTCAGAAGAGTGTGGGTCCGACGACGTAGCGCCGGCCCCGGAAACATTATTGGGGTTTGTTCATAGAACGTACTCTCAGAAATATATCATAGATATATGGGAACAATAAAAATCACCGGCACACCCCGGGACAGCGCGGCCCAGTCCGGCGGCGGCCGCCTCGCCCCCGACAAGCTTCGCAAGCTTCGCAAGCTTCGCAAGCTCCGCAAGCTCGAGCTCAGGGCAGAATAAGTACCCCACCCGAGCACCGAGAGGGGGGCCTGGGCGGCCTCTCCGCGCGGCCCGGGGACAGCGCCAGCAACACAAGCAACACCGCCACCGTTTACAGTTTACAGGTTGGGACCGCGCAGCCGCACTGGAAATTACCTTCCTCCAGCGGCGCGGGCCTCGTATTTACAGTGCATGTACAGGGCGCGGCCGTGGCGTGCGCGGACGCTAGCGGACGCGCTGGGTAGCAGGCGCTACGCGCGCGTCGCGGCGCGTCACTAGCCGCCACGGCCTCGCACACTCCAGCCAAGTCAGCCGGCAAGTCAGCCGGACGGACATCCAGGACACCGTCCAGGCCGGTTACTCTACTTACCCCCCTCAAGACCGCCGTTGTCCAGCAACGAGGGAGAGGGGGGCCGCGGGCGTGGCAAACTCTACAGGCTGTACGGGTGGCAGAACTGGTAGACCAGCCGCTGCGAGCGCTCCGTCTTCTTCATGATGCCCTTCTTGTAGTACTGCCGGATGGAGCGGGACAGCTTGTCGTAGTTCATGGCGGGCCTGTTCTTGCGCGCGCCCCACAGCCGGGCCACCCTCACCGAGTCCTCGATCTTGAAGACGCCGCCGGGCCGGTCCACCCAGCGCACGCAGCTGCCGTGCACCTGGGGCGCGGCCAGCAGCTCCTTCAGGAACTGCCACAGGTGGATGTGCGAGCCGCGCGAGGACGGCGACGACGACGACGCCGACGACGAGCCCGGCGTGGCGGCGGCAGCGGAGGCGGCGGCGTCGCAGTCCTCGTCCTCGTCTGCAAGAAGGAGGCCTTGTGTTAGGTCGGCAGCAAACAGTGTGGGTGCCTCCTCTGCTGAGGCAGCGGAGCACAGTGGGCCAGAAGACAGAAATCCATTGGTGGGGTCACACGTTCGGTTCGAATCCTATTTAGCGACTCTGGAGCTCAAAACGCGTCTAGAGTTCTGGCCGCCTCCCCCGGTCTTCTGGCCCACTGTGCAGAGCCAGCCTGGACGCAACCTGCTTAGGGCAGGCACGGAGTCTTGTGCGAGTAACGGGAAGAAGAAGAAGGAGAAGCAACTGACCGTCAGAGGTGTCCGCCGACGACGCGCTGGAGTTGTGCTGGCTCTGCGGGCTGCACGCGCTCTGCTCCGACAAGAGCGTGGGCGCGGTGGGGAGGGTCGCGGCCGGCGCCTCCAGCTGGTGCAGCAGCGGGGCGGCGGGGGGCGGGGAGACGCCCCTGTCCTCGACGCAGGCCGCCTTCCAGATCTCCAGCTGGGCGAACAGGAGGGAGCCGCTCTGCAACAGGAGGGACAAGGGCGGTTAGCTTGGCGCCGAGCTTCGACTCTCTCCATCGCCCTCGTTCCCCGTTCGCGGCGCCGGCGGCCTCGCTGACCGCCTCGGCGACGGCCTTGGCTGAAGGACGAGCGGCCGCGCCGCCACCGCGTCGCCACGCCCCCAAGGCCGAGTCCACGGCCGCCTAAAGGAGGACTGCCAGGACTCGAACCTCGGTCCACCCGGCGAAACAAGCGTGCCTGGCACTGCCTGGCACTGCCTGCTCGCTGCACGTGGGTGATGGCATGGTCCTCGGAGCCGCGACTCCCTGGTTTTTGTCTGTGCCGCAGACTCACTCCGAGAGTCTCTCTCGCACTCACGGGGCGTCGCCGCGTCGCGTACAGGTGCGAGAGAGACAGAGCGACGAGAAAGACCTCTCAGTCTGCTGGTGGCTGCCTGGACCGGTGGGCCGGGCTTCGCCTGGCTTTGCACGTGGCAGCGATAAGGCAGAGTGGAGACAGCCGAAGCGGCTCGACCGTTTTCGGACGCGCGACCGTTTTCACCACTCGCTGCAGACTCACTCCGAGAGTCGTCGCTCTGTCTCTCTCGCACTCATGCGGCGCCCCGTGTAGGTGCGAGAGAGACAGAGCGACGACTCTCGGAGTGAGTCTCGCTGACCGGTCCGGCCAGATGGGCCCTCCATGATGGCACTGCCCAGGCAGCCCAGGCACCGCGGAGATTCATCAGCGCTTCGTCTCTCTCTCGCTCCGTCCCCTCGCGGGACGCTGCACGAGTGCGAGAGAGACAGAGCGACGAGACCACTGCGATGGTTGATCGTACAGTAATGTCGCGCGGAGCCACAAGACTGAGCCGCAAGGCCGACTTTGGGCGCCAGATTCGAATCTATTGCCAACCTACCCTCCGCGGAAAAGGACCGAGTGCAAGGAGCCGAACCGACTATGACTCCGTCATTGATTCTCTTGGTTACCATCATTCTGGCCAGGAGAGTGAATTCTTCGCAGTCAGAAACACGAACATAGTCGATACTGTGTACTGTCGAGGGCCGCGCTAGTGGAGCTCCCTTCGCGCCATTTCAAAGCCAGCGCGTTCGAAAATTGAAGATGGAAACAAACGGCGTAGAAATGCAAACAAGAAAAAAATCTGCGGGCGTTGGCAGGCGTTGCCAAGCGGGCAGTGCGGGCCCGCCTTGCAACACGCGGGGAAAGTGCCTCGAACCACCAGCCAGCCAGCCAGCCAGTCGGCCGGCCTGGCCACTGGCCCCACTGCCGGGCGCAGCGCGCAGCCAGGAGTCTCTCTGTCCTCGTCCCACCCCCAAGGGGGCCTGCTGGACTTGCTGCTGGACGTGGGTGGACTGCCAACGCTGCCTCCACTTCACCCCGAAGGTTTGCTTGCACCTTTCAATTTAACCCTCACAGCCGGAAAGAAAGCATCATGCAATTTGCTAGTTTCGGATAAATGTGATGAACTTGAAAAGAAAAGGCCTACCTGATCGGTCTGTATGCCCGTCGGTCCACCTGCCTGCTGTCTGTCTGTCTGCCTGTCTGTCTGCCTGTCGGCTGCGTCTTAATTGCCCGGCCATCCCAACCCATTGACGGCATCGCCATCATCTTGCCTCCTATTTGCCACTTTCGCGGAGTGTGCTCGTCCTCGCTCACTCCACTCTGTCTGCCTCTGCGGCCTACTTTCGCTCATGTCGCATGATTTGGTAGCAGTGTCCTCACCTGGGGCGCGCGCTGAGTCAGCTCCACCTCGCTGAGGTTGGCCAGGGTGGCGCCCTCCATGTCGAAGAGGTGCAACTGCACGCTGGGCAGCGAGAACTGCCTCACGGTCCACATGATCCAGGCGCGGACGTCCTCGCGCGTCCACAGCGCGGGGTCTGAAACAAAAACAACAACAAGAGTCAAATGGAGCCTGAAGTCAAACCGACCTAGCTTCGTCAAATGGGGCTTCCTTAAGGCAAGGGCGCGGCAAGTGCGAAAAAGGTGAGCAGTCGAATGGGTACGCGGCAGTCAAACACAAGAGACCGAGCCTCGTCAAATGGGGCCGTGTTGTGGCACGCGACGGCTGATGCCCGCTGATGCCCGCCGTGCGCCATTATCCAGGCATTATCGCGTCCAATCAGATTCCGCCTTCATTTCGCCGAAGCGCATAAGCGTACCTGGGCGCGGCCGCACCACCCACTGGAGGCTATTTTTAGCCTGATCCCCCCCTCCCCCCTTTTTCCACACACACGCGCACACGCACGCACGCACACACTTTGACTGGACCGGATTTCATAAATGTATTTTGAAATATTGTTGTTTGTCGTAAACACCTGAGCCGGCCTCGGGAGGATCAGTGTCACCGCGCGTCAAACTCCCATTCCACTCCGCTCCACGCGCACAGTGGGCCAGAAGACCGGTGGAGGCGGCCAAAATTCGAGCCGCGTTTTCAGCTTCAGAGTCGCTAAATGGGACTCGAACCGAACGTGTGACCCCACCAATGGATTGCTCTCCGAACGAGGAATCCATTGGTGGTGTCACACGTTCGGTTCGAGTCCCATGTAGCGACTCTGGAGCTCGAAACGCATCTTGGCCGCCTCCACCGGTCTTCTGGCCCACTGTGGAGCACCGCGCGGCAACGTGCGAGGCGACGGCTTCGCCATGGCTTCGCGGAACCGCGACGCCACTTTAAAGTTTGAGCCACGCCGCGCAAAATGACTGGTATTACGGCTGCGTCGGAAAATAACCGGCACGCACACGACACTATGAATCACTCGCCTCTCTCCGTCTCTCTCGCACGCCCGCGAGCCGCGGCGCGGCGCCCCGTAGAGAGACACAGAGCCACTGGCAGTGCTCTGCAGCCCTGCTGTCGATTATGTTATGAATAACACGACATCCTGGTGAGCAGTGCAGGCACGCCGGAGGCACGCGCGATCAGGGACCGTCCGTAAGCCTCGCTGTGGCTTCAATAGACAAAAGCGCATCAACTTTTGATTGGACGCACACGCCCTCTTGAAGTTATAAAAAAAATCTCCCTCTCAAATTTTTGAAATTTTTGTTGTTTTGCGTGTTTTTACTTTGAAAGCGCAAAAATGACACGGTTTGAGAGACTTTTTTTTCCTTCTTCACACCTCTTTGACGGCGCTGCGCCGCGCTGGGCCGTGCACTGCCCGAGGTGCCACCGCCACAAAGTGTTCCACGTTGCCGGTTTTGCCGGCATTGCCGCATTCCGAGTCGCAGAACCAAGTGTTGGCTAACTGCGTTACACGATCTATTCGGGGCTGCACCCCGCCCCGGCGCGAGGCTAGCCTTTCCACAGAAAGTCTCCCCGACAGTGTACCCCGGAACGGCCGAGCGACGGAGCGGCCTTGGCTTACGGGGACTTATGTGTATCGGGCAGTGCTATTTATAGTGCCTATTGGCCAAGTGCGGCCAGACCGGCCTAGAGGGCTGCCAGGCCGTGAGGGGGTCGTCAGCAAGCATGGATTCCTCGTTCGGAGAGCAGTCCATTGGTGGGGTCACACGTTCGGTTCGAGTCCCATTTAGCGACTCTGGAGCTCAAAACGCGTCCGGGATTGGGGCCGCCCCGCCCTCAGCCTGCGAATGGCTGGGTAGGCATGCCCCCCGTACTGCCGTGTGTTGCGGGATGGCCTGCCTCGGGCCTCGCAGGCGCTAGGTGCCTGGCTGTGCCGTGCCGCCACGGGGCCGCGCGGCCGTTGACGTCAGGGAGTAGGGGCGTCGTCGGGCACCTTGCAGTGTGTCTCCCCTCCCCCCCCCCCCCCGCCTCGGCAAGGACGCGGCCCCTCCAGCGGCCTCCAGCGGCGTCGCTCGCAAGCGAGCACATTCTCCAGGAGAAAGCTCCCCGCCTGATTGGGCTGGCCGTCCAAGTCGATGGCACGGAGGCACACTGCAAGTCCTGACTAGTCCGCCAGGACGCCGACGACGCCGCCAGGACGCCGCCAGGACGCCGCCAGGACGCCGCCAGGACGCCGCCAGGACGCTGACGACGCCCAGCCTTTGTTCTCAACGGCCCAAACGCAGCGACCTGTCGGCAGGCTGACTCGGAAAAATGCTTGGTCGCCCTCTGTCTCTACACTCACGGGGCGTTCCCCTGGGGTGCGAGAGAGACAGAGCGACGACGCACTGCTTGGAATCGGGAAAGGCAGAGCCGAGGCGAAGTCACCACGGTCACGCCCTGCCTCGCCCTGCCTCGCACAGCCACGCCACTGCTTCGCAGGCTTCGCAGGCTTCGCTTCGCACCTACAGTGGCGTGCTCTGCGGAGGCAAACACGTTATGCAATGCGGTAGGACGCGCAGGGCGCGACGTGCGAGTCGAAAGAAAAGGACCACCCGACAAACTGAAAACAACTAAAAAACTTCTGCAATGAACTCCTTCGTTTTGACGTTCAAAAAAACCTCCATGTGTTTCCATTGTCTGAGGTCAGGAGCGACGAGTTTCTTTCACTTTGTCGTCTTTATCTTCCAATCCTTACTGCATCACTTAGAGTGTAGATGCAATGACGTCATTTTCGAGTGTCGGTGGAGCTACACTGCAAAGGAAGTGACGCTCGGCGGCATTAAATTACGTAACGCGTTGCACCACGGGCGTAGCGCCCGGTAGCGCCTCGCGTGGCGATCGGAAGGATGAAGAGTCAACAAAGACAAAGACAGAAACACACGGTGGCGGCGTCTCCCCCTCGGCGCGCTGGCTAAGTCGCACAGTGGGCCAGAAGACCGGTGGCGGCGGCCAAAACTCCAGACGCGTTTTGAGCTCCAGAGTCGCTAAATGGGACTCGAACCGAACGTGTGGCCCCACCAATGGATTGCTCTCCGAACGAGGAATCCATTGGTGGGGTCACACGTTCGGTTCGAGTCCTGTTCAGCGACTCTGGATCTCAAAACGCGTCTAGAGTTTTGTCCGCCTCCACCGGTCTTCTGGCCCACTGTCTTGCTACTCGGTGACGCACTTGTCGGGCTTCTCGGAACGAACGGGGAAGCGCGACGGCGGCGTCCTTGTCCCCGTTAAGCTCCCCGAGATCCAGCACGGCCGAGTGGCGCGTTGGGCAAGCGGCGGCAAGCGGGCATTCCCCCCATACTGCACCCCAGTGAGTCACTGCCGGGCCACTGGCGGGGCTGGTGGGGCTGGCGGGGCTCGGACCGGCAGTGGTGGTCATCGCGACACAGCTGTCCGCTAGCCCACCTACGGCACTCTCGCATATTTGCATCGTTCGTCAGGGCTGCAGCGCGGTTAAAAAAAAAAACAACGAAAAAACACCCGCTCCCCCCAAAAAACGCTTTTACGCACACTCAAACACGCACACACTCATCGGTCAGAAATGAGTTAGCTCCGCTCTCTCGTCTAGTACACTGTGGGACGTTATCGATCAGCATTAGTTGGGCCGGTATGACAAAAAAAGCCTCGCGCGCGAAACCGGTGTCACTTGAAGATGATAGGTTTTATACCGCTGCTTTCACCGGCTAACGATCAAAGCCGGCGGTCGTGATGTTTTGTGACTAACACCTTTCTTGCGCAATGTTCCCCCGGTGTAGTGGAACGGGGCCAGAGCCGGGCCGCAGGATTGGCAAGGAGGTGGCTGGCCCGGCGAATACTTCCAGGAACATCCAGGATTTCCAGGCGTTTGCCATGGTTACCGAGACGCGTTGCGCAAAGCAGCGTTCGTTGGTTCGGCCGCTCGGAACGGGGTCGGGCGCACAGTGGGCCAGAAGACCGGTGGAGGCGGCCAAAACTCTAGACGCGTTTTGAGCTCCAGAGTCGCTAAATGGGACTCGAACCGAACGTGTGACTCCCACCAATGGATTCCTCGTTTCGGAGAGCAACCCATTGGTGGGGTCACACGTTCGGTTCGAGTCCCATGTAGCGACTCTGGAGCTCAAAACGCGTCTAGGGTTTTGACCGCCTCCACCGGTCCTCTGGCCCACTGTGGGGCGGGGCCGACGTCGAACGGACACCATTTTGACGTCCTTTCGACGCCGCGTGGCCGTCGCTGTGCCGCCCCGTCAGCCCCGTCATGGCTGCGGCGACTTTGAAATCTCGGAAAGGCGTCCGTTGTCTTTCGGCGCGGACAAGAACAACGCCGCCACCCCCTCCCACGCCAACGCCCCGGTCCGCCCCGGTCCGAGCACAAGACAATAGGGCGCTAGCCAGTCACCCCGACGCCCCGCTTCGACGTGAAGGCGGTGGAAAAAGAACGAAACTCGCGTCCAGCGAGCCAGGGGCGAGCCGCGGTGCTAGCCTGGGCGGGCAGACGCGCCGACAGGACTCCAGAGACTCCGGAGGAGCCATTTAAATGGGTTGGGGCCCGGCCAACATTCCTGCGGGATTTGTAAGGTGACTCGGCCAAAAATGTGTTCAGCCATAAAAGTGGCAACGACAGTCGCGGAGCCCAGTGTTGCCAACGGAGTCGGTTTGGAACGTTCGAGTTTGCTTTCAGTGAACCACAGTGCGAGCAAAGAGTTTTGCTTTTGATCTTTCTACAGTGTGCTGGCCAAGTAACAGCAGTCTTGCCATAGGAATAGGGTGAAAATTCGCCCGAAGGTGCCAGACGCCTGCTTTGCCTAGGCAACATCTCCGTTCTGTACAAAATACCTCGTTCGAGAGGTCTGTTGCCTTTTCGCCTTCTTTTTGGCCTCCTTGTGGCAACGCAGGCGGCACTGCGTTTCAGCCTTCCCGTCTCTGCAGTCGGCCCTGAAGCCGCCATTGTGTTTGGCTTATCTGCTCGCCGCACGACTCGGTCGCTTTATTCCGATCGACGCGATTCGAGATTCGATTCGATACATCGAATGGCGAGCGAGGTCGATCTCAATCACGCGCGGAGCGCAATGAAAATAAATCAAAACCCGATAAATACCGAAACACTTTGTCTCTGCGAGCTGACGCTATCGTCACTGCGTCTCGGGGGTGCGAGAGAGACAGAGCGACGGAGCGAACTCTGCGCAGACTCGTGCGTGGGGGTCTCCGAGTCACGGACTCCGCGCGCTAGCGTCGCAGCGCGGCCGGCGCCTCCAAGTTCGCCTGCTTTGATTGAGCGAGAGAGACGGAGAGATGCCGGAAAAAGAAAACCAGGCAAAACGAGACGACTGTGGACAATGCGAATGCAGCTCCAGAGAGAGAGAGAGAGACGCAGCATTCAAAGTGAGTGACTGCGCGGAGAAAACCAGAGCACCGTTTTACAGTTCGATGACAATGCCGCGCGAGACGCACCAAGCACCAACGGCGTTTTGCAGTGAAACAACAGTGAAACACGGACTCAACTGCTTGCCTCGTTTTCACCGCGAAATAACGCACGAGAACGATGAGTTGAGTTTCTGACGCCTCAACCAAAAAAAAAACTTTTAAAATTATTTTTTGTTTGCGGTGTACGCCAAAGCAAATAAGGAAGGGGCCTGTTGTGCCGATAATATCCGAAAGCAGCGGGGATCGAACCACGGACCACGCCCCGCCGGGGTGGCTTGGGCGTGGCACCGGCACCGCGTGACGGCTCGCTCATAAAGGAAGCAGAGCGCGCGCCTCCACTGGAAGTGCGGCACACCAACAAGTGGCCAGCACTGCCAACCCGACAACAAGGAAAGCCTCGTCTCGGGGCGCGTTGGGGATGCGGGCCGTGGAGCAAGGCCTCTGTTTCGGATCGCCATCGAACGTCAATCATACGCAACTACCAAATCCAGTACCAACTATGTACTCTACTTCCCAATTTATTTTCTTCTTTTTTTTTTCATTTTGGCTACGATATTGAGTTTGACACTATCGCCGCACTTCCCCACCAGGAGGCCTTCAGCTTGCTGCCACTGCTACACTACTGTCAGCCTCAGGGCTCAGGGTCGGAATAGCGAAGCGCGTTGCCAAGCCACCAGAACACCAACACAACAACAACAAACTCACACACACACAACGCTGGAGAGAAAGCTGCCCGGCCACGTTCGAAAAGCGCGCGCCGAGCCCGGAGCGCTTTCGGGCGCCGCCACTGGAAAAAGGGGGAGGGGGGGGGAGGTCCAAGGACGTTCAAGGCCGCCGCGCCAACCGCGAGCATTTCGTGTGCACAATGAGGAGAGAAGAATTAGTACTTGTGCGATTTACCCTTTCGAACGCGGAAGGCGAGCGGCACACGCGTGACTGGAAAAGCGGGGGAGGGGGGGGGAGCCCAAGGACGACGCCGCCGACTTCTCGCGCACTGAGCGTACCCTTGATCTGATAGAGGTAAACAACCAAACAGGTTTTTCACTTCGTCCTTTGTTTTTTTTCAAGTGCCAAAGAACAATGCGGTCTAAAATCAAAATGGTGCAAATTTCAAGGCGGGGAAATTGAGCAGGTGCGCTCGAAAGCACGGCGAGACCGCTTATTCGCGCGATTCGATTCGCGAGCGCCATTTTCTTTTCCAGTGGGGGATCTCATTAACCCGGCCGGCTAAAGCGGCGGAGCGGCGAGCAATCATTTTTTGTCGCGGGATCGGCGATTGGCCCGGGGAGGTGATCAGTCGTAAAAAGACGGCGGGATGTCGGTGTCGCTCCGTCTCTCTCGCAGCCAGCGACGCCAAAGCGACGCCAAAGCGACGCCAAAGCGACGCCAAAGCGACGCCAAAGCGACGCGCAGCGAGTGCGATAGAGACCGCGCGACGGCCTGCCTTACGAAATAAATCTCGGACGCGTGAGTACAGGAGCCGAGGAGACTTCTAGAACCACGCGCGGCCCATCAGGGTGCCGACGCGACGCGACGGCGCACAGACCGGTGGAGGCGGCCAAAACTCTAGACGCGTTTTGAGCTCCAGAGTCGCCAAATAGCACTAGAACCGAACGTGTGACCCCACCAATGGATTGCTCTCCGAGCGAGCAATCCATTGATGGGGTCACACGTTCCGTTCGAGTACCATTTAACGACTCTGGAGCTCAAAACGCGTGCAGAGTTTTGGCCGCCTCCGCCGGCCTTCTGGCCCACTGTGTTGGGACTCTACTCACCGGGCGCGATGCCGAGCATGGAGCACGTGCTGCCGATCTCGTTGCGCATCTGCTGGATGGCCAGCGAGATCATGGGCTCGATGGCGTCCTGGTCGAGCTGCTGCAAGTCCTCCTCGCCCTCCTCCATCTTGACGGCCTGGTTGGAGGCGCCGCCCGAGAGCGTCCTCCGCAGCGGCGCGGCCCAGGGCGCCGACGCCATCTGCTGCAGGTCGAAGGGCTTCAGGTTGAACTTGCGCTGGAAGCTGGTGTCCTTGAGGACCTCGCGGAGGAGCTGGTGGTCGTGCTCGGCGTCCTGGACGGCGTCCTGCATCTGCGGCACGCTGGCGTCCTCCTGCTTGACGGGGAACAGGAAGGCCCGCTGGTTTTCCCAGCACAGCTCGGGCTCCGTCTTGACCTTCTTGAGGAGGGGCTCGTCCTTGGCGGGCTTGGCGTCGGGCTTGGCGTCGGGCTTGGCGTCGGGCTTGGCGTCGTCCTCGGCCGGGAACATGGGCGGCGGCTCGCAGAACAGCGACATGAGCTGGCTCACGCTGGTGGGCGAGTAGGGCACCTCGCTGTCGGACAGCGCGCCCCAGGCCGCGGGGCTGCACGTGCTGGTGGCGAGGCCGAAGGTCGGCCCGAACGTCGGCGACGGCAGAAGCGACAGGTCGAACGCGTCCGCCGCGAAGTCGCCGAACTCACAGGGGTTGCCGCGAGGGCTGGGCACCGTCTGCGGCATCTGGAGGGAGAGAGAGAAGGCATCAGTGTCTGAGACAAAGCAAGCACTCCGTCGCGCCGTCCCAGCCGGCGCCGGCGGCCAAGACTCTGGACGCGATTTGAGCTCCAGAGTTGCTAAACAGGACTCAAACTGAGCATGTGACCCCACCAGTGGATTCCTCGTTCGGACAGCTGTCCTAGTGGGGTCACACACTCGGTTCGAGTCCCATTTAGCGACTCTGGAGCTCAAAACGCTTTCGGGATTTTGACCGTCTCCACCGGTCTTCTGGCAAATCCACCGTGCCTTTCCAATGCACCGCGTTTTCCAACTACCACACTGCGCGCGACGCCAACACGCAGACATGGCCGTGCAGCGAGTCGGTGTGCACGTGGGAGGGCGTGCTGCGTGCACACACACGCACACACACACACGCACACACACACACACGGCCGTGCATACGCACACGCACGCACAAGAGTCAGCCTTGACATTAGCGCGGCGACAGGTAACAACGGCAGTTACGCCCTTGCAAACCGCAATACTACGCACACACGCGCAGGGTGGCAGGAGGAGGGGGGAAGGAACAAACCCGCGCGCAAGTGGCGGGGTGGGGGCAGGCGCGGCAGGCCCGGCAGGCCGTCGACGAGGCTCGTGTGCACTTTCACCACGAAAACATTTGGCGACGCGCGGTCCTGTGGCAGTGCCGTGGCGATGCCTGCAGCAGGGCGCACTACGCTTCACCCAAGTGCACAGTGGGCCAGAAGACGGGTGGAGGCGGACTAAACTCTAGACGCGTTTTGAGCTCCAGAGTCGCTAAATGGGACTCGAACCGAACGTGTGACCCCATCAATGGATTGCTCTCCGAACGAGGAATCCATTGATGGGGTCACTCGTTCGGTTCGAGTCCAGCTTAACGACTGTAAATGTAACTGAAGATCAACAATCGATTGAATTTTGCAAGGAAAGAGAGTCTGCTTGGCGTCGTGCAGTACCACGACACGAGAGCCTTCCCTTCACCGAGGACCCAGAAAAAGAAGGAGAGAGAGAGAGAGAGAGAGAGAGAGAGAGAGAGAGAGAGAGAGAGAGAGAGAGAGAGAGAGAGAGAGAGAGAGAGAGACGGAGCGAGCGCACCCACGGGTGACTTTCGTCTGCTGGCCTGCCGTGCCGCGGTGTGCCGGCCGCTCGGCGCCCCGCCTTTCCAGCCCACCGCGAGATTTACGAGTCGAGAAAATGGAAAACACAGCGAGTCCGTCTCTCTCGCACTCACGGGCCGGGGTGGCCAAACCGCAGGGGGTGCGAGAGAGACCTCACGGCGCATTAACGTTTACTCTACGACTTTGGGTTTTACTGTTTTACTGTTTTACCGATGCTCCGGCGAGTCGGCCTCGAACCAGCGAAGCGGTGAGGCAGATCGATCGGTCGATCTATCGATCGCAAGCGAGAATTTCTTTCCGCGCCACCGCAGCAGCGAAGCAGCGACTAGCTAGGTCGCGTCTAGCATGTTGCTGTTGCGAGCCCCGGCGAGAAACAGGTCCACACCGTTCCCCCTCCCCCCTCCCCTCTCATTCGCTCGCTCCATGACCTTGAAACGAAGAAACTGCTTCGGCGTGCTCCGCGCTGGGGCCTGGCTGGGGCCTACACTGGCCTGGCCGGCCTGGCTGCGCTGCCGCGCTGCCTCGCCAGCATGCTCCAGCAGAGCCGTCTCTCTCGCACGCGACGCCCCGCGACGCCTTGTTGCGCCTACACCATCAACCGCGCCAAGTACCCGAAAAGGTTTTCAATGTCAAACTCAGGGCGGGGAATTTCCCCCGCGAGGGCCCCTCCGATGGGAGCGAGAGAGACAGAGCGAAGCGAAATGACTCGGCGACTTCGGCGGGCTTCACGCCTCCCAGGCCCTATCGGCATATCCGACGTTGTCACGCCAAAACGGAGCCAGAGTGATGGCAGTGCACTGGCAACTCACAACACAGTGGCGAAACAGACCAGATTGAAAATATGTCAGCGGAGAAGAGAATATCTGCTCGCGCCAAGGCGTTAAGGTTACTGATACACTGGACCGAAGGGACTCGAACCGAACGTGTGACCCCACCAATGGATTCCTCGTTCGGAGAGCAATCCATTGGTGGGGTCACACGTTCGGTTCGAGTCCCATTTAGCGACTCTGGAGCTCAAAACGCGTCTAGAATTTCGGCCGCCTCCAAGCTGGTCTTCTGGCCCACAGCGCACGGGCTCGCAAAAGACACCACTCGCTAAATGGTGAACCACCCGGACTACCACCAGCTACGCTACCCCTCGCTGTCCACCGCCACACTGCAAGTCGAACCTACCACAATCCGGGCTTCGTTGCGCTGCGAGCGACCAGTGTGCCGTCAACCTCTCCAACTCGCTGCCGAACTTGGAGGGCACCGCGACCCATGGCGGCGCGCGCGCGACTGCCGGCCGACCATTGCCGGTGCAGCGAGTGGGGAGGCCGTCTTATAGGCACCGTGGCTGGGCCTACAGGAAAAATTACCACGATACCCGAGAAGTTTTTCACTGTACACCTCAGGCGGCAATTTCCCGGGGCCCCTCCGATTTTGGGCAGAACGAGCGAAGCGCAATGACCGGCGACTTCGGCGGGCTTCACGCCTCCCAGGCCCTATCGGCATCCGACGCGCAAACACGGAGCCAGAGTGATCAGTGCACTGGCAACTCACGAAACAGTGGCGAAACAGACCAGCCCACCCTTTTTAGTGCCGGGATCCTGCTCGCGCCAAGGCTTAGGTTACTGATACGCTGAACCGAAGGGACTCAACCGAAACGTGGACCCCACCAATGGATTCCTCGTTCGGAGAGAACCAATTGGTGGGGTCACACGTTCGGTTCGAGTCCCATTTAGCGACGTGGAGCTCAAAGCGCCGGGAATTCGGCCGCCTCCACGGGTCTTTAGGCCCACAGCGCACGGCTCGCAAAGGCACCACTCGCTAAATGGTGAAAGGACGGAACTACCGCGCAGGTTGTTCCTTCGCTGTCCACCGCCATGCTGAAGTCGAAAAACAAATCCGGGCTTCGTTGCGCTGCGATGCCAGTGTGCCGTCAACCTTCCACTCGCTGCCACGTTGAAGGGCCGACGACCATGCTTTTTTCGACCGATGCCGACCATTGCCGGTGCAGCGAGTGGTGAGGACGTCTTATGGTGCACCGCGACGTCATCGGCCACGCTACGCCCTCGCGACACCGCGGCCGACGTCACCGACGCCACCGAGGTTGCCGAGTCCGTCGAGACAGACCGCCGTGGGATTTCCACCGCCTTTTCCAACATTGTGCCGCCGGCTCGGTGACCAGAAACCATGAACGCAGTCATGAGCGCGACCAGCCCAAGTCGTCAATCATCTCAGGCCAGGAGGCCGGCGGAGGCGGCCAAAACTCCAGACGCGTTTTGAGCTCCAGCGTCGTGGCTGACTCGAACCGAACGTGTGACCCCACCAATGGGTTGCTCTACGAACGAGGAATCCATTGGTGGGGTCACACGCTCGGTTCGAGTCCCGCTTAGCGACTCTGGAGCTCAAAACGCGTCTGGAATTTTGGCCGCCTCCACCGATCTTCTGGCACACCGTGCGCTAGCAGTGGCGTGGCGAGTGACGTCACTGCGCCGGAAATGCCTCCAGCCAGCCTCCAGCGAGCTCCCGGCTCTAGCTTCGGTGACGTACCCACACTGGCAACATGCCGACAGCGACCCACGGCCAATCCAGCGGATAGGGCCTCGTTTCCGGGGCGCGATTACATTTACTTTAAAAAATTTATCAAAATTAAAAATGCAATTTTTTTTTTTAGTAAAATTCAAAATGAAATGCTTTGAGTTGAGGGATACCTTGTTGCCGATGAACGGCTGTCCTCATGAAATTTCCATTTCTCTCCCATCATTTTTGAGAGCTTGTTCTATTTTGGAATTTGGCTACGTTTACGGCGGCAGGTTCCAGGGTTCGATTCTCCGCAGCAAAAATTTTGCAATTTTTTTTTAAATTTATTTTTGCGGTTTCGGAAAGCGGAAAGCGCGCCTCGTGTCCACGGAAAGGTCCCGCGAGGCTTGCGTAAGTGTTTGTTTTATCGCGGTCGGCGGACTGATTCGTCGCTCTGTCTCTCTCGCACTCACGGGGCGTCGCGGCGGGGACACCGCAGTGTCGTGACGGACGGGCTTGGGCCAGCGGCGCCAGCGGACCTCCCCGAGTCTAGCGCAATTAAAGATCACAATCGAACTTCCAGTGGGGGTCCCCCTGCTCCAGGACGGCCACCTCATGGACCGCGTCATGGAGCACGTCATGGAGCACGTCATGGACTCGGAGCGTCATCGGCTCGCTTCTTCGGGTCGCTCTTCGCACACAAATCAAACGCGCTTAACGATGTTCAGTCGTTGAAGTCCAAGCAACAGCTGGGAATACCTCGCGGCCTCCAACATCGGCGATTTGATGAAGATTGAAAGTCGCGCCGGCGGCACGGCCATCGACGCCCTCGAGTATACGCACAGTGGGCCAGAAGACCGGTGGAGGCGGCCAAACTGATGGAACACTACCACACTCATCACCGGCAGGCCGGCAGAGGCTCGGTTTCGCGCGAAGTGGCGCCAAGTGGACGGAAAGAAAACAAATGGACCACGTGGGAATACCGCGCTCGAATCACGAGAGAGAGAGAGAGAGCAAAAGAGACGTGTCCCCCCCAAGTGCACCAGTACTGCAATTTGGCGAGTGGAAGATTCGGCACGGCTGCCAGTGTGGGCCCCTGCAGATCGTGACGTAGGCCACCCGCCCCGCTGGCGTGTGCTAGGGTTGCCTACCCGCACCTCGGCAGGCGCTCCGTCCGCACACACACACACACACACAAACACAGCCGTACTCACGCGCGTGTCGCTACCACCCCCTAGGCCGCACTATAGCTCCGTCCCACCGCGCGTTCCCGGACGAACTGACCGAGCCGGCCGGCCCTTGGCGCCGCGGCTCGCCGGCGACGACAGGAAGTGCATCTCCGTCGACCCTAGAGGCCGGTGCAACGACCACGGTGGAACAATCGGATGGAAGGGCGAGTCCGTCTCCATCCACTTTTCCTCTCGGCTGAGTCCCAGTCAGAGCAAAAGGAGCACAAATAACCTACTTAGTGCCGCGGAGGATTGTTTTACGCGGAACCGCTCGCAAAGTCATTCCACTTCGAGGGGTCCGAAATGGGCAACGGAGAGTTGTCAGGAACAGGGAGAAGGAGGGAGGAGGAGGAGGAGGAGGAGGAGGAGGAGGAGGAGGAGGAGGAAGAGGAGGAGAAGAAGAAGAAGGAAGGAGAAGAAGAAGAAGAAGAAGAAGAAGAAGAAGAAGAAGAAGAAAAAGAAGAAGAAGAAGAAGAAGAGAAGAAGAAGAAATCGTCATTTTGATGCTGTCCGATGTGGGCGAGAAGTTTCCCGAAGATTGGGCCCAAGGTGAGGGTCGGTGGCGCGCCATGGCGGTGGCAGCCTTACAGTGGCTTCTTCGCTAATTGCCGTTTTTTCGCGCGTGGGTCCTCTTAGCACCCGCCTGCAGACTCATTCCGCAGTCGCTCTGTCCCGGTCGCACTCGCGAGTCGTCCGGTCGGGGTGCGAGAGGGACGCAGAGCGGCCCCAAGCACGCCCCAAGCACGGGGCGAGCGAACCAGCCTCGTGCCAGAGGACCGGTGGGGGCGGCCGAAACTCTGGACGCGTTTTGAGCTCCAGAGTCGCTAAACGGGCCTCGAACCGAACGTGTGACCCCACCAATGGATTCCTCTCCGAACGAGCAATCCATTGGTGCGGTCACACGTTCGGTTCGAGTCCCGTTTCGCGACTCGGAGACTAAAATAATTCGAGGGTCACTAAAAATTGCCGGTGATGAACCAACGTACTGGCATGGCCCAACAAAAATTTTAATGCGTGTGGCTGCATTTTCCGTCGCTAGACGTTGCGACTCCAGACGCAACTAAACAATGTCACACACAACATGTGTAATTTTTGCTCTCCGCGAATCCCCATTTGCGCAGCACGTCGTGAAGATAATTTTTGCGGGGACTCGGAGCTCAAAACGACTCGTACTCCAAATCGCGACGCGATGATGGAATCCCCAACGACGGCATCCAAACAAAAATTTTGTTTGCGTGTTGGCTGCATTTTCCGTCGCCAGCCACGTGTGCCGACCACAGACGCAACAAACAACAACAACATGTGTGTGTTTTCATCCCGCGCCCCATTTGCCGCGCCGTCGATGAATGGATGAATGGACGCGAGTCGCGGTGACGCGCGTCTCGGTGGCGTGTGACTTGGCCGTTCGTCACACTTCGTCACACTTCGTCGCGCGTCTTTGTCACGCAAGTCATTATTATTGTTTCTATCGCGGAGGATGAACGCCCTTCAAGGGTGTCACCCTGGCAACCGTCTATAGTGTATACACTTAATTGTTTGAAAGAAAATGCATTATTTTTCTCGCTATAAAAATAAATGCGTTTTTTTAAAAAGAACTCGTCTGCTTTTTTTCCGTCACAAAACCATTAAGTTTTTAAATTGAAAACCTGAAAAAGAACGAGGTTGTCTTTTTGTTGATGTGAGCGCGACGTGCAGTAGGCCACGGAAGACAAAACTGACCAAAGAGGAGTAAAACGACGGGTAGAGTGGAGATGGCTGGAATCTACCAAGACCGGGTGGGCACTATTAGCCCCATTCAGTGCTCGAGTATCTCCACCACTCGCAAAAAAGTTGCCCAGCCAGAGCCGACATTTCCTACTCGATCTTTCACCGTTTATTTTACGTAAGTTTACAGGGAAATTCCTCTTTTGCTTTGCTGCTCGCTTCGATTTCCCGAGGCGTTGCGTCCGTCTTAGGACAGCCACCAGCGTTCAAGTCACCCGACAAAAAAGGTATCGGGGAATCAGCACGCTCCCGTCGCACAGTGGGCCAGAAGACCGGTGGAGGCGGCCAAAACTCCAGACGCGTTTTGATCTCCAGAGTCGCTAAATAGGACTCGAACTGAGCGTGTGACCGCACCAATGGATTCCTCGTTCGGAGAGCAATCCATTGGTGGGGTCACTCGACTCGAGTCCTATTTAGCGACTCTAGAGCTCAAAACGCGTCTGGGATTTTGGCTGCCTCCACAACCTTCTGGCCCACTGTGCGTCGCCCCCCCCCACATTACTTTCCGTGAAAAAATGAGAAGAAAAGTAGAGAAAAAGTGCAAAACGACGGTGCTTTTATAAGGCAGGGTGGGGGCCGCGGCGGCCTTGGCTGGAATGCGAAAGCCAAAAGCAATCGAACGAACCGCCCAGGAACAAGTCGTGCTGATTTCACCTGGACTTATCTCGGGTAGCAACAACAAGCGGGCAGCCTACACTGCCAACCGCCGGCCCGACCAACGCACTCCTTGCCGCCAACCGCTGCTTCGGAAACGCGCCGCTTTTGCCATTTTTCGACGGATTTCCGTGATCATGTACGGCGTAGCGAAAGAATTTTTGGGAGTCACGTGGGTCCAATCCAGAAAGGGGGAAGGGGAGGGGGCGGACGCCGAGCCCCAGTGTTGCCCAAAGAGGGTGAAACACCCCATGATGCACCCATGCCCCGAAAGGGTTGCCAACCTCAGCCTCTCTAGGCAACTTCCAGCCAGACTGAGGTTGGCAACCCTGTGGGCGCGTTGCAGAGTTCGGTGAGCAAACTATTGGTGGGGTCACACGTTCGGTTCGAGTCCCATTTAGCGACTCTGGAGCTCAAGACGCGTCCAGAGTTTTGGCCGCCTCCACCGTTCTTCGTCCCGAGTCCGTCCCGACTCGACTCGGAGCGTCGCCAATTGGCCGATCGGCGAGACGGCGGCCATCTTGTTTTCCCCGACAGCGATAGCGGGAATATCGCGAAAAAAAACCCTCGAAAGAAGATTGATATCGCGTCGCGGCGGTCGTTCGCTCGGAAGCGCTGACGTCCGACTTGGGAAAAGAAACAAAGAGGCGTCAAATGGGCCAATTTTTCGATCGGGCGTCTCCGCGCGGCGCAGTGGCCGTTCGAACCTTCCGCAGTTGTTGTCTTGCAAAACAAACACGTATACGTTTTAGAAAAATAGTTCTGTAAACGTCTACCGTGCGCCAAATTGATTGAATCGACGTACAAAAGAAAATCCACCAGGGGATTCTGGACCAAAGCTGTCACCCGATCAGCCGAAGGGTTTCACGGACCAACAACACGTCAGTTTTGCTTCATTTCCATTCCCTTCCCTGACCCGGTCCACAAAGCCCGTCCAGAGACAGCCAATTCGCAAGGAGCAACAACAACAACCACAACATCAACATCATCAACAACACAACAACAACAACAACAACAACAACAACAAGAGGGTAAGTGGAGCAGGAGGTACCCACCGTCTCCCGCAGGTTGTCGGTGTTCCTCATGAACACGGCAGCGCTCATGTTGGCCGCTTTTCCCGCTTTTCCGCTCCCGATGCAGTAGTCCACTGGATGCACAAGACACGCGCGCTCACTTGTCGTTGTGGCACTAGCAGCGCGGTTCACATGGGGAACGGCAGGGGGGTCTTCTGGGCGGCGCGCGCTGCCGTCTGGAACGAACGTCGTGGGGGCTTTCTCGAGACTGGGGCCCGCCTGGCCGCCGGGCCGCCGCCTCTCCTTCGAGCCAGGCCCCACTGCTGCCAGCCCCCCTCTCTCTCCGTCCCGACGCCCCCTCCCCTCTCCTCTCTCTCTGTCTCGCTGTGTCTATCGCGGTATCCCCTTCATCGCGCCTCCCTCTTCCACTTGTCTCTCTCGCAAGAAACTCGTTTCGCGCGGTCAAAGCAACACGAAAACAAGAAGAAAATAAAGTTACACACACGCGCGCGCGCGCGCGACAGAGTGGCCAACCTAAACAGCGGGGTTGTTGCGAGGACTGACCGGGGTTTCCCTCCCTCCATTTTTAATTTTTTCGTCGCCACTAGTTGGCCGGCCTGCTCCAACTCGCCACCACATGGTGACTGTTGGCAACCGAAATCACGGCGCTCGGCGCGGTAGCGCGGTCCAGCCCAATTCGTCTACCTAGACCGTAAGGTTGGTAGTCCGACCAGAAATCGGCCGGCGGAACAATCCTCGATATTCGGGCTTCCGAAAAATGTTCCCAATTTACCGAAACAAACTCTCTGCTCGACGAGCTTGTCGAAGCACTTGCGTGTAACTGGTGGTGGTTGTGGTTTTGTCTCACTACCGGAATGTGCTTTAACGACATGCTAAGGTCATAGGAACGTATATTGGTGGAATGTTGTGCTCTGAGGTTGTTCGTACTGAGCGTGCGTTGCACTTAGGGCTTCCCCATTGCAAAGGCACCGGATTGCTTGGCCCCCCAGCCAGTCTGTCTCTCTCACGCCCAGCAGGGCAGCACGGGAGTGCGAGAGAGAAAGAGTGGGCCCTTTGAGATGGCTGGACTGTTCATAACAATGACGTCATGCGTACGCCGATCTGGTTCAATCGCTTTTTGGGCCGAGCCGCCTTGCTCTGCCTTTTGTCCGGGGCGCTGGCCAGAGAGAGAGAGATGGAGCCAGCGGCCTGCCAGCGACGCAAGGCGGAACATCATGACGTAATATGCTGCGTTTTAACTCCCCCTCTCGCTCCCATTCTCCCCCACCCTTTTTCTGAGGCATTGACGTCAGAGAACCCTTGGGTGTAGGTACGCCGTCTAGTACACTGGAAATAGTTTCATTCCTTCACAGTGTGTGCCATTGATGAGTGCATGATCAGGAAATAAGAAAAGATGGAATTAATATTATAAAATTTTATTCGTCCTCTTGCGGTGGCTCTGTGAGCCTAACACAGTCCAAGATTATTAACCTCCACATCACTACTACAATTAAAGTCCAGTAAAAAAATGACACACAGATAGTTCTCTTACAGAGACAAACACACATACTCACACTCGCACAAGCGCACTCACTCACACACACAGAGACATGAATTACATAGCTACCTAATAGTATTTACACGCTGTCGCTACTTGGCGTCGATTTAACGTACTTGTCCCTCATCTTAGAGACATATCACAAGAACACAACGCAAAAAACAACAATAAAAATAAATAATAAAACAAACAGGCTTTGTACATACTATCCATCATTGCGGAGGAAATAAGCTAGAACCAAGTCGTGCATGTAATTCTTACGTGAGCGAGAAGGAAAAAAAATAGTTCATCCTTAAACATTTAACAGAACAACAACGCTGAATGAGCAACTCAACTAAATTCAGTCCTTTGACGTAGTGCACTAGGCTCGGAGTCCTTCCGCGCGAGCGATATCCTACATCTGAGACGTGACTAATTTGTCTTAGATGATTTTTTTTTCAACTTCCCGCCTGGCGCAGTTTCGCAGTGAAACTATTGTTCAGTTTTTGCGGCGGCACTTGAAACTGCGGTCTCGCCAGTTCCTACCCGCGTACAGCTAAGATTGCCACCGTCCCGGCTCCGGGGCGATGCCAGGCGCGGCAGTAGTATGGGAGACCCATAGTTACTGCCAGGCGCGGCAGTAGTATGGGGGGCCCATAGTTACTGCCAGGCGCGGCAGTAGTATGGGGCCATAGTTACTGCCAGCGCGGCAGTAGTATGGGGGCCCATAGTTACTGCCAGGCGCGGCAGTAGTATGGGGGCCCATAGTTACTGCCAGGCGCGGCAGTAGTATGGGAGGCCCATAGTTACTGCCAGGCGCGGCAGTAGTATGGGGGGCCCATAGTTACTGCCAGGCGCGGCAGTAGTATGGGGGGCCCATAGTTACTGCCAGGCGCGGCAGTAGTATGGGGGGCCCATAGTTACTGCCAGGCGCGGCAGTAGTATGGGGGGCCCATAGTTACTGCCAGGCGCGGCAGTAGTATGAGAGGCCCACAGTTACTGCTCGTTGCGTACTTTCCCTACGATGGGCTGAGCACTCCCCGGGAACTCCCTGGACTCCCTAGGGATGTAGGCTAGCTAGTGTAGCGTCCGCCAGCCGTCCCGGCCGTCCCCCAGGTGGCGAACAGGTTGGCCAGCCCGCCGGTCCGCTGCCGCACGAAGTTCTGGAAGGACTGCGCGGCGCCCTGCAACACGTTGGCCAACACACTCAGGCAGGGCAACCCAACCAAAGCACCTCGTCCGAAGCTCACAGGTTTCGGGGGCCCTATTCGATCACAAAATGCGTGGAAATTGACCACTCAACTCGCTTTGAACAGCAACAAATTCGGTTAAAATTTTCTATTTACAATGGGTTTGCATGCTTTTGTTTTTCGCGGGCCCCGAAAGTGCCGGCCTAACATATGCTTCGGACCTCGACAGCTAGCCGCCGCTAGCCGCTGCTCGCGCTCAGCGCGTTCACCAGCGACGCGAAGCCGCTACCGCCGCTACCGACGGGCTCCGAGTAGCCGCCGGAGCCGGCGCCGGCCGAGGCGGTGGCCGACACGGAGCCACTGGAGTGAAAGAGCGGCTTGAACGCCCTGCCGATGCCCTGCAACACACACACAGCCCAGAGGCGCTTCAGAAACCAAACCCGCACCGAAAGCCCCCGATGGTTTAGTGAGGTGGCTGTGATTACTGGGCACGCCGGCGAAAATGGAATGAGCAATGATGTTTTTGAATGGTGATGATTCGCAGCGTGAACACACCCAAACACACCAAAACACGTCAGAACGCATCTAAAATTTACGGGGTTCAGATTTGTCTTCAAAAATTTCATGTTTTTGGCTTTTTTGGTAATCCCGCAAATCTCAGACAGTCCCTCGACGGTGACACCACACCCAGAAAACGCAAGCTTGGCTCGGCGAGCAAATCAAAAACTACTGTACAGGGGGGCACACTGCTTACCTGGATGACGAGCCCCATGAAGGTGGAGACGGCCCGGGTCACGTTGATGGCGGCAGACACCAAGGGCTGGTCCCGGGGGGGTTCCTCCACCTGCAACACGGGTACAGCGTCAGACCGCGCCGTCGAGGTAGGCAGCCCAGCTGGCGTTGTAGCGAGGCACGCCTGCCAGGCAGGCAGCCCATCACACTGCCCCTCCGCGGACCAGGCAACCCAACGCACGCCGGGGAGCTGGGGGAGCCAACGCGGCCGGCGCAGTGGGGGTGCTACGAGGCGGTACTCACGCTGGTCTGCGCCTGCCCCTGGAACCCGAAGAGGCCCCTGAAGTCGGACGGCCTGGGGGTCGTCGACGCGGGCCTCCTTCGCTTCTTCTTGGTGACGGGCGCCTCCGAGGTGGTGAGGTCGGGCGTCGTCGAGTTGTCCGGCTCCGTCTCGCCCGTGTTCGAGGAGCCCGTGTTCGAGGACGGCGTGGTGGTGGTGGTCGTGGACGTCTTAGTCCGCGTCCTTTTCGGGGGCTTCTGCTGCTGCTGTTGCCCGGCTCGGAGCAGCTCCTGAATTGTGACGAGCGACGAGCAAAATGAAAACCTCAGCGGGTGTTGAACCCACGAAAAGAATCCTGTCTCGAAGGTTGGAGCCTGACCGTGATGAGGATCTGGTCCCGGAGGGTTTGCTCGGTGGAGCTGACGGGGCGAGCCTCGAATGGCCCCCCGAGTCCGTGACCGCCTCCCGCCCCGAGCAGGGCCTGCAGCAGGGCGGCGTCCGCGGCCGGCGACGGCGAAGGCTGCAAGAAGGGCACAAGGGAGTAGAGACGCGCCTTCCTCGGAACGCACTGGCCGCATGCCCGCCGAACACAACAACCCATCTTCTGGTTTCCCAAGACACAGGCTGCCCAGCCCCCACCCACTCAGTGAGAGCAGGAAAGGACGGCCTCAAAATAAGCCACTTTAGAGAAAATTTGGTCCAGAATGACCGCAATTTTCGGTCGAATCTTTTGCTGTCCTCTTCTGCTTGGGCAGGGCAGATGGTAGCCTGCGATCGGCACTGCAAGTCAGACGAACGTCAGGCTGGGCAACTCAAATTTGTAAGGTTAAGAACTGTTAGTTGTAGGTTAGGACACGGAGCAGGAAACAGAAAAAGGTTAGGTGAGGTTAGGAAGGGCCATCTTTCTGCGCTGAAAAACAATCGCCGATCGGCTGCAGAGAGAGAGGGAGGCATAGTGAGACCGTCAAAGAGTGAAGGGAGTGAAGCTTGCCTTGTTCCTCGAAGGCGCAGTCTGACCGCCACCTGAAGGGCCGGCAGACAGCAGCGCCCTGAGGAGCGCCGCGTCGCGCGCAGCGGCAGCGGTCATGCTCTGCAACAAGGCGAACAGGGACAGTCAAAGCCAAAAGGAATCCAAGGACAGTCCACCCCAAAAAAGAAGCGGTTTGCCACAGTTTCACACGAAGCAAGTTAGAGCAGGTGAGGTTTTGTTTCCAGCAGCGGATAAGCCGATTGCATGAAGCTGTTTTCGGCAGTTGAAAGTGCAACCGGGTTGCGATCTCGAATCCGGTTGCATTTTCCCTGCCAGCTCTACCGTGGTGGGGTCAGAAGCGGGCGGAGCAGGGGTGGTGGTGGTTGTGGTGGTAGTAGTGGTGGTGGTGGTGGTAGTAGGGGTGGTGGTTGGGGTAGCGAGGGTGGTAGCGGGGGAGGTCGCAGGGCTGCCACCAAAGCGCTCCCTGGTGCGCGCCACGACCAGCGCTGCCAAAAGCGCCGCCGTGCGCTCCTTGAGCTTCTCCTCGTTGCCGCTGCCCGCGAGGGCCGCCTGCAGAATCTGCAGTTGCAGCGCCTGTGCCGAAAGCAAGGGTAAATTTAGGCAGATCGCAAAGGCGGTGGACGCACCGGTAACCTTCGCCGTTGAAATCAAATGAACATTGATTTTCGCGGCTGGCCAGTTACACCGTGCGAAGCAGTTAGAAGGCGTTAGGAGGTACCGGCGGCGCGTGCTCCAGGGTGCCCCCCGTCCCAAGCAGGGCCGTGAACAGGGCGGCGTCCTCGGCCTCGTGGTGGTGGTCGCGGTGGTGGTCACGGTCGTGGAGGTGGTTGTCGTCGTGATGGTCGTGGGACTTGGCGTTCTTCTCGGGGAAGTCCTTCTTCGGGTCCTGCAAGCACCAAAGCGGGGGCACGGGGCTGAAGCAACGCGAAAAAGCGAACGGTCACCAAGCAAAAGCGTGTCTGCAAAGCTCGGCGGGGCGGCAAGTCTTGGCGCAGCAGGTTTAAAATGATTGCGATGAAAATGGAGGCGGAGATGGTGATGAAGCTGTACCGTGTTTTGACTAGAAATGGCGGGTGAGAGCAGACCAATGGGGAAGTCAGAGCCCAGGATGTCGTCCGCTGGTTGTAGCAGCTTGGGCCTCGGAGACGAGCTTCCCCTGCCTCTAGAGCCGCCCTTTGAGCTGCCTCTAGAGGCAGAGGGCCTGCTCTGAGGCCGCGGCGCCACTTGGACCTCAGTCACCTGGAAAATGGTGGTGGTGAAAATGAGCGGTGAGTTAATGAAATGCATGGTGAAAATCAACGAACAATCAGGTATGAAAAGGTGAAGAGCGTTGGCCACCTCAAGGCATGTGGAAGGCAATGAGATTTCAGTCAGGTAAACGATCGATTGACAAATAAGCTCCGTTTTGGTTTAAAATATGGTCAGGAATGAATGACACTGTGATTTGAGTCGGCATCGCAAAAGGGGAAACAAGAGAAAACCAATAAACCGTTCGCGCGCAGGCTTGTCAAAATGCTTCAGGCGGAAATTTCAAAGTTTGAATCGGTACCCTATCATCTGGTGGCGTGGTGTAAGAGAACTCATCGTCGTCCTCGTACTCCGGTTGCCCGGAGGGTTTTCCCTGGGGCCCTGCAAGCGCTAGAATAGCTCCCAGTAGTTTGGCGTCAGTCAATGGCGGTTCCTGCAAATATTTACAATCCAGCTGTAAACTCGGAGAGAAAATATCACTGGCTTCCTCGCGCGTTTCAGTGAACGCCATGTTGGTATTTTCAGAAGAGATCAGCCATGCCCCGTCCCAACTTTAAATTGTTTTTCGCGGAAGTGCTTCCCGACCTACCTTGACGCCGGGGGCAACCTCGTCGTCCTCCTCCGCGTCCTCACCGCGCGGCACCACCCACAAGGAGATCTTGCTGCCCGGCTTGGAGGTGGACGGCTTCGGCGGGGAGTCTTCCTCGACGGGCACACCCAGCGGGATGTCCAGGGGACCCTCCGCCTGCAAACAAGTCAAAATTAAGAAAATTATGAAAAATTCAAAGCGACAGTACCGCAAAAGAAAACATGCTTCGAGGGGCTTGCCTCTGGCTTTGGAGTTGTTGTCGTCGTGGTGGTTGTAGTGGTGGTGACTGCTCTGGGCGTGGCCGATCTGGGCGTGGCCGCTCTGGTGCTGGTGCCCCTCATCGTGGTCCTCGAGGGCGCCTTGGTGGTTGTCGTCGCTGGCGTCGTCGACGTGTCGTTGGCGGTAGGCATGGCCGTTGACGTGAGGGCGCGCTCCAGGGCGATTTGCACGATCTGGTGGAAAGAGAGATGTTGAAGCAACGCCACGGGGAAAGGAAGCCAGGTCCAGGTTGTCTCTCTCCCTCACCCTGCTCGCCAAGGTCTCCCCTCCGGACGCTGGTTTTCGTCCCATGGTCGCCTGGACTGCGGCCTGCCGTTCCATCTCGATCTGCAACCAAATTTCAAATGGTAAGAAAAAACCTGGCGCTGGTACTCGAACCCGCGTCCGTCACAACAGACCAGACTGCTGGGTTCGAATACCCGCCGCTCGGAACCTTTTTTAGACCCTGGTCCATCCATGCTTGAAACTACAAGTTAATTAAGTTTTGATTACTGATTCCACCCGAACGTAAATGGTCCCGCAAGGCATGCCGGGACACAGCATGCAATCAAATCAATGTGTTCTCATCAGATGACAGACAGTGGAAGAGAAAAAACGGGGCGCGCACACCCGCCGCTCCCGGGCCGCCACATGGCCGCGAAGGGCGCGCAGCAACGCGCAGCATGCTCCAAGAAAAAAGTGTCCCGAGGGGAATGAATGAGATGGTTTATGAATGACGACCGCCAAACTCACACGCTTTACCTGGGGTAACAATTCGCACGAGGCCGGAAGTCACCTCACTGCACTGCCTACTAACCAAGTTGTTGAGGAACGAGAAGTCCTCCGGCAGCATGGGGATCTCCTTCGTGACCTTCTGCACGTGCGTCGTCCTGGAGGTGGACATCTCCTCGTCGTCCGGCACCGGCGTGGTGGCGGCCGAAGCGCGCGTCGAGGCCCTGGTCGTGTCGCGTCTGGTCGTGCTGCCCGAGCGGGGGGTCGTCGGCGGCGTCAGGGGCCGTGGCGCGCCCGGATCAGCCAGCTGCTTGCCGGACCGACCAGACGGCCTGGCCGTCATCGTCAACATACCCATGGTCGAGGTGCTGGTTGCGGTGGTGGTGGGGCGTGTGGTAGTGGTGGTAGTCGTTGTTGGGGGCATGGTAGTGGTGGTTGTCGTTGGGCGCATTGTAGTGGTGGTTGTCGTTGTTGGGCGCGTGGTAGTGGTGGTTGTCGTTGTGGTGCGCATGGTAGTGGAGGTTGTCGTAGTGGGGCGCATGGTAGACGTGGTTGTGGTTGTAGGGCGCTCGGTAGTGGATGTTGTGGGGCGCACGGTAGTCGTTGGCCGCATTGTAGTTCTTGCCGGGGCCAGCGATGTCGCCACTGTGGTCGTGTCACGCTTCGTGGTCGTCCTGGAGGCCGTCATGTCGTCGGTGACCCCGGTCGTCGACAAGGTCAAGTCCGCGGAGGTCGGATCCAGAACGGGGTCTGGTGCCATCGTCCAGCTGGAAGTCGTCGTCGTGTCGCTGCTGGTGGTTGACGAGGTGGGCGAGACAACAGTGGTGGTGGTGACCTGCTCGGCGAACACGAGCATCGGCGCCCTCGAGGACGTCAAGGGCTCGTCGAACGCCTGCCGGGGCGATGCAATGAATGGAATGACATGAACAAGGCGACAGGGAGGGAAGAAATCGAGTTACCTTCACATGCACATCAGCTACGTTCATGCTCGAGATAAGCCTACAGATAGTCGGATGTCAAGATGTATTCACCGCGTGTCACACTTTAGAACAGTTCAATACAGTTCGTTATCGTTTCAGAGAAACGTGGACGTCAACGATAGATTAAAAGTAAGGGAAAGAAACAATGACCAAATGTGAGCAGTTAAAATAGTGAGGAGGGAAGCGGATGAACTATAGCATGTCAACGCCATGAATCAAAAAGATTTGTATCCATTTCAACATGTCCCAATTACTTTTAGTAATCATTTTAGTCCCGATGAAAGGAAAACAGCTAACTTACCACCAGAGAACGCCCTCTCGGAATAGGAGCAGGTGGCAAGGCCATTTCCGTCGTTACTGCATCATCCTAATAAAAACAAAATTGAACATTTTATTTTTAACATCACCAACAAAAATTAAAGCTTAACATTTTACTTCTTACGATACGTACAGCACTTCCGAATACCGAATTGAGGTCTTCCGAAGGGCGAGACGTGGTCGTTGCAACCTACAAATAACAATATTTATTAGTCGTGTTCAAATTTGTGATAGTCGTTTAATAAAATTCATACCAAAAGCCTTTCAATGTCCGCAAATGTTACTTCCACTGTGTTAGAAAAATGAAGAAGTCTTGAGGACTTTCATTTAAAATGGTTTAAAACACTATAAGCTGTTTCATACATTATTTACGAATACAAAAAAAATTCTAGTTAGAGAAACAATACAAAATATTATTCCACATGCCACCGTTTAGTCTGACAAACTTTACCTACCCATGTACACTGCGAAATATCTACACATACATTGCAAAGGAGGTATTTTAGCCCTCACCACACAACAGTAGTTTTTTTTCTGTACAAATAGTTTACAAATTGCCAAAAAAGCATGCACACGCAGGTTAGGATTAGTGTATTAGTATTTACAAAAATTCAACAGCGCAGCATGCCAATCCACGTGCTACGGCCAGGTCCCTGACCGCCACACAAACAAAGAGATAAAAGAGGTGTACCGTCGACGCCGAGAGTGCAGGTGCGGGTGTGTGCGTGGACGCGTTCCGAAGCAGGCCCAGCTCACGGAACTCAGCCATCTGGTCGGAAGTGACCTCGCCGGCCTGCGCAACGCCCTCGGGGATCACGGTGCCGTTGGGGTACTTCCGCACGATGGTGTTGTTGGGGTAGATGCCGAACACGACAAACGGCGACGTGAAAACGTCCTCCGCGTTCGGGTTCTTCCGTACGACCGTGTTGTTGGGATAGATCCCGAACACCACGAAGTCTTTGGTCGGGTCCGTCGAGGACTCCGTTGTGGTGGTCGCGGGGCTCTTGGTTGTGGTGTCCAGCATGTTGTCGAACAGGGCACGCCCGGACGGTGGCTTGAAGAAAACAGCCCGGGCTGACGTGCTCAACACTTGCTCGGTCACCTCTGTACGCGAGGTTGGTGGCTCTGTGGTGGTCGTAGTGGAAGTTGTCGTCGAGGTCGTGCTGGGCCTTTTTGTGGTGGTAGTGACCTTTGGCTTGGGCTTCTTCGTCGTGGTCGCGCGCGGGGCGGGTCGACGAGTCGTTGCTTTGGGTTTCTTGGTCGTAGCAGCCGGCTTTCGCGTTGTTGCTGGGGGTTTCTTCGATGTGGTCGTGGTTGACGGAGTGGTGGTCGTGGTCGAAGGAGTGGTGGACGTCATGGCCGGCTGCATCGAGGTCTCCACGGTCTCAGACAACATGGAACGCACCCCGATCTCATTCAGAGGTGTGTCAGTGCCCACCACCACGTTCACATTCTCAGTTGTGGTTGTGCTGGTCGTGGTTGAACCAGGAGTCGTGCTGGTAGTGGAAGTTGTGCTAGTTGTAACGGAGGTTGTGCTCGTTGTTGTAGCAGGTGAGGTGCTGGTTGTTGTTGTAGCGGGAGTTGTGCTGGTTGTTGTAGCGGGAGTTGTGCTGGTTGTAGTTGTTGTGGGAGATGTACTGGTTGAAGCAGGAGTTGTACTCGTTGTGGTTGTTGTAGGAGTGGTACTTGTCGTACCCGGAGTTGTGCTGCTTGTAGAGGTTGCCGGCGTTGTACTAGTAGTAGAGGTAGCCTCTGTCATTGCGCTTGTGGATAAAGCCATACCTGTGTCCATCATTGCACTAGTCGCGGACAAAATGTCAGTATCTAGAGTTATACTTGAAGAAGCCGTATCCATGGCTGTACTAGCCGTGGTCCCCAAAGTGGTTGACGTGGTTGTTGCCGGCTTCTTTGTAGTAGTGGGTGCTGGTTTCTTCGTAGTAGGCTTTGGTTTAGCAGTTGGTTTTTTGGTCGTGGGTCTTCTGGTAGTGTTAGGCCTCTTGGTTGTGGCACTGGGCTTTTTGGTTGTTGTGCTTGGCTTTTTGGTGGTCGGCTTGGTAGATGGTTTCGCCGTTGTCGTGGTGGTGGTGGTGGTGGTTGTGGACGTGCTGGAAGGCTCAACTGGCACTTCACTTGCCATGTCTACTGTGGTTATCACATCAGTGGGAACCACATCGGCCATGTCTGTGGGCGCCACTGAGATCGGAGCATTCTCTAATTCTTTAATAAGTCCTCGTTCGAGTATTTCTACCACCGGAGCGTTCGTAAAGTACGTAACCTCAGTGGTCGTTGTCGGAGCCGACGTTGTAGTAGAAGTGGTGCTTGTAGTTGAGGTAGTGCTTGTAGTTGTGGTTGTAGTAGTGGTCGTAGTTGTTGTCGATGGCTTTTTGGTTGTAGTTGCAGCTGGCTTCTTGGTGGTGGCCTTTGGCTTCGAGGCTGGTTTTCTCGTAGTTGCTGCTGGCTTTCTAGTAGTTGGTTTTGGTGGTGGCTTTTTAGTTGTGTTGGGCTTACTGGTCGTTGCAGGCGCTGGCTTTTTAGTCGTAGTGGTTGAAACAGGAGCGGTAGGTTGACTTGACGGAGTCGTGCTATTAAGTGGGGTCGATGTAGTTGAGGGCGATGGAGATGACGCGGTTTCTGTGCTGGGCCTGGTCGTGGCTTCAGTGCTGGTTGAAGTACTCGACGAACTCGATGTTGCCTCGGTGCTGGTGACCGTAGTTGGCGGGATTGGGGACGCCTCGGTGCTGGTCGACGTGGATGACGGTCTCGTAGAGGACTCAGCCAGGTTGAGCGCGCGGGCCTTGACGTCTCCGACAGGCAGGTCCGTAGCCATCATGCTCTGAGAAAGAGTCGTGCCCGGTGAGGAGTCGTCAGGAGTCAAGGCGACAGTGCTAGCAGGAAGAGTACTTTGTTCAGGGAGAAGGGAGGCACCTTGATTCAGTGAAAAGGAGGTACTCTGTTCAGTAAGCCAAATAGGGGGTGAGGTGCTTTGTTCAGCAAGCAAGGTTGATGGCGAGCTACTTTGTTCAACAAACAAGGTGGTTGGTGCAGTACTTTGTTCAGCAACCATGGTGGTAGGGTATGTATGTTGTTCAGCAAGCAAGGTAGTGGTTGAATTACTTTGTTCAAAAAGCAAGGTAGTAGTGCCTAAATCATTGAACAGGGAAGCACTGTCCTCCGACTCAAGGGTGGAAGTTAGCTCGGGAGGCAAGGTTGTTTGGAGAGTGCTGGAGGGCATGTTGGTAGGCACAGTGGCTGCAAGCGTGCTGAAAGAAGGCAAATCTGTCACCGAAGCAGGAGTACGAGCAGACACAGGAGGCATGGTAGAAGCGTCTGTTGGGAAGTCTGTGGTAGTCAGCTCAGTGTCCAGCAACCGACTAGCTCTATACTGTGATCCGGTTTTTGGAGAAACAGTTGATATTTCCAATGTATCAGTTATCTGTGCAGTGGTAGGATTAGCAAAATCTGTAGGCGTGTAGTCAGTGCTTGGGAGAGAGGAATATGTTGTCGTTGGGTCATTAGTGGTAGTTTCAAGGGTGGAACTTAAGCTGTCTGTCACATGGTCAAGTACTTTCAACGTTCGAGAAACGTCTTCCCCGACTGTCACTGTTTCCACTATATCCGACAGCATTGTCGTTTGACCCGGCCGCACAGTCGCAGTGACGTCACCATTCATCAAAGTGCTAGCATCAGTGGTCCTCTCCGTGGTTAAATCAGAGGATGGGAGCAAGGTTATTTCAGCACGCGGGGTGAGTGAGCTTTCGGAACTAAACTGCGTTGTCGGTTCTGCATCAAAGATTGTGGTAGTAGGGGCTGCAGTGCTGGTGGTCGTGGGGGATTCATTACTGGGGACCGTCGTGAAATCATTAACACTGGTCATAGTGCTGTCGGGACTTTGCATTGTGGTGGTTTCAGACGAGGTGACCGTGCTTAGAGAAGAACTAGTCGGTTGTGGTTGTTCCGTGTCAGTCGTACTGGTGAAATCGTCCGAGGCCGTCGCAACGGTCGTGGCTGAGGCCGTGGTCGTCTCAACGTCAGTTTCCAGAGACCGAGCGGGAGGCTTCAGCGACGGCCCCGTCACCATGGTAACGCCTTGGACTTCAAAGTCCACCTCGTTTTCTGCTGCTCCTTCCGTCGTGGGAAAGTTGTCCTCATCCCCCTCCTCGTCACTCTCGTCGGACACTGAGCTGCCCGACTCCAAGTCCAAGTCTGTAAAGTCTGCAAACGGGTCACGAGTGGCAAGCGGAGAGTCTGCTGCAGAGTCTGAAGGGGACTGCTCCTGCAAGAAAGCACGATACAGCGCTCATGACTCGAGGCTTGACAGCAGAGCTGGGCGGCACGAGGACGTATTTACAAGCCAACGGCAAAGAAAAATGCGCCTAAGGACAGTTTATGTTCAAGAAAAAGCTAAACAGTCATCATTTGATATTGAAAAATAGAAAATAGTTTGTGGATTCCGCCTGACTGGAACCATGCATTACTTTGAGAGTTGCAGGCTTAAAAAATAAGGTGCGACAGACTTTGAATAATTTTCGATTAAAACCTAGAAGAACAGGTGGAGGGGCGTGGGGGACGCCATCTCAAACGCAGCAGATAAGCTTCCGGCTCATGCAAAGTGGATAAAATCGAAAAGAGACGAGGCAAAGAAACGTAGTGCTAGAGAAAAGCCTGGACTAAAGCACAAAGCAGAAATCTTGCTTTGGTAAAAAACAAAGAAGGGACTGTGCGGAACCAAGAAGAAAATAGTCATGGTGCAAAAGGACGAATCGCCAAAATCCTGACCGGTATCAATTTGCAAAATAATCTGGCAGCGATTTTGTTGATTACTAAAAGACAAAAAGGTTGCACTGCGAGTGAACACGATCAAGAAATCAGAAGGACTAAGAAGACAGCCGCAGTTAAATTTACATATGTACAGATGTACACTGAAATAAACTGCTTTCATTTTTAAATCTAGTTTAGTCCTATGTACAGAACTCGCCGCTAGCTAAACTTGCTGGAACTCCTATTCTAAAAAATTAAATTTTAACACTGTGCTGCAGCAACGTGCTTACCGTCGTCGCCGTGGTTTCCTCCGTGCTGTCCTCGTCGTCGAAGTCGCGGCCTCGGGGCGCGGGGGGCAGGGCTACCGCGGCCAGGATGTAGTCCGTGTTCTTGATCCTGGAGCTGAAGCGGTGTCGCGGCACGGCGGTGGCGGACTGGCCGAACTGCGTTTTCAAGTCGGAAATCTGGAATTTACTGATGGCCAGCTCCCCGGGCGGACTGCCGAACAGCTTGGTGGGCAGGGTGGGCGCGGCGGCGTCCGGGCCCGTCACCACCGTCTCCGTGCGCTGTGAGGCGGCGGTGGACAGGCCGCGCCGGCTGCCCCGGGCCGCCGTGAAGCGCGCGCTGAACTTGGAGGCCGTCGTCGGCGAGGGCCTGGTCGTGGCGGTCGGCGACGACGTGCTGGCCCGGCGCAGCGGCACGTAGGCTGGCCGGGGCCGGATCAGCGGGGTGCGGGTGCTGCTCGGCTCGTCCGAGGACGCCGTCGACGGCGGCGGCGACGCGGACGGCGTGGACGAGGAAGCCGGAGAAGTCTCGGTGGACGAAGTCTGTGGAAAGAAGACGGCGTAAGCAATGCCCTCCAATTGCCACATGGCCGGGGAGTACCGACGGCGTGGTGCTTCACCTCCGCGCTGTCCTCCGCCACGGCGACGGTGCTGGTGCTGCTGCTGGCGGCAGGCAGTGAGTCCGCGACGTCGAGGGCCTCGTTGGTCCTCTCGTCGACGTTCTCGCCCGAAGTGGCGGTGGTCGCGGTGGACGGCGTGGGCCTGCCCAGCTTGAAGCGGTCCTTGTTGGCCAGCACCGAGGCGGACACCTTGTAGCGGTCGCGCTTGGCCTCCGCGTCAAGCTGAGGCCGCGGCCGGCCGGCCAGAGCGTTGGCAGCGCTTTGGGCCTCGACGGGGGCCTCGACGACGGGCAGCTGGAGCGGCGGCGTGCCGCGGGGACCCTGGCGACGCGTGTACTTGCTGCGCTGGATGGACTGCGGCACCGTCGCGGCGTCCTCCTGGTTCAATATTAAAATTGACGTAAAGTTCTTAAATGGACTTTCGGCTGTCGCGTCGTCACGGCGGGACTCTCACCTCTGGCGGCGACCTGGTGGCCTTGCTGCGCGGCACGAAGCTGCGGACGAAGGGCGTGGTCGGCGGTGGCGGCAGTGTGGGCGACGTGATGGGCTTGAAGCGGTGGTGCGCCACCTTGGCGGGCTGCGAGGGCGTTGTCGCGTCGGCCAGGTCCTCGGCACTGAGTGGCAGCGGCGGCGGTAAGGTGGCCGCGTCGGGCTGCAAGCACAAGTACACCACCACCCTGTACACCACGCACGCACACACGCACACGCAGCATGCAGCACACCCCCCACGTACCTGTCGGCGGGCCAGCGTGCCGAAGCGGTGCGACAGCGGGCGCGCGGCCAGCGTCGCGGCCCTCGACGGCGTCCTGGAGAGCGGGCCGCGCGCCAGCACGGCGGGGACCTCCCGCTGCAGCGCGTCGCCGCGGACATCGTCGTCCTCGCGGGGCGCGGCGGGGCGCGGATGCGGCCTGAGGCCGGCGGCGTGGAGGCGGCCGGCCGGCAGCCGCGGCGGCGGCGTCGTCCGCGTCGGTGAGGCGTCCTCGTCCCTGCGCGGCCCCTCGTCCAGCGCGTTGGCCTGCGGGTCCTGCGGGTCCACCGGCGGCAGCTAGAGCAAAACGACCGTCTTCATGTTTCAATCGCAGCGCGAGACGAAATTAGACATTGCCGCGCCTTCGTGGGAAAAGCAGCGCGCGGCCCCCGCCCCTTCCCCGCCACATGTGCGCGCTGAGCGGCGCGGAGCGGCGCGGAGTGTAACGCATCGGCCTGTGAAAGTCCGCGCGCGACGCTCCCGTCAAACAGTCGGCGGGGGCGCGGCGTGACGTCACGAGGAAAGAAAATGACAACAATCTGTCAGAATCAACGGCGTTCATCACGCCTCCCCGGCGGCAGGGAGAGGGGGAGTGGCTTCCCGCGTCGTGGGACAGTGCTTTCCTCGCGCGTCGCACAGTGGGCCAGAGGACCAACTCTAGACGCGTTTTGAGCTCCAGAGTCGCTAAACAGGAGTCGAACCGAACGTGTGACCCCACCAATGGACTGCTCTGCGAACGAGGAGTCCATTGGTGGGGTCACACGTTCGGTTCGGAGTCCCGTTTAGCGACTCTGGAGCTCAAAACGCGTCTGGAGTTTCGGCCGCCTCCACCGGTCTTCTGGCCCACAGTGCGCTCTTGTCGGAGACGCGGCAGTGGAGGCAGGCAGGGCTGGGCGTGGACGGCGACTTCGACCGCAAAATGCTGCCAGAGCTCGTGCGCGTACGACTCGGTGCGCGGAGGGTCCGCGGGCCGCAGCCGCGGCAGGAGGTGGCCGTGAGCGCGACTCGCGGCGCGGCCCGCGAAGCGCGAAGCCGTCGCGAAGCCGAAGCGCGGCCCCGCGGACGGAAGCCCAGCCTGCGGGCGAGACCGCGCGGTGTGCGAGCGGCACCCGGCCAGCACGCCGCCCAGGAGGTGGCCGCGCTAGCCGCGCTGACCACGGCGTCCACCGTCCGCGGCCCCCACCACGCCGCGGCCCCAGTGCCGACGGCCTGCCGCGCCGACGGCACGGCAACGGCCCTGACCACTGGTCAAGCCGCCACCTCCTGGGCGGCGTGGCCGCCGCGTCGCCGTGGCCGTCGTCGCCATCGCCACTTCCACTCGAATGTCCGCGAAATAGCGACGCCGCGCCGCGCCGCCGCCGCACTAGAAGCGCCGCTTCGTGGTGCTGTCTCGGTCGCACTCACGGGGCGTCCCACAGGGGCGCGAGGAGTCCGCTGACCAGCCGCGCCCACCGCGGCGGCACGGCGGCGGCCTCCGCGCCCGCGTGCGGCCCTGGTGGCGGTGGCCGGCAACACGCACTCGAGGGGCAGTCCGCGCACGAGGACCGCGGGGACGCCCTGACCAGTTCTGACCAGTGTCCGAGCGCACCTCCTTGACGGCGTGGCCGCCGGGCCGCCAGTCTCGGACAACTCGCGCTCCACCGTCAGCGGCAGTCCGTCGAGAAGTCGAGGCAGACCGCAGTCGAGCAGCCCGCACAGTTGCCAAGTCGCGGAGAAAATGTCTCGAAGAACCCGCGGTGTGCAGTAAGCAGCGCCGTGCGAGTAACACTTGTCTAAGCCCCCCTCCCCCCACCACCACCACCAAGCCCCACCGGTCGTCTTTGAATTCTAGTGTCCACGCCAGACTCCTTTTCTTAGACTTCTAGTAGGAGGGAGGCAACAAAAGCGCCACTTTTAAATTCACGGCGCGAAGCGTGAAAGACCCCCCTCCCCTCGCCACGTTCTCACTGTACTGCCTGGCGCCACTCGCGTTGCCGTCGAGCGGTCAGCGTAGCCGTGATCGTATAGTGGTTAGTACCTTGCGTTGTGGCCGCAATAACCCAGGTTCGAATCCTGGTCACGGCACTCGACCGTCAATTTTTATTGAATCTGGGCTTGGTGTAGCCCACTGCTCTTGCCGTATTTGTTTTTCAAATCAACTTGTTCTTAGGAACTTACCGGTTTTATCCCTTTGCGGATGTCGGCCGACCCTCGCAGTGGCGTGGTCAGGGCGGGTCGGAGCTTGGTCGTGGCTCGGGGTTCGTTCGAGTTGGTGTCCGGTAGCTGCGCGGGGCGGCTTCGTCCGGGGAAGCTCGGCAGCTGGGGAAGGAAAGCAGCGCTCAGTCTGTCTCTCTCGCACGCGACTCGCAAGCCAAGGCGCCAGGGGCCGCTCCATGAGTGCAACAGAGAAGGCAGGATGCTCACTCTCGTCAGCTTGGTGGGCGCGTTGAGCCGCTCCTTGAACTCGGCCGGGTAGTTGTCCGACTCGTCGACGCGTCCGGGCGAGGCCGGCGAGGCCGTCGCGGAGGCCACGTCCTTGGAACTAGGCCGAAACCTGTGAAGTCCTCTGGGCAGAGGAGCTCCAGCCTGCAAATCGAGCACTCGTCCCGTAAGACCTAGTACAGTGGTTCTCAACCTTAGGGTCGTGGGGTCGCGAAAAAATTTTAAGGGGTCGCGGCGAGGTAGCTGGGGTCGTGTTTTGGGCCGATTTTAAGCAGCCACTGCGTCTGATCCGAGGCGGGCATTTTGCTCCCTCAACCGGCAATTAGTCTTTGAACCTTCCTTTAGCATGCCTTTGTTACGGAGTGTGATTATCAGTCTTAGTTTGGGAGCAGTATTGTCTCAAAGTTTACCAAAACGGTCAGAAATGTCTTTGAAAAATCGTGTTTTGGGCCATTTTAAGCAGCCACTGCGTCTGACCCGAGGCGGTATTTCGTCCTCCTTCAACGGGCAATTGGTCTTTGGACCTTCTTTTAGCATGCCTTTGTTACGGAGTGTGATTATCAGTCTTAGTTTGGGAGCAATATTGTCTCAAAGTTGGCCGAAACGCTCAGAAATGTCTTTGAAAAATCGTTGTGCCTGTTTTGGTCAACTTTGAGACAATACTGCTCCCAAACTAAGACTGATAATCGCATTCCGTAACAGAGGCATGCTAAAGGAAGGTCCAAAGAACAATTGCCCGTTGAGGGAGCAAAATGCCCGCCTCGGATCAGACGCAGTGGCTGCTTAAAATCGACCCAAAACATGATTTTTTTAAGACATTTCTGAGCGTTTTGGCCAACTTTGAGACAATACTGCTCCCAAACTAAGACTGATAATCGCACTCCGTAACAGAGGCATGCTAAAGGAAGGTCCAAAGAACAATTGCCCGTTGAGGGAGCAAAATGCCCGCCTCGGATCAGACGCAGTGGCTGCTTAAAATCGACCCAAAACATGATTTTTTTAAGACATTTCTGAGCGTTTTGGCCAACTTTGAGACAATACTGCTCCCAAACTAAGACTGATAATCGCACTCCGTAACAGAGGCATGCTAAAGGAAGGTCCAAAGACCAATTGCTCGTTGAGGGAGCAAAATGCCCGCCTCGGATCAGACGCAGTGGCATGCTAAAGGAGGGGTCCCGTGGGGTCGCGAAACTTTTCCTGGGGGTCGCGGAAATTTTTGGCTACAAATTTGGGGTCGCGAGCCGAGTAAGGTTGAGAACCGCTGACCTAGTAAGACCGTGGGCCGGCAGCGGCGATACCCCGCGCGGACAGCGCCAGCAGCCAGCCGCGTCGCTATACCCCGCGCGCCGAGAGACTCTATCCCTCCACGCTATCCCCACCCAAAAGCCGCGCCTCGCGCGTCGCTGCACCGTGGTCAGGGTAGCCGTGATCGTATAGTGGTTAGTACCTTGCGTTGTGGCCGCAATAACCCAGGTTCGAATCCTGGTCACGGCAATCGACCCACCCTTTTTTTGACCGGAGTCACTTTGTTTGCACTTGCTCTGCAGTCTGACGTATGTGGAATGCGGGAGGAAACTAATGTTTCAGAGTGATGTGACCCACCTTCTCCTTGTCCTCGGGGGCGGACGGCGGCAGCGCGTGCAGCGCAGTGGCGGCCTCTAGTGGCGGCGCCTTGAACTGGCGGCCTTCCTGGGGCGGTGCCGGCCTCCGCCTGTACGTCGGCGACGTCGCCCTGGGGCTGCCGTTGACGGCGTCCTCGCCGGCGGCCGGCGGCGTCCTAGACCGCGTCCGCGGCTGGAAGTCCCTGGCGCGCGCCGCGTCGTCGGCGTCCTCGTCGGGCCTGGCCCTGGCGGCGTTCTCCCGGCGCCGGAACGTGGGCGTCGACGGCGGCGTGGCGGTGGCGTCGACGGCCAGCCCCTCACTTGGCCGTCGTCGCGACGGTGGCGTCCGCCGGCCCGCTGCCGGCTCCACGGACGCCTGCTGCTCCTGGTCGGGGCGTCGACGGCCAGGGTACGAGGTGGCGGCCGGGGCCGGCGGCGCCGACGTGGCCGTCGTCCTGGGCCTGTACCTGCTCTGGAAGACGGGCGCGGCCGGCGCGGCAGTGGTGGTGTCCACTGCGTCCTCGCCGCGGGCGCGTCCCCGACGGTAGCCACTCCTTGGGGGCGGCGGGGGCGGGGGCGGCGCGGCGGGGGCGGCGGCTGGCCTGGACGGCCCTCGCGGCACGAACCGTCGCATCTCCAGGTCCACCGCCGCGGCCGCGGAGTCATCGGACAGCGCCGAGGGGCCGAAGTCCGACACGGCCTCCTGCAAACGAGGAAAGCATCAAAGCATCCTCTCTCCAGTGTCGGTGCGGCAACCGAACTGTCGTTACGTATAATGAAGGCATGCCCGCTGCGCCCGCATCCTCCCTCCCCATCCGGCTCCCGCTTTGCGTAGCTTCCCATATTGTGCGCTCTGATTGGATCGCCGTCTCTCTCTTTCGGAAAGCCCCGCGAGGCCGCGAGAGCGTGAGAGAGACAGAGCGATGCAGGTTGCGGTAGAGAAAGTCGATCATCTCGGTGGGAATGGGCGAGACTGGTTGACAAGTGTTACGTCACAACCGGACTCCACCTGTGTCTCTCTGTCGCCCCAAATGTCAAGGTGACTGGGCTAGGGACCCCCATAGGGGACCCCCACGAGGAGCGGCCTGCGGTTGGATCCCTCTGTCTCTCTCGCACCCCTGGGACGCCCCCCGTGCGCGCGACAGAGACAGAGCGTCGAAACCACTCTTCGGAACGGTGCGGTCTCCCAGTGGGACTAGTTTAGGTGACAAAGCGCACTGAAAAATGAGTGCCTCTTCCGCAACTGAATCGGCAACTCGTTTTCTTGCTCCACCATTCTCGCGTTTTTGTTTGATCTCGACGCCTTTTTTCCCGCGCTATCTGATGGATTTCCGCTGATTTACGAATTGGTGGGCGTTCTCTCTCCGGCCCTGCTAATCCCCGCGCCTTTCGTTGAGTCATTTCGTGAAAGGGGCAATCAACAAATCCAGCTCAGGCGTCGGAATATCAGACTGGCACATCGGTGCACCGGTGCATCTGTCTCTCTGGCACTCACGGGGCGGTCCGTAGGGGTGCGAGAGAGACAGAGCGACCGTCCGGCAGCAGCCTGCAGGGTGCAGCCGCTTTATTTGGGGATGTCCGTGTGGCAACCGCAGACATCAGATCGGACTTGTCTCTCTCGCACTCAGGGGGCGCTATGCATCACAGTGGGCCCGAAGACCGGTGAAGCGGCCAAAATTCGAGACGCGTTCTGAGCTCCAGAGTCGCTAAATGGGACTCGTACCGAACGTGTGACCCCACCAATGGATTGCTCTCCGAACGAGGAATCCATTGGTGGGGTCACACGTTCGGCTCGAGTCCCATTTAGCGACTCTGGAGCTCAAAACGCGTCTCGAATTTTGGCCGCTCCACCGGTCTTCTGGCCCACTGTGCGCTGTCCGGCCGTCCTTTGCCGGCCAGGCACAGCAGCGCAGCGTCACGTCGGGACGGAACTCCGGACACAATGGCTTCAAAAAGGACCGGCCAACGGATAATTCCGGCCCTGCAGGGAAAAAAAGTGATAAACGTTATTCTTTTCTCAGTCTGCCACCGTCATTTGGAAAATTCCACCTCTTGGCAAAGGCGTCCTTGCTCGGGCAAACTGTCACGTACACAAATAATTTTTATTTTCAAAATTTTTAGGAAGACGTTATGCAGAGCATCATTGTTCTTTTCATTTTAAAATTCCTGAATATCAGATGAGATCGGCCTTGGGTTTGCCAAAAATAGTTTAGGTCCAAAGTAGACAGATCTACTGATATATACCGAACTCCCTGGTGGTTAGGGATTTTTTTTCGGGTTGCAGAATTTTAGGATCGGAATCCTTTTACCCGTTATGCTCAGGCATTGTCGGTTTTCTTATTTATAGATTCATTGACTGCGGATTCCTTATCGCGCGAAAGGGCTGCATGGCCACTGACCACAGCCAGTGGCGCAGCCAGGGACTCTATAAAGGGAACAATAGCGAGCCAGCGCGGAGATTGGAGGAAAGGGTTCCCTTGGCTCCGCCGGGCATGAGTGGAAGCGGCTATAGGCGCTTTGCCCGCCTTTGCCGATCACCGACTTTTCTTTATGGCGCGAGTAAAGTCAGATAAGACTTCTTGCAACTAACAGACCCCAGGGCCTGGAATACAAACAAAATTGCCCAGAGAAAATAATGACGAGAATAATGTCGGTGTGTCCGCAAAGTGACGCGCACGTTGCTGGTGGCCTGCTCTTGCATACCACCGCCGCCCCCGTCGACTCGTTCTACTGGCTCCGGAAGGAGGCGCGCCACTGCGAGCGCACTGCAATCTGAATGTGAATCTTGAGGCGTCGTCGCCAGGCTTGACTCGCTGCGGGTCGCTGCGACGCACAGCAACCGGGTAACCGGTTCGCCCAACAGGGGATGCTCTTTGGAGGCGCGTACTGCATACGTACTGCCTGCCCTCTCTCCGGCTTCAGCCTTTCCAACACACAGCTCAAAGTTGTCAAAGTATTTCCCTTTCCTGGAGGATACAGCAGAAGACACTCACCTCTCTCCGGTGCTGCGTCCTCCTCTGTGCGTTGGCGGGGTCCACCAACCCTAACTGCAGCAGCACGAGCAGGGCCAGGGCCACCCTGCCCCACCCCATCCCCCACCCCCTCCCCAAGTGCGCGCCCATTCCACCGTCCTGCAACAGAAGAGAGAGACACCAAATTAGCACAGCTTTTCCAGAAGAATTTAGCCCAATGGCAGCATTTCGCGTGATAAAATAACATAACATCACATCCTAACCGAACCGAACCGATCCGAACCGAACCTAACCTAACCTATCCTGACCTAACCTATTCTAACGTAACATATCCTAACGTAACCTAACCTAACCTAAACCTGACCTAACCCATTCGAATCTCGGTGCTTCGGCAAGCTTCGGCATCGGCCGAGCGCGGCGCCACCGTCGCGTGGCGGACACAAAGGGGAAAGGCTCCCTCACGACGACAAGAAGATATATAAAAAAGGGAAAGAGAACGTTCGGATTAGAGTGAAAGGTTCAAATTGGCGCGGGCGGTCGGAATGGCGGATGGGTGTGAGCGAGAAAAGAGACTCGGAAGATGAATAAAAAAAACGTAATGGCGCACTTTGCGAAGCGTTGGCCAACGACTGCGTAATGTATAGCCGCGACGATGACTTGGTTTTTACGCATGTACTTTCATCGCCCGTCCGTCCGCGCCGCGTCCGCGCGTCTCGCGGCCCGCGGAGAGGCAAATCACACGTTCGATGCCCGGCGTCTGCATAATTTTTGCACCGACCGGGCAATTGCTTTGCGCACACGCCGCCGAGCAACAGTCGTTTACGAAATTCCCGTTGCTTTCGAGAAAAGTCGGTAACTCTATTTGTAGCGCCTTTTTAATTCACGCACGTGGATGTACGTGCAAGAGGCCTTCGAGATCTCGTTCGAGATTAGAATTGGCGCGATGGAACGCCGCGGCACAATGCGGGGCGACAACATCTCAGCATGACAACACGCTCGAGTAATCCCTGCTGGAACTACCTACATGAAAAAATAAAAATAAAAAGTGATAAAAAGGCTACTTTTGGGCCGAAGACGGGAAAAGGGGCGTAGAGACTAAGCGACAGAGAAAGTTGAAAACTAGTCGTCAACGTCATCTCCTTTCGGTGCCGTTGTGTAATATTCCTGCGTGTCATCCAACGAGAAAAAAACATGTTAAACCGATTGGTATTTGAACCCCGTTCAACAGATGCAATGCGAATGCGACTTGACAGAGACTAATTGGCTAGGCAAGAGTTATGCGCGCTGGGTGCGACACCAGTGTGACTGCAGCGCCATCTGGCCCGCGGAATCGGCCGGTACTAGGGCTGCCCTGCCCGGCCTGCCATGGCATTCCCCCTCCGAGGAGCGCGCCCCAACCCATTAGCAATGATGTAAAAATTTCGGCCCCCGCCCGGGATTGAACCCGGGCCACTCGGGCTAGGCGTGTCCGGCGTGACAGCCAGGAACTAACGAGCTCTGGACCCAGTATTTGAACCCGCGACCCCGGAGTGCGCAAGCTCGTTGGACCGGCCAGTGACTTGCAAGCGCGCGTCACTCATGAGTTCGATAACTTGCAAAGCGCCACCCGCCAAAACAGAGACTTTCAATTTTTTCAGGGTCTTCGACTTAAATAGTCGCAGGCCCTTGAAAAAACGCGTCCGTTTTCACAGTGCAGCGTCGTCTAAGGCGAGTGGCCGTTTTGGCCGGCAGCCAGAGCAGCGGCGTGCTTGCGAACTATGCACACACGGCGCGCGGCCGGCCGGCCACCGCCCTGCTATGAAATGACATAACTGACATAATCTTTGCCGCCATCCGAATGCATTATCATCGCGGCCTTTTTGGAGGGAACAATGTTACCAAACTGGGCCCAAAAAATAAATTAAATTTTTTTAAAATATGGGGCAAAACATCAAGCTTTCTACACATTATTGCGAACATTGCTTCGATAGTTTTATTTTTGCCATGGTTCATGACGCCACCAACGAACACAAGATCAGCAGATATCTTGTACGTTCCAAGTTTTGTCAAGTTGGCACTCGTTGAAAAACGACAGCAGCGGTAGCTGCTGAAAAAGTAACTGAAGTGTGTTTATTGCTCCAGTTCCAGAGTCTCCAGGAAGCGGCGGCGCGGCGGGCAGGTGTTACTGACGTGCCCTCGACTTAGCTCCCCAGGCACTTGTCCAGGCTGGGCAACAAGAAAGAAACAGTAAACGCCGCTGCGTCGACAGGCAGAAAACGTCCTCCAGCAGGCGCTGCAGCCAACTTTATGGAAAAAAAAATTAAGTTTAGGTGTTTGTATCTTGACGAGTGCCTTACGAAAGCCACGCGCTGAGTGCGCGGCTAAGTGTTAAAATTAGGAAATCAAATTTTTCAATCAGCTTTATCTTAATGAGGCTAACGCTTACAGCTCCAGAGGCACCGCCTTAAAGTTGGGTTTTTTGGGTTGTCGCGTTGGCACTACCGGACGACCACCCGCCCCGCTCGCGCGCTTTCCAACGCGTCCTTTGAGTCCGCCATTAACCTATTCCTGCTATCGGTCGGCCAGGCTCAATTACTGCAGCGAGGACCTTAGCCGGACCGCAACTGGAGCGGTTCAGTCCGTACAGTCCGTTCAGCCGACCGATTCCGCGCTGCTGGGGCTGTTAATCCAGCGATTGTCTGACTGCGAGAATAAATCATCCCCTTCGCCCTTCGGCCTGCTCCGCAAATACACTCTTCAAAATGGATCCGAAAGATAACAAAACAACAACTTTTTTTGTGGTTATTAAAACTGCACGCAGAAAAATAACTTCTTGGATCAAGAAAAAAATTGACTTTTCTTGTTTTTTCAAGAAAAATTTTCTTGATCCAAACTTTTTTTTTTGCATAAAAAAAATCTTGTTACAAGTTTTTTTTTTTTCATTTAAAACCGAAGGAAATTAAAAATCGACATACCATTTTTCTGGGTGTGTCTTTGAAAATGAATCCTCCTGCTCTAATCCATAATCCCAAGGATGGTACCTAAATGCGATCAAAATGCGCCACGCGAAAGTGATCATGCATTATTCCGTTCGAGTGTACCGAGAACTCTTTTCACGGCGAGGTCTTTGGAGGGTTGCACTCGACGGGCACTGCCTCTGCCACTTTGAATTAATCGGCCGCTAATTAAAATTAATTACCCCCACTCGCGACAAATGCAGCATTTTCGCACAAGTTGTTCCTTCTTTTTCGCGTCTGGCCGCTGGGTGCTTATCGCATATGGAGCAGGGCCTTTGGGCTCGGATTAGAGGCATTCGTTGCGGTTTGGCACGGCGCGGCACGGAGCGGCACGGCACGGCACGGCGCGGCGGATGTCCTGCGCTGCCCGCTCTGCAGTCCGAACTTTCTCTCGCATTTACTGTAAATTATTCATTTTCCAGCCAAGAGAGTGCCGCCTCGGCCAGCAGGAGGGGGTGCACGATGTCGACCGGGATCGGGGCCGCGATCATGACCGCGGGGACCATGCAGTGGGCCAGAGGACCGGTGGAGGCGGCCAAAACTCCCGACGCGTTTTGAGCGCCAGAGTCGCTAAATGGGACTCGAACCGAGCGTGTGACCCCACCAATGGATCGCTCTCCGAACGAGGAATCCATTGGTGGGGTCACACGCTCGGTTTGGACAGTAGGAAGAGAGTCGACTGCAAACCAATTAGGCGAGAGGCCGGCTGGAAGGATGGCCTGGCGCTGGAGCCTCGCTGGAGTGGCGCGGCCAGTGCCGTTGACGCAGCGGTCTGCATGTTCCATTCCAGTGCGAAACGCCTCGCCCCGCCATCGCCCCGCACATTCGGACAGCTTACGCAATGGCACTGACCACTCCACCGCTCTCCAGCACAGCCGCTCCGGCGGTCTGCTTCCCGACGGCGCTTTCTGTCTCTCTCGCACCCGTGGGCGTGCCGCGAAAAGGAAGGGGGTGTCCAGTTTGGCGAGCGCTCCAGGACGGGCCAGCGGACAATGACGACTGCCCACGCCATCCAACGCCATCCAAATACTATCTTTAAATTTTGTTTTAGTTTGAAAAATGTGCGAAAAGAGTCTGAATTAAAATCGAGTCGAATTTGGTGCTTTGAAGCTCTGCCCCACGCAAAGTGCGGACTGGTCACAGAGATTCTTCTTGACAAATAGTATCGAAGAACGGTTTTTTTCCGCACTCCTCTAAAGACGGAAACGCGTTTTCCATCCCTGCCGCTCCGCGGGCTCTGCGCTCCGCCCTGCAGCCAACAGCCTGGAAAGCGGACCGCCTATGCGCCGCCGCCGTGCCAGGGGCAGCACTGTAGGAAGGAAGCTCAAGACGCGTTTCGAGCTCCAGAGTCGCTAAACGGGACTCGAAACGAACGTGTGACCCCACCAATGGATTCCTCGTTCGGAGAGCAATCCATTGGTGGGGTCACACGCTCGGTTCGAGTACCATTTAGCGACTCTGGAGCTCAAAGCGCGTCCAGAGTTTTGGCCGCCGCCACCAGTCTTCCGGCCCACTGTGCGCCACTCGCTACACGCCCTGCCTCAAGCGAGTCCGCCTCGGCCGCACCGGACACACCGGACAGTGTCCTTGACAGGGCCGCCCTGCGGCAGGCTGCTCCGAAATGCACCGGCCGGCCTTGCCAGGACAAAACGACGAGCACACTGCATTTTGTTCACCCGCACTCAGAAACACACACACACACACACACACACACACACACACACACACACACACACACACACACACACACACACACACACACACACACACACACACACACCGCGGCCTCGGCCTCGGCCCAGATGATCAGCGTGCAGTACTCCACATCGACCCGAGGCGCGTTTCGAGAGATCGCCGAAAGCGCTTCGAGATATCGAAGTATGGTGTCGAGAGCGTCGGTCGAGTCGAGTAGCGGTGAATGAAAAGGAGCCAGCGCTGCAACAGTGGTGCGGAGGAGCGGAGACGGTCAAGTCCGGCATGCAGGACAGACGCCGCGCCGGCTAGACGGACTGCTTGCCAGGGGGGAGAGAGAGAGAGAGAGAGAGAGAGACAGACAGAGAGAGAGAGACAGAGAGAGAGAGATGCGAAAAAATAAAGAGTCGGGAAACAAAGTGGGGCTGGCCTTACTGCATGACGTGCCAATAAAATTATTATAAGGCCCCA